TCTCTACATTATTTACTAGTTCGATAATTTAAAATTTGAGAATTAAGTTCTTCTGAAATTTAACACCATTTTTTACCTTATTCAGAATCTTTGTATTTATGAATTAAATCTAATAATAATTAATCTTCTTATTAAGTGAAAGGTTTTTATTATAAATCAGTTTTTTTTAGTTATAACCATTTTTATTTACAAGATTAAGGGTCTCTTCTGCAAATCAATTCGGAAACATCATCCCAAAAACTATTAGGTAGATCTCTAATATCAAGATCTTGAGATTGACTTAATTTACCTACAACCCATATTAACACTTTCTTTTCGTCAGTAGTCCAATTTTTTTTTCTATTTGAAATTACTTAGTAAACTGAGAATAAATTTTATTAAATGGCTTATATTTCCTCATCTGAAGGAAATGAATTCAAATTAGTATTAAAGAATTCTTGCATATATAAAAATTGCTTGAAAGGCTAATTTTGATTAGAATTATAAAATTCAAGAAATTTTCCATAGCTTTCTGTTTCTTATAAAGATTTATTTCTTTTGGAAATGAGCTTTTCATTTTTTTTGGAAGACAAAGATCGACTTGATTTTTGCATTTTAATATATATTTTTTTTTGAAGTATCGAAGAATAAAATAAAAATTAGGTTGTTTGTAATTTATATATTTTGTGATAAACATCACTAAGATTATCATTATTCTCCTTCTTCTTCGAATTCTCCTTCTTCTTCAGCAGTAGCATCTTGATATTATTGATATTCAGAGACTAAGTCATTCATGTTGGATTCAGCTTCAGTGAATTCCATTTCGTCCATACCTAGATTAGAATATAAATTATTAAATACCTTCACCAGTGTACCAATGTAAGAAGGCCTTTCTTCTAAACATAGCAGTGAATTATTCAGCAACTCTCTTGAACATTTCTTAGATAGCTGTTGAGTTTCCAACAAATGTAACTGCCATCTTCAATCCCTTTGGTGGAATATCACAGATGGATGATTTGATGTTGTTGGGAATCCATTCAACAAAGTAAGATGAGTTCTTATTTTAAACATTAAGCATTTATTCATCGACTTCTTTAGTTGACATTCTTCCTCTGAAGAGAGCTGAGGCTGTCAAATATCTTCCGTGTCTTGGATCAGCAGCACACATCATGTTCTTAGCATCGAACATTTATTATGTCAATTCTGGGACTGTAAGAGCTCTATATTATTGAGATCCTCTTGATGTGAGGGGAGCAAATCCAATCATAAAGAAGTGGAGTCTTGGGAATGGAATCAAGTTGACTGCCAATTTTCTCAAGTCAGAGTTTAATTGACCTGGGAATCTAAGACAGCATGTAACTCCTGACATAGCAGCTGAGACCAAGTGATTTAAATCACCATAGGTTGGTGTTGTCAATTTCAATGTTCTGAAACAAATATCGTATAAGGCTTCATTATCAATAACCATGCATTCATCAGCATTTTCAACCAATTGATGAACTGATAAAGTGGCATTATATGGTTCAACGACTGTGTCAGACACTTTTGGTGATGGCACAACTGAGAAGGTTTCCATAATTCTGTCAGGATATTCTTCTCTAACTTTTGAGATCAACAATGTTCCCATTCCTGATCCTGTACCTCCTCCCAATGAGTGAGTAATTTAGAATCCTTATAAGCAATCACATCCTTCAGCTTCCTTTCTAACTACATCCAAAACTGAGTCAATCAATTCTGCACCTTCAGTATAGTGACCCTTGGCCCAGTTGTTACCTGCTCCGGTTTAACCAAAGACGAAGTTGTCTGGTCTGAAGAGTTGTCCAAATGGTCCAGCTCTGACTGAGTCCATTGTTCCTATGAAGAGATAAAAAATTTTAGAATACCTGGTTCTAAATCCATAAGGATAGCTCTTGGGACATATCTACCTCCTGTAGCTTCATTGTAATAGACGTTGATTCTTTCTAATTGAAGATCTGAATCTCCGTGATATGTTCCTGTTGGGTCAATACCGTGTTCATCTGAAATGACTTCCCAGAATTTGGCACCAATTTGGTTACCACATTGTCCTCCTTGAATATGAACTATTTCTCTCATTGTGACGGTTACGAAAAAAGATTTTGTTTTTTTAATGTTTGAATTTTGAATTTCCACGCAGCTTAAAATGGGTCACCTCATAATATCTTTTTTTTAATTAATTTTCCTACCCCTTATTATATTTTATAAAAGAAAATCACATATTAAATTACAAACATTAATTATCGATTAAAAATTATCATATGAAATTTTTAATATAATATAAATATAATGACGAAAGTTGTCAATTATAAAGTAAATGGAACTGGAAGAGATACATATATCAATTATGGAAATGGTGGATTTTATAAAACAGACTCATTGCATACAGATGAGTCTTTTTATTAATTGTCAAAACAGAACTCATTGCCAATAATTAATAGCAAATTTAATCTTTATCATACAGATGGGACAGGTCGAGACTCATACATCAGGTAAAGGAAATGTATACAAAAAAAGCGAATCTCAAGGTGGCTTTTATAGCTATCAGCCTAAGATAAATTTCTTAGGGAGATTAAGGCATTATGACCCATCTCCTGAGGCAATTAGATAAAATGATTTTTTAAGAAAAAGTTAATTAGTGAAACCAGCAAAAGAGCAAGAGCGATAGCTTAAGTATAAATATCAAAAAATTTTAGATAGAGCGCAGTAGTGGAACAAGTAACTCAGAGACTGCAATTACCAAAAATCAAAAGGGAATGATTTATTATATTTTATATATATATATATTTTTAAAATGTCAGATAGCTCCTCTGATGAAGATTATCGAAAGTTTAATAGGAAGGCAAAGAAGTCTACAGTACGTATGAACGTTTAAGATCCAGAATCCACTAAGTTTGCATAAGAATTCGCATAGAAATTGTTAAGAGAAAGAGGATGTACATAGTGTGTATGCTAAGGGAAGTTGACATTACAGAAGAAGAAATGGGATTCAAGAAACAAACTACTAAACAAGTGAAGGCCACAACTTATGTGCATAGTATTGATTAGGCGACATTGAAGGAATTACAAAAGGAATTCAATAAATGCGAGAATATCGGTCAGATTTGCACTATATTAAAAGCATTAAGTAATCATAAAGAAGCCACACCTTAGCAATAACTATAGTATAAAGTATAGAGAAGCGATTTCTTGATAAAAAATAGAATGTATGAAGATGCAAAAACAGAATGTTTTGAATTATTAGAAAAGGAATTAACAACATTGGATAAAGTGAAAGTGTTGTTATCATTATGTAAGGCACAATTAGAAACAAATGATACTTATAATGGATGTATGTAAGCATTGAGATTAAAAAGCTATGCTGAAACAGTTAAATTAATGCCATCATTTAATCTTGGTATTTATGATCTCACTCCAGAGTAAATTTATAAACAAATAGATGATATCTATTAAAATACTATATTTAAGATCTAGAGAGATAACAAAAAGGTGATATCTCTTTTAAGTGTATAAGGTAATAGTGCAACTGGTTGTTTGGGTTAAGGAGACTTAACTTAATGTAGTGAGTTAACTTCATATTAGATATTCAAAAATAGGAAAATACTCTCTATTGGATGTGGAGAACATCATGTATTAGTTTTAATGAGTGGATGTTCATGTATTAATCCCTATTACGTCAGTTAATGTAAAGGTGAAAAATGTAATAATGGTAATGAAGTATTTGGTTGGGGAGAGAATTTCTTAGGTTAAGTTACAATGAATGAATAAGATGGAAATTTTATTAGTGTCCCATATAACATTAGTTAATTAAGCAATAAAAACATAATAGGAGTTTAAGCATACAAAAGCACTTCAATAGCTTGGGATTCTAATGGTCAAATATATTAATGGGGAGCTAAACACATACTTAAAATAGATCCAATTGCTGATATTTAATAGATAATTTTGGGTTTTAAATATGGAGCTATTCTTGCTAAAAAGTCATTGTTTATTATGGGTGAATTAGATGAAAATATTAAATATCCTAAACTAACTAAATTAGCAGATAATATTGATTAAATTGCAGGTGGAGACAATCATTTATTATCACTCAATTCATAAGGTGAAGTATGGGGAATAGGATAAAATAAATTTCATTAGTTAGGAGTGAATAATCATTAATAATATTCATAAATATAAGAAGATGAGTGTTTTTATATTAATGCAAATGAAAATGCTAGTATTTTTGTTACTTCAGATGGAGAGGTCTTGTATTGTGGTTAAGTAAGTAAAGAAAAAGTTATTGATTACCCAAAAACATTGTAAATTGATGAAGATGTTTAAATCATTTAAGCTTGTACTTATGAAGGAGTCATTTATGCTTTAAATTTGCAAGGAAAAATATTTAAATGGGATATAGACAAAGAACCAAAATCTAAATTATTTCTCTATGCTCCTGTAAGACAACTTCATCTTTGTAGGGGAATCAGACTTTGTGAATCAACTGCTTTATAAGGAGAATGGTGTAGATTAGAATTAGAAGATGAGGATCAAGAAGAATTTGAAACTTTTTCAGATATTAATCTTATTATAAATTTAGGAGACAAATATGGACCATATGGTATTAAATAAAACCATCCTATCAGATATAATATTTTTGTTACTGATGATTCTGAAATAACTCCTGAATAATTATTACACAAAAGTCAAGTTGTATCTATGAGCAAGATATAGTCATAATAAGAAAATAAGACATACCTTAATTTCATGAATGATGGTTACAAAGCTGAAATTAAAGAGATTGAAGAACCTTCTAAACATAAACTTGTTTTATAAGTGAATAAACCAGGAAATTATTTAGTCTATTTATATCTGAATGAGTAATTACTAATTGATTGTCCTTTGACTATTAATTTAGTGGCTGGAAGTAGATAAGAAGAATTGATGTAAGCAGAAGAATTAAAGAAATAATAATAATAGGCAGAATTATAAACGAGATAAGTATTATTAATGAAAAAATAATAGGAAGAGGAAGAGAGATAGAGATTATTAAATGAATAATAATAGGAATTATTGTAAAGATAATAGGAAACAAGTAAACTTATATTTTATTAATTTAGAGAAAAGAGCTGATGAAAAATTATAATAATATCAATTAAAAATGTAAGAGGAAAAGAGATTAAAAGAGGAAGAAAGATAATTAAAGAAAGATTTATTAACAGGAGGTGGTTTTGATTTAAATAAAGTTAAATAATAATAATAATAATAATAATAATAATAATAATAATAATAATAATAATAATAATAATTAGAAGAATAAAATTAAATTAATAATCCACCTAAAAAAATTATTAAATAAATTAATACTGCTTTAACTTAAAAAGTTAAATAACAAATGCAAAATTTATAATAAGAAAGATAATAATTATAATAATTAAATAATCAATAATAATAAAAACAATAAAATAAACCACAATCTTAGCCTCCTAAATTGAATCCTGTAAAAGCTACTCCAAAAGTACTTCAAAGTATTCAATCTACTAAAACTACTGAAAAAGCATTCTAAACTTAGGAAACATTCAAAGATCTTCAGTAAACGGTATAATTTAGAAAAACAGATACTCAATTACAAAAAATATAATAAGAACTCCAATAAGAATTTTAATAATTGAAAAGATAGGAAACAAATAAATATAAAAGATGATTAAATATATATATATATAAATTAAATGAAATATCAGGTTGATAATAAAAGTACAGAACTACGAACTGAACCATGCTAAACAACTAAATAAGTTCTCATATCTCTAAACGGAGATTTACCTCTTATTAGCCAAACTGATATTACGTATCCCAAGGTACCATAAAGTAGACAATCTTAAAAATTATAGTGTGTAAATTGTTAAAAAGTATCTAATACAAAATTAAAATACTAAAATGGAAAAGGTGCTTATTTACTTATACTATTGTTTGTTGTATTTATTATTACAATTCCTTTGGCAATTCTTGTTTATTTTCTAAAAATGTTTAAAGATGTACAACATTTTTGTTCAGAATGTGGATGTTTAATAGGAACATAGCATTTTTTAATTGGATGAATTATATATATCAGCATTTAAAATCATTAATCAAACCTCTATTAAGCTCTAATAATATTAATATAAATAAAATAAAGAATAAGATTTAAATATGAAATTTAGAATATTTTAGATCTTTTTTTCAATAAATCTAAAATTGAAGTAGAAATCAAAATCATTTTGAAAACCTTCAAAAATCCAAATCAAATGTTTATTTTGTTAATGATGGTTATCTCCTTTTCTTACATAAAAATTAATTATTGCCCATAGATCCTTATTTTATTTAATTCACACTTTTAACACTACTAGGTCTAACATTTCTTTATTAGCTCTAACTGCTTGGTCTTTAACTATTTGATCTTACACTACGTTAACTAGCTATTAAATCATAATCAATCTTATCTTACTTGTATATTATCTAATGCGAATTTAAGGTGGTAATTTGCTATGATATTATGATAATTTTTCTTAATCTTCATTTACTAAGAGATTTTTCTCAAACGTTCCAAATTTTGGTTACTCTCCTTTTTTACACTTAAAATTAAATAATACTTTTACATATTCCCCTTCTCCCCATTAATATCCTTACTCCCACATTCCAATATAATAAGATCCATCATTCCAATACATACTTCCATATCCATGTCTAAGATCATCATAAAAATTGCCTTCATATTTACTTCCCTTAGCCCATTTATAAACACCATAACCACATTTTTTATCATTCACAAATTCTCCTTCATAGTTATCAGTCAAAGTAGCATTTCTATCTTTGATCCATAATCCTTTACCATGTCTTAACCCATTTGAAAAAGTACCATTGTAATAACTTCCTGAACTCCATTAATATTCTCCTACTCCTTCTGGCTTTCCATTCACATACTAACCCTTATAAATATCTCCATTTATTAAATATTCAATTCCTTCTCCATGTTTTAAACTATTATGGAATTCTCCTTCATATCTATCTCCATTTACCCAAACATGAACTCCATAGCCTTCAGGATTACCCATTTTCCATTCTCCTACATAAGAATCCCCTTTAATTCCATTCCATATCCCTTAACCATGTTTTAATCCATTTTACCAACCCCCTTCATAAACTTCACCATTTGCCCAAAGAAATTTGCCTACTCCATCAGGTTTTCCATTAATGTATGTTCCATTATATGATGCTCCATCAGGAAATCTCTCAAATCCAGATCCATGTTTTCTATCATTTTCAAATTACCCTTCATAGGTTCTTCCATTATTACTCAAAATTACTCCAAACCCGTTCTTTTTTCCATTGACTAATTAACCAAAATAATATGAGTCTTTGTAGATTTTGAGTTTACAATTCTAAAATTTTAGTAGGTTTTCATATTTAAACTGCTTATTTTAAGGTTTGTAAACACGAAATTTTTGAATAATTTCTTCAGCTTCTTATTAAGTAAACTTGATAGGTGGTCTATAGTTCAAATTTGATTGTTTACGGATTATCAATAGGTTGGACTACTTGGGTTTCGCTATTTTTTGTTTTCAAGATAGAAAAATCTGAAAATTCTTTACTGTTCTCTTCTGTATATTACATAATAATATAAATAGTTAATTTTATATAAAAAAGATGTAAAAATAAAAGACATAATAATATAATATCACACTTTACTGCTAATCCTTGATGGTTTGAATTCTCCGACATAAATATGTTATTTTTAATTGCCAGAGAGATCATTTAAGCTTTCTGCTATGGAATCGAGATTAGGTTTGTCAATAATTTGATTCACTATTCCTTTTGACTATTATGTCATATCATTTCCTGCAAAATCTGTTTCTAATACTGGGGGTAAATCAATAAAAAAGGGATGCTAAAGTGCTTAATCAGCAGAAATCCTCTCTTCAGGATCTTTGGCTAACATTGCCTTCAATAAAGACTTAAAATTATAATCAATTGATTTACGATGCAATTTTAGGAATAATTAAATTATTGAACATTAGACCAGTCAATTTAACATTTTTTATTGTTTGCAACTATTTGATCTGAGGTTTGACCTTAAAAACAATTAATACCTTTGGATAATCTAATTAAATGCTAATTTTTTTGTACATTTTGTAAAAAACAACTCCTAAACTAAAAATATCACAAAGAGATGTCCAAGGTTTTTAATCTTCCTTTTTCATGTTAACAATCTCAGGAGCCATATAACCAGGAGTTCCACATCTATTATATTACTATGAATTTTTAATGCTTAATCCAAAATCAATAATTTTAACATTTTTAAATGATGATTAAGAAATCATAATATTTTATGGTTTAATATCTCTATGAATTACTTATTCCTAATGTATGAAATTTAAAGCTTTAAGAATTTCCTTTAACAAAATCTTTATATCTTCCTCTTTTAATTAATTTTGATTTTTTTTGAGTTATTCAATAAGTGTAGCTAAGCAAATTCCATCAACAAATTCAATAATAAGACCATATTAATTTTCTTCTATTCTAAAAACTTCATATATTTTGACAATGGCCTCATTGTTCAAAGAATGTAGAATCCCAATTTCATTTTCCAATAATTACTGAATTCAATAAAACAGATAAATACCATATTTTCTTTATCAGTCTTCTATTAATTTGACACCTACTTCATAGCAAATGCTTTATCATCATGCAACCTAAAAACTTTATGGACTTATGAGAATGAACCTGATCCAATCATTTTTTCTATTTTATAATGATCATCAATTGAATGGAACCCTATAAAACAACTGATTGCCTCACGAAATTTAGTTAATTGTTCGGCAGAAGCTTCAAAATATTTTACATTCTTTCTTTTAAAATATTAGTTTAAAAATAATTACTTACTTATATTTAATTCCAAAGGCTTTATTTTGTCCATGATCTTATTTCCAATAAACAGTATTCTTTAGATTTAACTCCAATTTATACTTGGGATTTGGATCATTTAAATGCTACTTTAAGTTTACTTATGTACCTCTCCAATAGTAATCATATTTTGAAGTGCAAGAACATGATAAACTTTATCCTTTAAAAGATGTCGACGCAAACATTTGAATGAATACTTCACATTCCCATAATTGATTAAAGGCTAAGATTACTAGTTTTAACCTGTTGATTAATTCATTTCTATAATTAATATATATTTTAATTAATAGTTTTCAATTAGTTATGCTGAATAAGTTGATGGAATCATTGGCTCCCATCTATAAGATTGCTAGTTCTATTTGATTCGCATATTCATTATTGGAATCTCCAGGGTTATCAAAATTAAACATCTCTCCAAAATTGATTTCTGGATTGTCAAAGAAATAACCTCCAATAATCAAGACATTCTTATCATCAAGTAAAATTGGTTTAGGCAATGATCTAGAATATTAAAGTGCTCCTACTATTTATCTATTGATTATTTATAAGAATATACCCTGAAACATTCTGATTAGATTCTAAATCATCTAAATTGAATCTTATGATTTCTTTCTTACTACCATCAAACCCTTTACCTCCAAAGATGAATAAATCTTAATCATCTATAACTATGGATGATAACCCTTCCAAAGAGAATGGCAACTCAATATTCAATACATCCCATTCTTAAGATTATTCATTATAACATTCTATTTTATGTGAAATTTGTCCTACATTTATAATATAATAAATGTACCTTCTCCAATATATCCTCCAAAGACATAGATTTTCTCTCCAATTACATTAGCTGTCATTGAACATTTTGCCTCATTTAATGGAGCAATTTAATCCCATTCTTCTTCATCAATATTGAATCTCTCTACAGTACTGTGTAATGATAAAACATCATTTTAATATCCTCTTCCTCCTATAAAATATACATATGGAGCATTGTAAACACATGAAGCTGCATATCTATGATAACTCAACTTTCCCACTTTTTTGACTTTGACCTTCATTTCTGGAAATATTATTGTAACTAAATAAGCCTTCTTATTAATTTATGATATTTTAGAATCTATGCCACCTGCTAATAGAATTTATCTACAATTTGGCAATTCTGCATCAATAGAGCAGACACTCATATATGAATACATACATAAAGAAGTAGGAACTTCTAATGGATTCAAATGTTCTGTTGGTGATTTTGGAATAGGTAGTATAAATGGATATTCATCATTTCCAAAAATAAAAACTACATCATCTGGTTAAATTTGTAATAATTATTTTTATTAGATAATTTATTAGTAATTTTCAACTCTACAAATTTATTAAACTGATGACATTCCTCTTAAATTCTAATTTAAGATTTCTTGAACATTATCATCCATATTTATTAGAAATTCTTCCCATATTTTATTTTCAAAATTGAATAATTCAAAAGTATTTTATTTATTCATTCCACCATATACAATATAATTACCAAATTCATCTCTGAACATATGAAATAGAGATCTAATTTAATTCAATTATGAATATGAAATACATGTATTATCTAAAGGATATAATAAAGTTTTTAATTACTTTTAAGGTTTAAGACTATACAAGCTTATGATGGTCCTTATAATGTCATTCCTCCAACAATCATTATTTTTTCATTTTCTAAAGGAATCAAATGAAATCCTGCCAATCCTCTTGGCATTCTTAATTTACTTCTCACCCAAATATTTTTGGCTTCATCATAGTATTCTATAGACTTTGTATTTTTTTTTCCATCGAATCCACCGATGCAATAAATTTGATCATTATATAAAAATACTCCAAAATTAGATCTCCTCTTTGTCATAGGTGAAATAGTCTATAATAATTCAAATAGAAATACCTTCCATACACCTCCATCATATACTTCACAATGTGATAGAACACTCTCAAAATCTGGACCATATTGTCTTCCTCCCAATATATATATTTTATCATTATGATTTACACATTAATGAACATATCTAGATTGTGTGAATTAACCAAATTGACTTAACTAAAATGCGTTAAATTACTTACCTAATTAGTTTATGTGTTAAATATATAAACATCATTTGAGATTATTTTATTGGTATTTCCCAATCCACCTGTTATTAGAATCTCATTATCTTTATAAGGAATGGCACATGACCAATTATTGATCTAAGAATGATTTAAAATTTATATACCTTTAATCCAGTGTTAATAGGAACTTTCTAAAAACTCTGTTGTATAGAACAGTACTTAATGATCATATTTTCTTATGGCCAAGTTGACCCAAAAATCAAATGTTAAGTTTAAGTTGCTGACATTTTATATTTTTTATAATAATGTTGCGTACTTTTTATTCACGCATATAAATAGTAAAACTGTTTATTCATTCTAAAAAAGTTTTAAATTATGTATTAAAATTTTAATATATATTTCATTCTTTTGGAATCAATTGTTTTCTCTCAGGTAAATCTCTAATTTTAAATGATGACAAATCCTAAATCACTTCCACTTAACCAAATGATTATATACTATCATAACAAAACCAATTTAAAGCTGGTTCATTAATTCTACTTGTTGATATTATTAATTCCTATGAAGCCACACTACCTACAACAGAATATACTGGACAATAATCTACTCCATAAAGTCTTGCAAAATCTCTAAATGTTTTTGTTTATTCCTCTGTAGCATCCTTACCATTAGCAGTTTTAAATATTTCCTTTCCTATTTAAGTGAATTTATCTAATAATTCATCATTTGGTTAATAAGGATCATATGCTTTTAATTCTGGAATTTCTTATGCTTTTTTCATCATCAAAATACAATAATAAATAATATTAGTAACCATTCCTTATGGTTTATAATTGTAATTCAATGTCTACTCTAATGGTACAGAATGAGCAATGACTTCTTCAAATTCTTTATATCTATCTTATTCTTGTAATTTCTTTCCAAAAACTATTTACAAAATTACTTTTTTCTCTCTTTCATATGTAAATTTAGATCCTAAACCAACATACATAAAACCATAGTATCCACAACACACTAAATTGTAATAAGGGATATTAATTTCTCTTGATAAATTATCATATTTAATCATCTCTTCAAAATCTGTAGTTGATGTGACAATAGCATTGTTTCTAATAAGTTGATCTTAATTAGGGAATTCCTCTAACCAATCTATCTTTACTAAAGGATTTATCAATTTTAGTTCTTCTTAAGCTATTTAACCTCTCTAAAAATGATAACCAATAAATAGAGTACTTTTTATCCTATTAATTATTTAGTAAAAATGAAATTAGTATCTGTGTCTCTTTCTGTTATTATCTAATTATCCACAATGGTTATATTGGCACCTGCTAATATTAAATTTTTGGCTAATTCAGTATTGCTTCCTGTCATATTGACAATTATGATATTGGATGCTAATATTCTATTGTAATACTTAAAGTTATTACCTTTTTTAGACTTAATGTCCAATAAATCCTGCTCTATCATATTTTTATCTTTCCTCTTCTGTAAGTGCTCTCTCTTCAGGTTTATGTTCTGCCATAAGTATTTTATTAACAAATTCTATAATAATTAATATTTTTCATTTTCCAAAAAATTTGATATTTAAATGTTTATCAAAGATTACTAGTTGAAACTTAATTGAAAAATATATTATTTTATCTAAATATGAAAGTAAGATCAAGAATTAAATTATTATGCTTACCAAAAAAATCAGGACATTTTTAAACAGAGACTAGTTAAGATTAGTTGTAATCTACTAATGAAACACAATTCAAAGGTGATTTGACTTGTAGACATACTATCAAAACAAAGAATGCAATAAAAGAAGCTCTAATGATCTCAAATATAAAATTAGCATTTTAAGAGGAGATGGATAAAATTAAAGAAGAAATAAGGAATCCTGAAAAATAATAATAGATTATGTAAGTTTATATCTTTATATAATTAGTAATGAGATGTTATAATAGAATAGAAGTATCATTCAAAATACTCTAATATAATTAAATTAATTATTTTTAGAACGGAAGGATAGAGATTAAGCGATAAAAATAATCAATGAAATAAGTAATTAAGTATTGAAATCTAAGATTCCAGGTATGATTGATTAAACATAATTATAGATTTGAAAATATTCATACACCTTAAATTAGCTAAAATAGTATACAGTTATAAGTTACTCTACTTTAGTATAATCTTAGCTAAAATAGTAAAGAGGATGTCTGATAATGAACATTTATTAAAATATAAATTGTAAGCCTACAAACTCTTAGGGATCTGTTTTTTTAAATTACATAATAGATAATCTAAAATTTACTTTACAAAATATTTGATGTGTAGTTGGAAATTAAATAAGAAAGATCATGAGTTGAAAGCTTATGAATATTTAGGGAAATACTACTTTTAAGAGGGAGATATAGATAAGGCTACAATCTTTCATGAAAGGATGGTTAATGGATCAATTTTAGTAATAAATCCAAAAAATAATTTAAGTTACCTCATTCATCATTGAGAATATTGGGAATTAGGAAATTAGAATAAGGATCAATAGGAAAGGGCAAAAAGAATTATGGATTAGTAGAATATCATGAAATTAATGTTTCTAGTGATGCAGAGGGATTCGAATTGATATTTAATGATGATGAAACTCTTCCTAATAAGGTTGCAATTAAAAAAATGGATCAGTTGGTATAAAATGGGAAAAGATAAAGTCTCATTAATTATCCTATTAGAAAGAATCTAATATTTCAACATAGGAGTCTACATATAATGGATAATAAAATCAGGACTAGAAATACATATCAATTACCAGTGATGTTGAATCATCTGAGTCCAAATAGATAATTGGTAAATTACTAATTTCTGGAGTTAAATAAGGCAGTCCAAAATTATAAATAGACTTAGAACATGGATCCTTATTTTGAGAAATAAGATGTTTAATGCATTACTGATTTAATTGTTAAACTATCTCGTGTAATTGAATAAGTAGACATTTGGATTAAATTATGAATATATAATTATTTATATAATGGAAAAGATATATATTGAATAGATAAAAAAATAATAGGTGGAATTAGATGAAAGGTTGAAACAAGCTCAAAATCAGTAATGTAGAGATTGAGATCAATTTAGATGTTGAATATGTATCATCTAAGATGGATGATATTCTTAAATTTCAATAGTAAGAGAATTCATATTTGTAATAATACAAATAATTGATATTGCCATTTGAAGAATTGATTGGATTAGCAAAGGAATTAGACACAAGGTTTTAGAGATCTATTAGATAGCTTTAATTAAAATAAGTATGAAATAGATAATTAAATAAGAGGAGTAATTATATAGATTATATAGATTGAGTAGAATAAATGGAAGAATTAATTGAGAGAGAAGGAGTAGGAGCAATTATTATAATTAGAATAAGAGATGAATTAGATTGATAAATAATTTAAGGAGAGATTGAGGACTATTCATATAAAATGAATTTATTAATTATATTATAATGGGTCTTTTTTAAAGATTGTCTAAAATATTCAAATCAGAAGTTCCTTAAACTAATAATGATCATTTGCATGAGAATTAATAGTATTCAAAAAAGGTATGAAATATGTACCAATAGATTGTTTTGGAAAATGGAGAGAGTGTAAATGTTAGAGGAAATGAAAATCAATTAAATTTAGTAAAGACAAGTCGATATACATTAACAAATTGTTTATACGTGTTGATAATTAAATTTTTTAAGCGATTTCTTAATTTGTACTTATTTGTCATCAACATGATATAATTAGACTATAATTATCTAATTTCTCTCCTGTTAACATTTACTATACATACTATAATTGAATTGTACTTTGATACTCAAAAGAGAAAACGTGATGAAATCATCAACTCTCATTAAACCACTGTATTTGCTGATTTAAAAAAAAATGTCTTAAATATGCCTTCTTAAAATTTAATTTAATTAGGAGGAAGGAAATCTCTAAATAAAAATATAGTTGAGCATGAAAAAATTGTTAATAATAATAATTATCAAAAAGATATTTGTGCAAGAAAGGTAAGTATAGATACGGTTACTTATCGACAGGACAAATAACCTAGAATTCCATTATTCACTATAAAAAGATGGGATCAACTTAAGGTTGGTGATATCATTTATTTAAAAAATAATGAAATTTGTCCAGCTGATGTCTTAATTTTGGATATGGGTTAATCTGTTAGTATGGCTAGCAATACTATAATGAGTGGTAATACAAATGAAGTTAGAAAAAGAGCATGTCCTTTAACTACTATTACAAAAGAACATAAAATTTAATTGTTAGATTATCGAACTATTTTAAATGGAATTATTAGATATGATTAGAATGATTCAGATCAATATTATAAAGGCATGGTAAAATTAAAGAAGGATCCAAAACCTTTAGAAATAAATAAAGAAAATATCTTCTTTAGAGAATAATTACTTTTAAATGACTTATATTTGTTTGGAGTAATTCTCTCAGTTGGACTCGATTGTAGATGCTATAAATCATTTAAACATGTTGAAAAATAAAGTTATTTTGAATAAAAAGCTAATTTGTATTTTGGTATAGCCATACTCTCTTTAATCTTGCTAAGTGTAATTTAATATATTATTGAATATTATGGTGAACATCATTATAATTTAGAATTCTAATTAATCAATTATTCTAATTTATTACCTCTTTATTTTTACTTTCTAATAGATGTACTTTATTTTACTTAAATGTTGTACAATAATTACTTATTCCAAAAAGAGAAAGTTAACCAAAACCATTCAATCAAAGATGTTAATCCTTTATTAGATAATGCACATATAAAATTACATCATTTATAGGTGAATTATTCCCCAATTTCTAATTTATCTTTGATAAATCATGTTTTAATTGATAAAACTGGAACTTTGACAATGCCTAATTTTAAAATCAAATGGATCTTTATCTTTGATTCTCTTTATAAATTAAGATATAGAGCATTTGCAGAAAAGGATTTTTTAAATGCAATTAAATAAACTAAAAGGAGAGAAGAATTGAATATACCAATAGATGAAAGAATAGAACCTGAATCTACTCCTATGATAAAATGTAATAATGAAGAAGTCAATTTTAAAATCGAAGATTTAGATGATGATCATCCTGCATATGATGAATTACATCGTACTTAACCTCCAAGATTTAGACCAGAATCTTAAATTAGCAGTCAATTTGATCAAAGTGCTGAAGGAATCTAAATATAAAAATAATCTTAACCAAGAGGTAGTAGTCTCATTGTTAATAGTCTACATGAAAGTAAAAGATAATTGACTAATTAAAGAGGTAGTTAAAAATTCCATGCTCCTAGAATTTCATCAAATTTAGATATTGTCTCAGAAGTAGAATTTTCTGGAAATGAACTTACTTTGATTAGAAGAATTGAAGATAATGAATTTAAACCTCATTATTTTGAAGCCATGTTTGCTTTAGTAGTATGTTAGAATACAAGATCATTATATTAAAAAAGTGATGATTCATTCTTTTATGAATATAGTTCAGATTTAGATAAATAATAATTATATTTATGTAAACATTATGGTTTTAAATTCATATGTAGAAGCAAATAGGAAAATCATATGAAATTTGTAATATAAGATGGAGAAGAAATATATTCAATTGATGTAATGTCTTTACATTCATTTAATTCCAGAAAATTTAGTATTATTATAAAATTGCAAGAAGAACTATGTAATAAATTAGGATTAGAAAATGATGATTAACAATATTTATAATATTTAAGAGATGATAGTTTAGATATGATAGGTTGTTTATCTTTAGAAAAAGATCAAATGGCTAAACTTGATCTAATGATTAAAGATTTATAAGTCTAAGGTAGCAGGCCAGTTTTATTTTATAGAAGTTTAATGACTGAAACATAAATGTCTGCATTTATTAAAGAAGCCAATAAATTATTAGATATTCAATCTAATAAAATTGAATTTATGCATGAATATTAATTTTTAATGCATGAATTTGAAAAGAATTGTGATCTTGTAAGTGTAATAGGAGTTTAAGAAAAGATCAATAAGAATGTAGTACCAACATTAAATGGTATCAAATAATTAGGTATACCTTGTTGGATAACTAGTGGAGACAATTATGAGAAAGTATTACCAATAGCCTATAGGGTTTAATTGTTAAATTCAAATGAAACAGTAATTCATATCTAAGCAAAAACTTAGGATGAATTATTTTTATAATTAAAACAATTATTATAAAGTTTGAGTGGTTAATTGAGATCACATTCTAAAAAGAAAGAAATAAAACATTCAGATACTTTGATTCATAAAAAAGGTTCATTTACTTGTAGTCCTAGATGGATTTCAAGTGGATAAAAGAATTTACATATTAAACAATTTTAAATAGTAATAAATGGAGAATCTTTAGAATAGATTTATAGAGATGCTTATTTGAAGAAACATTTTTAATTTCTATTTTAATTTACATCTAATTTTATTGGTTATAGGATGACACCATAATAAAAATCTATTTTAGTAAAATTATTAAAAGATACAAAATTGAATTATAAATTTATATTATCTATAGGGGATAGTTTTAGTGATATCAATTTATTTAATCATTCAGATTTTGTATTTTAAATGCAATCAGGAAGATAAATATTTCCACATGATAAAAATAATTTTGAAGATCTTCAACATGGTAGAGTTTCTATAAAATAATTGGATTAAGAATCATAATTTTGTTAACATAAATAAGATCATGGTTGTATTGAACCTTTATATAATAGTGATATATATATAAAAGATTTTGAATTAATACACAGAATGATAGCATTAGATTCTAGAAAATCAGCTTTATATTTTGAAAGAATTCTAATATTTTCATTATTTAGAAGTTTTGGTATAATATATTTGTTATGTGTTACTTAATTGATTAGAGATGAACATGAAGTGATAACTAAAGATTATCTAAAGTTTCACTCTAATATATTCTTTTTATTATCAAGTTCCTTTATTATTAGTGAAATAAGTGAAAAGGTTGAAAATTTCAATCACAGTGAGTTTATGTATTTTTTATTTAAAAATGATTAATTAGAATTGAACAATAATAAATTTGGTAAATAAATAGCACGAATCACATTAGTACCACTAATTCAAGCATTATTAATTAATTTATATACAGAATATGCAGATCTATCAACTAATAATGGAATAGTCATAAAATCTAATGAATTAGGATCAGGCTTATTTCTATTATTACTAATTGTAGATGCTTTAAAATTAGTTTAAAGAAACTATATCACTTAGAAATAATTTGTATTTAACATAGGATTAACTTTTGGATTATATACATTAATATCTCTTCAATTTGATTCAATTTCCATCATTTATTAATGGGCAGCATCCATATAAAATTTATTTTCATTCATATTCATAATGGTAATTCATGTAATTTTTAATTTAATACTTTATCATATCAATAGACCGTTTTTTATGCCTCTGGCCATTTAGACAACTAATGAATATGATGAGATTGTTAAAATATATAATAAAATATCAGGTGATATTTCTAAATAAATTTAATTACATAGAGCAACAATTGAAAAAATCTCATATTTTGCAAGGAAACTCTTTAATGGAGATGAAGATATGGATCCAATCATAAAATAGATGTTGAATGGAGCATTTGCTGATGAGTCTGAAAATTCTATTAATTCAATTACTCTTAGATTTAAATCACAATTAGTATAAAATAAATTTACAGATGATATTCTTCAATATGTTGCACGAACTTACAGAATAATAGTTGCACTTACATTTTTATTTTATGAGATAGCAACATATACAATTATTTTATTGACTGTTGATAATTTTTCATTATCATATTGGACAGATTATTATTACATATCAATGTTTGGAGTACTATTATTGCTTATGTTATTTTGTTGGTCTCGATATTATAAAGTGTATTTCTATTAAGTAAATTTCATTATTTTATTTATTCGATGTTCCTCTATTATTATATGGTTATTCAATTAAGATTAATCTGTAGGAGGAATGAATCTCAATATGTTATAATTGAGTTTGGCAGTTAATATATATCATTATCAAGAATAGCCACTCATTAGTTAAGTGTTTTCTGCTATTTATGTGGCAATTTATTTAATTAAAAAATCAAATGAAAATGATATATATATTCTGATCAACTAATATGTTATGAGTTTAGCATCATTATTTCATTTGGTTTTAACATTCAGAAGAATTATTTACATATTTTTGGAAGTCTTTTTAGGTAGGATTAATATGAATAAAGAGAATTAAATAATGAGTGATATCTTATCTATTCTTCTTCCTTAATTTATAAGAGATCGTATTAATAAGGCTGGTCAATATGATATTTAAGAAGATTAAGGTATGGTGGCTGTATTATTTTGTGATATCATTGATTTTGATCAATTGATAAAGAATGAACAATCAAATGTAGTTGATATATTAGATAAGTTATTTAGAAGATTTGATTTACTATGTTAACAACATGAAGTTCAAAAGATTGAGACTGTGGGCAAAACTTATATGGCTGCAGCTGGACTAAAAATTCATGTTAGTTAAAAATCTAATCCTGTTAATAAAGTAATTTCATTGGCGTTAGATATGAAAAAGTATGTTATGTCTAATGAAACTTTTTAAATTAAAATTGGTATTCATTATGGAAATGTCATAGCAGGAGTCATTGGTCATCATAAACCATAATTTAGTTTGATTGGTGACACTATTAATACAGCAAGTAGAATTTGTTCAACAGCTGAACCTTGGAATATTGCTATTTCTGAATAAGCATATAGATAGACTAATAAATTTGAATTAGTTTATATTTAAAGGGATGTTGAAGCTAAAGGAAAGGGAAAATTGATTACTTATGTTGTTAATACAAAAAGAGGAGGTAAACAAAGAAAGTAAACAATTATGATTCAGAAACCACCAAAATAACCTTTTAGAGACCCAAAAGAATACTAAAATTTAGATTAAATTCATGAAAATTAATTATCAGAATTAGGTATGGGTTCTAATAGGGAAGTATAACCTCTTGTAAATAGAAATGAAGATCATTAACCATTAACTCTCAATAAAAGACAAAGAAATGAAATTTATAATTATGTAACAAAAACACAAAAGTAAATTATGATTGAGAGTCCAAGTAAATCACTTTAATAATAAATGCTTTTTTAATAATCTTAAGCTTAAATATTTTTAAATTAAGGAGGTGGATCATCAAAAAATTATGCTTCATAATCAATTGTTGGAGGTATTTAATCTTAAGGATATGATGATAGAAATTAAAAACATCAATATTTAATTCAATTATTGGAAAGAAAGACTCGATGTGAATTAAATGTTTCAGATTATTAATTAAATATGGAATATCATGTTGAAAAAGATAAAATCAAGGCTCTTTACAGTGTTGATGAAGATTCTTAAGGTCAAAACTTATTATTGACTCTTAATCCAAAGAGATTATATTTGGAATTTAATGAAGACAATACTGTTACATTAGAGTTTTATGAATTTCTATCTTCATTGTATAGACCATTTGCTGTTCAAAATTTATTGACTATAGGCTCATGTGTTTTAATAAGTTCAGTTTCTTGTATTACATTGAATGGATAGATATACTTAGTTAATTTGATAAGTGGAATAATTATTGGTTTATTACATATATTATTATGTACTCTAATACATAAATATGAATCCTTTTATAATGTCATATACTTCTTAATATTAGCTTATTTGTTACTTGGAAGTTATGCATTGGATTGTTTTTTAATTACTGATCATTATGAAATTTAAATAGCTAAAGGAATCATATATTGTTTAAGTGTTCTTCTTAATAGAATTCTTAGACATTATAATAAGTTAGTCTATCTAGTTCTTTTTTTAGGAGTGACAATTGCTGCTATTATAGTAAATGATTGGCCATGGAGTAGATTCTATTATACTGCTATAATTTCGATATTCGCCTTTTGCATTTAATTGTTTATGTTCTTAAAGAATGTAAATTCATATAATGTCAACAAATAATTAATTGAAAAATCAATGAAATACTAATTTTTATTGAATTATTTATTGCCTAAAAATGTATAAATTAATTTATTTCTATTAATTAGGTCCTTGAAGAATTTTTCAGACCAAACGAAGAGAAACGTGTATTAAGAGAATAAGCTGATGAAGTAACCTTATTATTTGCTGATATTGCTGGTTTTACAGAGTATTCAAGCAAAGTACAACCTGAATAAGTAGTAAATATGTTGAGAAATTTGTTTACTGAATTTGATAAAAATTGTCTTTTGCACAACGTTTTCAAACTCTACACCATTGGAGATTGTTATGTTGTTATGGGAATGATTGATTATGGTAAAGGAATCTAAAGAAATACATCATAAGAAGCAGTTAATGTAGTACGTATGGGATTTGCAATGATTGATGCTATAAGAAGAGTAAGAGCCCATATCAATCATCCTACTTTAGATATGAGAATTGGAGTTCATACTGTAAGTTTATTGTATTTTATTAAATTAGGGATCCATAATTGGTGGTGTTCTTGGTACAGAATTAGTTAGGTATGATATTTATGGACCTGATGTATTGATTGCAAATAAAATGGAATCAAAAGGAGCAAAAGGGTTTGTGTAAGTATCTCAAGAAACAAAGGATATAATTGAAAGGGAATTCCCAGATCTGTTTAGATTCGAATATAAACAATCTATTGAATTTGAATCTATTGAGAGAAAGACATCAGGCTACTTTGTTTATTAATGAATAACTAATTAATTATGGTTTATTGAATTCAGTTATATAGAGATATTTGTGATTTGATAAAAAGGAGAATCATAATTAATCCAGTAAGAAATAGGGACTATTTGAATTCCTTGGTATTTATGTTACATTCTTTCTTAACAATCGATTTACGGTTGGATTTAGTACTAACCTTTCAGAGGAGTTGACAATAGTCTCTGATATTATTTAACTCTTCTGTTTTCTTTCTTTCCAATATTGTTATTCTTTAATCAAAGGATCTGTTTTTGTCCGCACTCCCAAACCATGCAGATACTTAACTATTTCTACTTCAGTCTGATAGTCTTTTTAGTCCATATAGTATTCGATTGAATCATTCAATTCACTTGTAGTCATTGGACTACTCTAAGTTGAGTTAGAGCTCAGAAGACTCAGTACAGGATTTGAATAAACATAGGTTGGCTTCATAAAATCTTTAAATACTAGAGTATTTTTAATTAAAAATATATTTTTTTTCTGCATTTCTTATTTCAGCATAAATAATCTCCAGTATGAACACAACTGACCATCTAAAATAATTTACTGAGTATCACTTCAAAATTAATTGAAACTAATTTGAATTATTTCATCATAATAAAATTATTTCAAATTAATTACAATCTGTTTGAATGGGGAACTTCAATTTTAGTGCCATATATTGTTATTTTTTTTGAATTATTATATCCTCTTAATAAGAATAAATAAATTAACTGTTGAGATAATACGTGTTGATTTTATTAATTTTTTAATATTATTATCAATTATTTATATTAATTTGAGAATACCATTGAATCAAATCTTAAATTATCACAATATTATCTAATATTTATTATCACCAACTTAAAATTACTATTCATTAATATAATTGATATTATTATCTCATTCAATAATTATAAGAATTATCATAATCTAAAATATCATTATAGATTTAAGATTATTAATGTAATTTGTATAAAATCAAATTAAAAGTATTTATAAATCATATAAAATAGTTTAATAAGTTTTATATTCTAATTTTAGATGACATTTTTATCATATCACAATCCTATATTATAAATATAAGAATTTAAGAACTCCTATAATCTTAATTTTGATTTTAAAAGACAATATAATTAAATTTACAATTATTTATTTTAAAAGTAATGTTAAGGCTATGAATTATAAAATTTCACTGATAATAATAATAAAATTTGAATTTCCTCACAAATCATTTAGTTTTTAATTGATCATCTTTATTATATGATAATTAATTAAATTACTATAAAATAATATCTTTAATTAAAATACTTCTAATATATATTTTAATTTTAGAATTAATATACAAATAATTATTAGTCATTCCAATTAGTTTTTATTTTGATCATCTATTTAATTAACAAATAATCCATTATTATAGTAAATTATAACATACTATGAATATCAAATACAATATTTAATTAATAATAATTTTTAAAATTAAATATAATATCAATTTATAGAAATCCCTATTTTCCATATTATTATTAATTCAGAATAGTTAGGTAATCAGTCATAATTCCATCTATGTCTTATTGTTTCTCATTATACAAAACTCTAAAATTTACAAAGACTACCCTATTTTATAAATTATAGAATAGAGGATTAGATATTAAATACAAAAAACAAAAGAAAAAATAGTGAATTCTGAATAGAGATTAAAATATTTGCGATATTTACTCTAAAGTGGGTTTTTCATCTTCTAATTTACAATTTATAAAAGTCTTCTGTTTAAAGTGATGTTTACATTGGATTTAAGTTATTCATTCTACTATTAAAATATTATATTGATATTACAATATACATCTAACTCTTCATATAATTTATAAATAGCATATCTAATTTTTACTACTTTAGTACTAGATCGTTTACTGCTTAAAAAACTTCTTGATCAAGAGTTTAATTTCCACATTAATTAAGACATCTTAAATTATTTTAATAACATCTAAACATAAATGAAGATAATGAGTTTGGTAATTTTAAATTAAGGTGTAATCATTAGATGCAAAATCTAGTGTAATTTTTTCTAAAAATTTTGGTATAGATATATATTGGAGGAGGATGATGCTTTTTATTAAATTGTACATAAATTAAAATGAATAATAAATATATAATTTTGATCCATAATTACACTCTTTCATATATGTTTCTACACTACACATTTTTAATAAAGAGAAATAATAAAAACTAAATTTATTTTATTTGATATTCTTTTTGTTATAAATTTCTAAACAATTTATTACAATATCATATACATATTAAAAGTCTTTTATTCATTAATATGTCAAGGATGCCTTATCTTTTACCATAATAATATTTTGAATGTTTAAAAATAATTTTAAGGGGAACACTAATAAGTATTTCTGGTAATGCTCAATATGGTTTAATATTCATTATTCTTAGTTAATTATATACTCATATATATAAAATAAATCATGAAATTTTTTATTTTGGTAATTGTTTAATTTATTTTTATCCTATTTCCAAAGATTAAGTTGTTATTCCAAATATTTTAATATATTTCTTACAACAAAGTGCAGAATTTACATTGAAATATCTAACAGCTACTTTCTTTTAGTCAAGATTAGGGAAGTTCAGATATTATTTCATATTTTAAATTGGTCCAAATTATTATAATATTTCAACAATATTTACTTTATCAGCTGGTACATCTAATAATAATATTGACTCTTATTGACATTTTTTCATTGCATTTTCTAATAGTTTAAGATCATGTTTAACTGGTTATAAAGATTCTAGCAATTGATTTTAATAGGATTTTAAAACTTCTTATATGGTATTCTAAATTTAACATGTATGAGTCTACAAATCTTTATTCATTAAGAAATGGTAACAATTCTTACAATAATTTAATTCAAAATCACAATTTGAATGCAATTCTTATTTTTTACATCCAAATTAAGAATTTCTACAAGAATCAATATTACAATTATGATTCAACATTTTTATACCTTATAAAATACAATTACATTTATTGCATTCTTTATAAGTGTACATACAGTTTTAGAGATGATTAAATATTTTATGAGCCTCAAATTCTTCACCACAATATTATGGACATTTAATAATTCTATATTGACAAATATCTTTATGAAATTCAAGTTCTTATGAGGTGAATTTTAAATTACAATTTAATGGACATGACATAAGATTACAATATTTTTATTAATGAAGTTTAAGATCTTTAGTTTTACCTTTCCAATTACAATTAGGACATTTAACTTCAATGTTATCAATCAAAAACATAGTATTAAAATCAATAAGACTAAATTTCAATTATTTATTTGCTTTAATAATCTTATAGATATGAATACTTAAATAATGTGAAACATCTATTCTACAAAGAGGACAATTCATTGCTTATTTACTAACCCATTCATCAAGACAGTCTCTGCAAAATGTATGTTTACAATCTGGTAAAATGATTGGAATATCAAAGAGATTATAACAAATAGCACATGTTAATTCTTCATATGGTGATTGTACAGAAGGATGTGCAATTATTTGAGTAAAATAATCATCTTCAAATAATTCCTTTAGTATTGCTTCTTATTTTGACAACTACATTTGAGAATTTAAAATATTAATACAATACCTAACAATTATAAATTAAACAATATAATAGAATGGATGATCATTAACTGCATTCCTTTATCAACACAAGAATGTAATTCGGAGATCTTAAATACAAGACAGCTGTAGAATCCTTATTATTTGATCAATGCAATTAACAATTAAGTATTCTATTAAGTAGATTATAATTCAAGTAACAAAAATTTATGAAATATTCAATTAACACATTTAGCTATTTAAAATATTGAAATAAAATAATTTATAAGAAGATCATATAAATGCACTTATTTCTAAATAAATTGTAGGAAATACTATTTTGGAAAAGAAAGTGTAAAATTTTTATTTTTTACTTTTTAGAGTTTCTAATATGTTTGTAACATAATTCTCAAAATTATTTGGTACAAATTAATACAATTTGGCATAAGCTGCAATCAAAATGAAGAATCATATGATAAATACATTAAGAATATAAAATGTGAAAGATAATGCAATAGATGAATTATTAAAAGTAATTGTATTTAATAATTTATTTTAAGGATAAAGAGATTTAAATACAATTGGATTTGGAAGAAACAAAATCATTTATGATTAAATAGAATTCAGATTAATAATTTGGTATAATAATTTAGATATATATTAATAGATTTCATTAGAAATTATATTTTATATAATATATAAAAAAATGAAAATTTTAGTTAAGATTTAAAATTATGGAAATAAAAGTTTGGAATTTAAAATAATGAATAATTAAAATCTAATATAAGCATTAAAGTGTAATTCATTGATTGGATTGAATAAGTTAAGTAAATTATTGATAAATTATGGATGCCATATTATTCTAAATTAGATGAGCTTTATTAAGCAGAATCTAATGATCAATAAGCATTTTAACCATTAAAATTAATTTCTGAAGTATATGAAAAAAAGAAAAGCAATTTTTTCATTATTGATTCTTTAATGAATCACATTAAAAATCATGATTATAATTTTGATAAAATACAAATATGTTTTGGTCATAGAAATCCTAAAGAAATCTTAATATCATTTCTTGAACTTTTAGATTGGTGTTAAGATATATAAAAATGGGAAAAAGTAAATATAATTATAATTATAGTTAATTTTTTCTTTGGTATAGAAAATCAAAATGAAATACATAACTGCATAACCATATTAAGATTCTTTTTAAGATGGAGGATTTGTTATGGAAAATTATCTTTAAACAATCCTTATAGATATTATTAATAAATATGAAGAAAAAGTGGATCCATAAAAATAAATTAATTTTATTAATGTAGAAACTTTAGATGAATAAAATTTTGAAGGAATATTATATGAAATTAAAAAAGATGGTATAGATTATTATGATGATCGATTGATGGTATGTGGAAGTATTACATTTAAATTTGAATAACAGGGTAAAATTGATGGTAAAATTGGATAGGTGATTATGGATATACCTGGTATATAGAAGTATCATATTATTAATATATTAGAATTAATATTCAAGTTAATTAAATCACTTAAGAATTTTTATTACCCTTATGGTAGAATGATAAAATATAGAAGATGGTTATCAAGTATAAATTATTTATATTTTTAGACTAATTTTCTTAAGATTAGTATAATGCATTAAGGTAGAAACTCAAAAGAAAGATAGAGTGAATAATACAATTAATTTATACTTTTGAGTTATCTAAATATGTAAATATTTGTTTAATATATTTTTAATAATATTAATATATAAAATGGCAGAAACAAAAGAAGAAGTTAAAGCTCAACCAAAAGTGTATTCATATGCAGACTTGATCGAATTTGAAAATAAATAAGCTTTTAGTTCCATTGGAAAAATGCCTATTTCAACTAAACAAACACTACCAAGTTACAGTTTCGGTTCTGCTGAGCGTGCCAATCAAGCAAAGCTCTATCATAATAAAGAACTTGCCAGAATTGATTTTGCAGGTATCAATCAATCTTAGTCTTTTAAGGAAAGGGAAGTCCTGGACCAGTTTACAATGTTAGAGGAGGAGATCAATTTTATTATACAAAGGATGCAAATACAAAATTTGGAACTGATCCTCGTAATACATTAAATACAGGTGCTAAATTTGATTATTATCAAAGAAAGGATGTTGATGTAAATAACTTATTCTATTCAAGTTTGAACCTTAAGAGGCAGATTTAAATAGAAAACCCAAAGCTGCAAATGTCAAAATCGGATTAGAATCAAGAGTATTTCTTTCTTAATATTTTATAGTTTCCTCCTGAAAAAAGACTCAAAGGAACACCTGGTCCTCAATATGATCCAGCCATTAAACCTGAGGTACCAACTCCACCTCAATTTTCCTTTGGATATAGAAGAGATATCCCAGGAGCATCAGCATTAGCCCCTACATGTTCTACTCCAGTTATAGTTGGACCTGGAGCCTATTTACAAAAGCCTCCTGCTAATACTAGCAATTTGGAAGACGCTTCCCGTTGGACCATTCCAAAAGGACCAAAAATTGGCAAGTACTTTGAAGGCTGGGATAAAAATCAAACATACGATACCAAATAGTAATCTTAATAAGATAAAAAAGAATTGCTGTAGGAGTATAAGTGAATTCCAAAAAGAAATCGTATCCTGCATTCAGTGTAGGAAAATCTACAAGAGAAGCAAAAGTGGGACATTTTAAGTAGTTGATGGTCAAGGTTCCTTCAAAGGTGCACATTCCTCATCCTAAAATTTGATTATTAAAATTACATATAAAAAATATTATATAAAAACTATATAGTTTTATATGTAAATATATATTTAATTATCATAAACTAATATGTGTTCTTCCTCTAATATTAACACTTTCCCATTGATATTATTTAAAAAAATCTTAATTACAGAACCATTAACCAATTTCATAAAATGCTTAAGAAATATCAATTTGTTTAGCACATGACTAAGACCTACTTAGATACTAAAAATTCATATAAATTGATTACTATATTTTATAGTTTAAATGATTCAAGACACTCTTATGTACAAAATTATCTGCTATTATTGAATATTGCATATTTCTAATCGAATAATCTATAACATTAATAACAAGATGTTTTATCAATAATAACAGGTTATTAATCAGTCCCTTATTTTTAATCATAATCAATATCAAACATTTTCCATTAATTTGCTCCTGATAAAAGAAATTTCATTTTATTTCTTTGTTATTCTTCTTTTTTATTTTATCTACTTGATATGTACCCTAATGATTCATCTTCAACTAATATTTCCTCTGTATATTATATTGGCTATTCTTTTTATTATTATCTATATTCCAAAACAGCTTCTTAAAATAATCGGTGTTGTTCTTCCTCATTGTAAATTTCTGAATTAACTATCTCCTCTTTATGACTTTAAGATTCTTTTAAATGTTAAGCCTATTTTTAAAATTGAATAAGCTTTCTTTCTTCAGTTTCCATTAATTTTTGCACTCTGTTCAATAATTTCCTTGCATCTATAGGAGGTATATTCATGTCTTTTAAATGATCGACTGATATTTCTTTTAAAAGATCCATCTCATCAAATCCATTTTCAAGTATTACTACTGCATGTTTATCAAGATTAATGGAATTGAGAAATTTGACAAACTTTATTAGAATATTTTATCTAATCTAAGTCTGTAAGATTTACATAATTAGACTTGAAGTGCCCGTTTCAAATTTTCATTTGCTGAATTCTTGCATGTAAAATTAAAACTCTATATAAAATAGCTCTGATTCTATTATGATTAAGTTTCTGATTGTTTGGTCTATTTAGAAAGTGAACTTGAACAAGATGATGGTCTAGATGACACCTTATTTAATTTATTTTTCTGTTGGAATTTTTTTGTAAATTCCCTATGTTTTTCTAATACATGTTTTCCATAATCTATTTGTAGTAATTTAGTTATGTACTCTTCAGAGGAATATTAGTTGATGCTGCTGACCATCTTGTGGATCCTTAGGCTTAATAATTTTTTTTTATTTAGCAGATTCTTTTTGAGATTGCAATATTTATTAAAACCAACAATTCTTTATTCCTATGCATATAAAAAATGATTAAACAATAATATCCACTTCAACTTATAATTTTTGAGTATTTCCTTTACTTTGACTTTTCTTTTTCATAATTAATTAAATTATAACAATATTAATTGTAATCCACTTCAATTAACTAATAAAACATTTAATTGTTTTTTAATATTTGAATTTTAATAATAAAGTATTAAAAATCATTTAAAGAATTTGATATTTTTATTGGATAATATAATCTAATATAATATTAATTTCAATCAATAAAATAATTAATTTAATATTTTCTAACGACATTTTTGAATTATGAATAATTATTAATTACTATTTATCTTACTTTGATATGGTTCTTAAAAATTTATTGTTTAAATATCTATATTTTTATATGAATAAATTAGAGTAATTAAAAAGTTATATGATTTATTAAAAAAACTAATATATATATATATATATATCAACATAAATCAAAAATAGTGCTAACATAAAAGGATACATGTTTTTTATAGAGTTGAGGATTGTGGTAATATTATAAAAGGTCTAATAATTATGAAGGTGTGTTTTTGTCTCTCATTTTCTTAGCAAATTTTGATATAAATGATCTATCTAAATTATGATTAGATTTAGCTAAATAAATGAGTTCACCAACATTAAATTAAATTGTTGTTGTTTCAGGACCTTTAAAATTATAAGCAAAATCTTCCTCTTGAAATTTAGATAATTAATTATAAGTTGCATCAATAAATGCTAGAATTAATTCAGGAATACCACGAATCATACCACGAACCATTAAATAATCCCAGCATCTTATACAGTCTTCCATTTTGAATACATATGTGAAAAGTGATAATATCATTTTACTAAGCCAAAATGAATCACTTATATCACTTAAGTTAAGTTTTGGAAATTTCTTTTTAATTTGATAATGTATTAAGTTAGTTAAAAAAAAGTGTAATGGCATATCATCAGAGAAAGCAAAACATAGAAGATGTTGTTCATTAATAAGCATTTACATAAAGGCTTAAAATACTTGATGTTCATCACAACCTGATACAATAAGAAGAACAGCACAAATGAAATTCATTCCTTAACAATAACCCATAGTTGGCAAAGCATTAGATAGAGCACAAAGTACTCTTTTTAATTGTTCTTATCCACAACTTTAGTGAGAAAACAAAGCATTATCAACAAAAGTACGATCTATATCTTTCATAATATTAGATATGTCTGTTGGTGGATTTTCTAAATATTTTTCATAACTAATAGGAGGTTAGGATTTTGTTAATAAATTCATCCAACTAAGCCATCTAAATTACTTAGGTGGACCTAATAACACTAGTTCCTTGAATTCAGGTTTATCAATCAGAGAATTAATAGTTTGTTATGAATCATTAATTATACTTAAACTACTATTGAAAGCTTCAGACCATTTTGATTAAGCTAATTTATTGCGATATTAAGGTAGTTCTTAACCACATTAGTACTGAGAAAAGAAATCTGGGTTGTTTTCTTTATCGACAAGTGTTTATATACAAGAGCCAGATTTTAAATCTTCTCTTTTCCATTTTGTTTTTGTCTTAGGTGAGGTGTGATTAGTTCGATAGACAGGTATTTCAGCTAAGCAGACATTGTTATTTCCCATTGATAGATAAATAAAATTATTGTTAAATAGATGATGTTCAATTAAAATTAAATATTTCGTTAATTAGACAATTAGCTTTATCTAAGGCTTCAAAATTATTTTTAACTTTCTTTTTCTATGCTTTTATTGGTTCACTTGATTCACTTATTTCAGAATTTTCATCAATGTTTTATTACTTAATTGTTCTTTTTCTTAGATTGATTGTGTTTTAATCATTTTCATTATTAAATTTTCCTTTTTAAGGTGATTCCTTTTTTTATGTCTTTTTTGACTTTTTGTTTAATTTAAATTATTCAGCAATCTAACGAATAATTATATTTTCAAGTTCATCAAAGGAATCATATATTATTTATTTATTGAATTCTGAATCTTAGAATTAATCTTTTATTGATTATATTTTATCACGAATTGGCTAATATTCTTATTCAACTCCTTTAACTAGATTTTGTAATTTCAATATTTCTTGATTTTTTTCTAATGCACTTTGCTTAAGTTTGTTTAACTATTTTATAACTACAATATGATATCAGATGTTACTTTCTTAGTTTTCAGAATAAATCTGCTCACATTGTTATTAGAAAGACTCTATCATTATTATGACTGTTATTTAATATATTTTATATCATTATAATCTTGATAACGCACTTAAAATATCTGGAGTCTCCATGAATTTTGGCTTTAATTATTATTTAACTTATAGATTGGGGAATTTTCTTAAGGTTCTCAATAATTAAAGCACATAAGACATGTCCTCATTAGTATTGATTTATTCAATTGCATATGATATTGTTTCAGGTATTAATTCTTTATTTTAATATCTGACAAATTGTAATCTTAATAGCAAACCATATTGATCAAATTTAATGTACTTCTAAACATATTATTCTTTATTATTTTTATTAGTGTAATTGTATGTTAATGCAAGTATATGAGCTAATTGAATATAATACATATAAATACCTAAACGATTTAATTCACAAGGAGAAGCAACATCAAATCTTTAACTTTGAATACACTTCTCAAAATATTATTTAGAAAGAGTAAAAAACCTTTCTAAGACAGCAGAAGAATATACCTACTCTTATTAATCTTTAATTGCCTTCTTCACTATCTTTAAATGGCATTCTCTTGCCTCTTAAGTAGCACTTTATACACCCTTATTAAAGAGTTGATTCATAATTAAATCCTATTATGATTAAAATAATAATTATACTTTTTTATCATGCAATTTAAGGAATAAACTATAATTCTTTGACAATTATTTTAATCCTCTCTCTACTAAGTTAATGTCTACTATTAATTTTTCATATGTTATAGTCAATTATGGTTTAAATTATTAAAGTTAAAGTCCTTTCTCTTGGGATTATTGTATTAATTATAATGCTAAAACTTTCATTTCATTATTTCCTTTATAATTTAAAATACGTATAAGTGCACCAACCAATTTAAGAATATAAATTTGAAGTTATTATTATTCAGCAGATCTTATAAGAATTTTCATGAAATCATAGGCATATTTGAATGTTTCCTCTTTGCCAAATACAAAACTATCAATGAGCATTGAAACATATGGTTATATTCCTGCTCCATCTTAAATACTGAGTCCAGGTATTTAATGTATATTGATACGATTCATAAAACAAGTGTGTATGTTACGCATATTGTCGAAATGATGTTGCTTATCTAATGTGTTATTGATTGCATAAATGATTTTATTGGCTAAACTATAGAATTTTTCACTTTATTCTTTAGAAAGGCTAGTTGATTATAAATATAAAAATGGAGCCACTTTTTCAATAATTGCTTAAGAGAATTGTTGATGATCTTCAGATGTATTTTATAAGAAGTATTATAATACTTCTAAGGGAATAAGACAATGTTTATAGTCATTAGGTTATGCTTCAGATTCAAAAATTGGTTTACTTTTAGTTTATAATTATCTAAGAATATCTTCTATAAATATTGCTAAATAATTTTCAATATCAGATTTGATGTGAATACTCAATTATTAAATACAATAGATGAGAGACTCAGTTCTATCATTCCATTCATTATGATCATTGAAATCAGCACATAAATAGAGATCATTAAACAATATCTGGATTGGTATTTTGTTTTCATACTTTTTATATATGACACTAGAGAATGTGGATGCATTATTAGTTAGAATATCAATTTTGAATTAATGTAAAGGTGGTACCAAAATCAACACTATCAAATAATGCAATACTAAAGTCTAATTCAATTAACATAATCTGGAAAATACTTCTAAATATCCTGAATATCTAGGATCATTTTCATTCATATTAGATAAGTCATTTAAATATGGTTCAATTATTAATTCAACAAATGTAGTTTACTTAACTTTATTAATCATTGTACCTATTGATTAAAATAATTAAGATTTAACCAAATTATCTTAACAAAAGATATACAATCTTGAATATTCAATAAATTGATCTCTATATCTTGTAGCTATATCTAAAGATATATGAATATAAATTTGATTTAATGCTGAATAAGCTCCCTTAACTAATGATAAATTGTGTTAGTAATTTTATAGGACAAAACCTATATGATTAAATGCTTCACTCATTTAAGTTTCTCCATATTTTTCACAGAAATTTCTAATACTATTAATACCATTCTATATAACACGATCTCTACTCATAATATTACATAATTAAATAACGTATTATTTCAATCCTTTCCTCAAAGTCTTAGGAGTATTATCTATAAATTCCTTCCAAATTGCAACTGCATTTTATCTGACAATATCTGCAACATCCTATTACATTGTATATAATGTCATCAAATTCAAATAATATAAATCAATATTAATATATTGTTGACTATCTGGATTATTTAATTAAGCAAACACATATTTTTATGTTATTTTGAGCATTTCTCCACTTAAAATAGTTCCTGCATTACGTTTCTTTGCATCCTCATTTAACATAGTCTCTGTCAATGATGGATACAATAATTCATTCTATAAAATACCAAAATTCTTAATTAAAATCTTTAATACTCTTAATGTTATACTACTTACTACATCATCTTCATGACTTACACATTCATAAACATTTTCAATTACATCTTTAACATAATTTTCAAATTTCTATTATAAAATACTTGGAATATAAATAAATATTCCTATATATCCTTCCTTAACATATATTTCTGGTCTCTATATCTAACTGAATATAAATTATAATTATTCCTCTAAATAATTATCTCCATGAATACAAGAAATCTCAGCAAATGCATGTGCTGCACCTGATCTCTTATTTGTACTTGCTTCTTTATTCTCCAATACATCCCATATAAATTTAAAAAAAGTCTTAGTATTTTCAATTCCAATCTTTTGTGATAATTAACCAATTGCTTTTGCTGCAACTGTTCTCACTTCCAATAAAGGATCTCCAATTACTACTTCCAATCCACCAGTTATCAAATTCATATATGGTACTAAATCATCACTTTTCTATATTAGATGAGGTAAACCTCCTATTAAAATAGAAGCTTATCTTCTTTAATCACTGTCTTATGCTCTAAGACCATAATCTATAATTGGAATCAATAATGACATAGCAGGAGCATCAATATAATGTCTGAACTTTGTTTCCAATACAACTTATAATCCTCTTAAATTCTCATCATAAGGATTTGATAATGAGATAATGAGTATATCTGCAATACTTGAAATTTCAGGATTTTTAATAGTAGATCCTATTTCATTCAATGATTTATTAGCTTCTGCTTTTACATCAGGATGAGTATCAGAAATAGCTTTAGAAATTGAATTAACAATCTAAGGAAGACAACTTGATAATTATTTTGGTGAACAATGTGCCAAATGTCCTAATGCCCAAATATTTGCAACTTTAGCTCTCCATTAAGTATCTGAATCTAGACCTTCAAGTAATGGTTAAAGCATAATCTTAACACCATAACTTGAGAGGGATTACAATAGTCTACTTGCATTTGTCATGGCTAAATTACGTACTTCCACTCTACCTTCTCCAAAATATTTCATTAAAATGCCCATCACTTTTAATACATATGGTTCTATTGTCTTTTAAAAAATCTCAATCATTGCTTATAATTATATTAGAACATAGAATTTATCCTCTACACTCTCTTTTTTCTCTTTGACTTCTAATAATTCCAAAATACCCAATTTTTCCATCATTTCTACACCCAAACCTTTTATTAAACCTGCAATCATATATGCATTTCCTCTCTTTACTTTTTCATCTTTTTCTTGTTTGTTAGATTTCAATAATTCAATAACTAAATTATCAGTATCAGGGAAAAAACTTAATAATTCTTATAAAGAACGAGCTAATTCCAATTATGAATCTTTGTCACTGTTTCTAAATAATTAGACAATCTATTCTTAAGTTTTACGTTAATTGTGTCCTTATAAAAATTAAGACAAAACACCTAAAAATGTTATGGCACGTATAGATGCACAAGTATTTTTTGATTAAAGATGATTTTCAATTTAATTCAAAATATCATTAGAATTTTCTTTACCTACACATTTAATTAATTAGACTCCTGCTTCTCTACATAATACAGCTAATTATTATCTTTCTGGAGTAGATGAATATTGAATTAATAAATCTATTGTTTTACCAATTAATTATTTAGGATAAGTGTTTAATTATTTACTAACAAAATATGGAAAGAATTCTAATTATTCTTCTTATAATTATTAATCAACAACCAATTTAGATGCTGCTTATATTATCATCTCTGGGAATCCATTTACATCATTTAATATATTAATCATGAATTCACTATGTTCCCTTGGGAATTTCTTGACAAAACTTACAATGTCCCATTTTTAGAGTTAATTTAAGACTTTAAATTCCTTATCTACAAAAGGTTAGGCAGCTTCTTTTGTTTCATCAAATTCTGCTAATACTCTGACTTTAATATGAATGTCAAAATTATCAGGTAAACTTGGTATTGTTTTTAAAATTAAATTTTAAGCTTCAGGTACAAGATTCAAAATATTATTAAAGAATAAATGATAATGTTCTTCACTATCTTTATTGAAAATTAATTGCAATACTTATCCTGCATTTTTGGCATGTCCACAAATATTAATGTTAAGAACAAATGGTGTAAAATATTCTTTAATAGCTAATTAATCTTTATATTTAAGAATGATTGCAAAAGTCTTGAACTTAGTAATAGGAGTAAAGGAATTTTAGTTAATAATGTATAAATTCATTAAATGAATTAAATGAATAGGTGGATTTTTGATGTCTTTCAAAAGACAATCTTAAAATTAATTAATTTTTTCTATAATCTTATCACTAGGGATAGTATTCATACTACGTTCTAAAAAGAAGTATGTAAGAGGCCATTTAAATTATTGTAATAAGGGATTAGTTTCAAAATACTTGAGTAAAAACATACAACAATCATATCTAGTTTAAATTTCTTTAGCAAAAGCAGATATTTTATCAAAATATTTTGTAATAAATTATTCTTTGGCTTTAGTGTGAAGAAGACCTTCAAATAATTGTAAACATAATGAATATTATTAACACATCTTATTTTTTTATTTCAATAACATTTGTTACTTAGCTTCTCCTTCATCCATAAGCACTGCATTATTATTTTCAAATTTTTTTAGTTCTTATTATAATTACATTTCAGCTTCATCTACTGGCTTATTATCAGTCAACCATTTTAATCCTGATTATTATAAAATAGTATGATCATATTATTCAATTTACAATTATTCCAATTATTCATCTAAATGATCTAAACTATTTAATTTATTAATGTTTTATGGATTCAACCATTCTTCAATTGGTTTAACAATTTCATTTATATATCCTTATTCAACTAGAAGTCTACAATAATTAATTGTAGATTAAACTGTATATATATTATTGCTCATTAATCCGTGATTAGTAAACCAAGTAATAGGATTAACATCGATATCATATTTTGGTAATTTATAATGTAATTGAGAAATAAATGTATGAGAAAAGGTAGTGTAAATATATTGAGGTGATTCAATTTATGTATTTCCAATTTAAACCATCATCAATCTAACAAAATGTATTAATCTATCTTTTCTAAAATTGATTCCTTCTCCTTAATATGGATTAATTTAATATAAAAATTCATGTAATGTCTTAAATATTTTATTATAAAGTATATTAATATCGATTGCTTTAAATAATGTTAATAATTCTAATGATTATTTAATATTTACACTATTCTTAACTTTACCACTAAATGCTATTAATATTATTAATGGTAATAAATAATTGAATTAATCATTTTCATCATATGTAATTGCCTAATATACAAATAAACAATCCAAAAATAATTAACTTTCATTTTAACATGATGGTGATATTAAATACTTTAATTAACATAAATGACTTTTTGGATTGAAGATTTCAGTATTTTTATTCAAATTTTCATTAATAGTAATCATTAATTTAGCTGGTGCATCATCTTCACAAAATAGTGCATATAAAACAACACATTTTAATTAAGCTAAGAACATAACTGGTTAAGTAACTACTTTAGCAAAATTCTTAAACTAAAAAATATTAAATATATTAATTTACATTTGTAGCTAATCCATTAACTATTTATTCCATAATAGATTCTAAATCTTTACTATTTGATTCCTATTTCTTTTCTAATAACCAATCCACAACCAATAATGATACAAATGTATTTGTATATTTATTGATACTTAATAATTTCTTTAAATGTGCCCAATTACCTAAGGGTATTTATAGATCTCTCATTCTTTTGACCATATCAAATACTTTTTAGTCATCATTTAGAATTGTTGCCAAATTATATATAATTTCAACTTATTTTTCACATTTATGAGGAAGAGTACCAAGAAATGCAAATTTTCTATTTTCATCATGAGTACCTTAAATCATTTTACCTACAAATTAAACTGCTATAGTTAAATCACCTTTTACACAAGAATGTGCTAATTTTAAACATGTGATTGATAAATCATTTTTAATAAATTCTGTCAATGCATTATGAATTGATCCTAATTGTGGTGTAATATCATATTCTGTGTTAACTAATTCACTTAGTACTATTTATAATGTATCCATATTTTATTCAGATCTCTTTAGTAAACGAAGACATTATTCAATACATTAATTTGTCAAATTATCCTATAATGCCTTATAGAATTGATGCTTGAATGTTAGAGAATCTTTAATAAAATTAAAATAGACATACCACTCTTTCTGATTTTGGAATCTACAAAAAATTCTTCCTTTAATTTATCAAATAATTATTATCCCTATTGTTGAGATGTTAAAATTAATGTGTGTTTCTTATTAAAGTCAACAATTTCATGAGGTACATTTTCATTAATTTTTAACTTATTCCTTAATTTAAGATCAAAATATTGAGGTATTTGTTATGGTTTTTTGAGCATTCTCAATAATCTTTTGATTTTTTAAGCATCATAGTTTAAGTTTTCAATCTTTTGGAACAAATCAGGATACTAGTCAGAAGGTAGAGATTATAAATATTGTCTTAATTAAGCATTTGGCTTAACATAGGAATATCGAAATCGTTTAAGAAGCTCCTCATAATCAACTTACATCATTAATTAAAATTTAATTTATTTAACATTTTAATAAAAAGAGTATATACTTGAATGTTCAGAATATATCGTATCATATGTTTCATTTTTTCTTCTTTAAAAGTGCAATTACTCTCTCCATCAAATCCTTAATAAAAATAGTTGTTTATGTATTTGGAATTTATGATGTATTTTATTGATATTCAACCAATAACTAGAATGAATAGATAGGCTTACTTATTCAAGATCTTCACTTCTACTAGCCTCAATCTTATTCATAAATTCATCAGTCAACTCAAAAATTTAATTGGTCTATCTAAATTGCATAAGTGCTGTAATACATTCATAGGACTTTATTTGGGCAAAGGAGTCGAATAGGCACCACTCTTTCCACATTCTAAACCCAATTAATATTATTCATTGTTTCCAAACATATACAATGCCCCATTTTTAGACAGTACAGCTGAATGATGTCTTCCACAAGCTATCATTTCTCCATTAATCTATAATATCTATGGTGTATCTTATTATTTATAATCTCCCAATCCCAATTATCCAAATTATCCAGATCCAAATACATAAATTTAACCATTAGTTTATAATGCTATACTATGAGCTTCTCCACAAGCTACATCTCTAATTGATTACAAAGAATTGATTTAATTTGGTTTACTACAATCATTCGAATTCCCATGTCCTAATTATCCTTATAATCCACGACCCCATGAATATAGATTTCCTTGAGTATCAATTGCCAATACATGAAATGTTCCCAAGGCTAATTTTGCTATTTTAATATTGCCAAATGATGTTATTGGAGATGGTAATTTCATACATTTGGCAAATGCATTTTATCCTAAACGACCAAATTCATTGCTACCCCATGAAAATAGACGACCTTCTTCATCTATTGCCATTGTATAATTATGTTATGCATAAATATCTACAATTCGAGGAAGATTATCTAAATCTAATTGATGAGGAATAGCAACAAATTATTCTGAGGCATCGAAACCCAATTATTAATAAGTATTGGAACCCCAAACGAAAATCTTGTTTTCATCCTCAACTTCAATTAATGCTACACTATGATCCAATCCAACTGCTATCTTTTAAAGTTACCATCCATATTATGAAGCTTCACTGAAAATATCAAACAATGTAGGAGTAGTTACAGAATTATTCATACCTAATTTTCCTTATTTGTTTGAACCACTAATATTTTAAATTATCATACACTTACCATCCAAAAACCTATGTATCTGACCATGCAAACCAATGTTCTTTTGAAGCTGCTATCTATTCAATATCCTGCAAATCTAATTACTATGGAATTTGTATTCCTTATCCCCACATAAACACTTTTCTTTGTATTGTAATACAAAATGTACTTTCAGCTCCGCAAGTAACCTTTTTTATTACAATACTTTTACATATTAGATTTATTCTTGCATGGCACTTTATATTGGAACACACACTCTGTTTTATTTTGATTCCTACAGCATTATTCAGTTAATGAATTAATTAAATTGTGATCTGAAATCATAAATCATAGAGTATTTTGAAGAATTGTAAAACAAATTGAATCAAATTGGCTATTCTGATATACGTGTTATACTCCCAGATGATATTTCAGTAGCATTTAAATATATTACTCGAATTCTAGATTAATTTATAGAGTAAACTCATAATATACATAAAGATTACATCAAGAAATAACTGAATAATATGAGCTATTGGAACAATCATTATAAAAAAATGAATCTGAAAATCGATATCACATTCATGTTCATTTTATCATTTATTTCAGGTGGAACAAAGATTGAAGATTCATTGTGATTCATTATAAGAGAATCTTACTTAAAAAGATGAGTAATGTAGAATTCTTTAAATGAAGATTGATGTATTAATTCTTATTCAATTTTAAGCTTTAAGAAAGATAAATAATCCAATTAAAAAAAGAAATTGATGTTGCATCAAGGAGAAGAATAGAAACAGATAAGAGTGTAACTGACACTCAATCAAGAGTATATATATCATCTTACAAAAGCAATATTTAATGATAAATGGAATACCTTCATAATAAACAATCAAGTAAATAATTAAACCCAAAACTCGACTATAAACTGAATCTATAGATATCAATAAAGTTAGATCTATCTCCTCCTTAGATTATAATAACTTTTCTATTTTAATTAGGAGAAATGATGAACGAAAAAAGAGGTCATCAACTATTTAAATCAACAAAAAAAAGTGATCCTTTTTAATATTAAACTATCAATTATTTACATTTACATAATTTATAAAGATTAGAATAACTTATTTTAAGCTTAAATTGATTTCTTTTTATAAAGTTGAGATTTTAAGTCACAATAATTATTAAAATTGATTTATCTATTCTAAATATTGATTCTATATTTTTGTATTGATTAATCATACAAAATAATCAAATGGTTGACATTAATATTATCTATTGATATGTTTTTAAAAAATATTTGTAATTTTAAATGTCTTTATTATTTATTTCATTTATTTTTAAGTTTCTGTAATCAAATTAATTTTATTTAAAGTTTACAATTAATATTAAATCTAAATAATCTCTTCTCCACTTATATTTTATTTTTCAATGATTTCATTAATATTTGATGTATAATTTAGGTCATTCATCCTATTTTAAAAACTGAAGATATATTTAAACTTTTGAGTTTGATATCATTAATCATTTCATTTTTATACTAAATTTAGATCTTGGATTTGAAATTTATATTTAATCATGTATTCTTTCATCTTCTAACCAAAATTAACAAATTATTATTGTATAATTTGAATTTTGGTTAATCTATATTAAAAGTCAAGAAACTCATTAAATTTTCTATAAATTTTATATATGTTATTCATATTAATAGACGATCTTTGGCAATTTCCCACCAAAATCCAGCACCCAATTCAATGAGATCATCATTAAAATCAAAGTTTGACTAATGCAACATAGGATTGTTTGTATCACTAATTATAAACTTATTAGGAATATTTTACTTTTTTCCTGAACTCAAAAAGAAGAAAGCTCCAGGTACTTTAAGAGTATAATTTCCAAAATCTTCAGAGGCATAAACAGGACAAGGACCAGCATGTGCATTGCCAGCACCAAAATATTTTTCACCAAGTCTTAATATGTGTTATGCTTCTTTTGGATGATTGGCAGTCAAAGGATAGTTTTCTGCTTATCTTTAAACTTTGACACTACATCCATATTTTTAACATTTCTTCTCTGCAACACTACAACACTAATATATAATAAGAGATATAATAATACATCATTAAACAATCTATCACCAAGACCAGCCTCTAATGAACGTATCATACCTTTAACAGTAGCAGTATCTGGAATGACATTGAAAGCTGTGCCACCATTGAAACATGTCCATGCAAAAGTAAATTATCCCTTTTCTTAACTTAATTAATTGTGAATAGTGTAGAGATATTCAGCTGCACATTAAACTGGATTATTAAACTTATGTGGTTCAGATGCATGACCACCTTTCCCCACAAAATCAAATTGCATCTGAATAGGTTGAGACATCATTGATCCTTCTTTACACCATACTTACCCAATCTTAGCAGTAGGCCATTAATGAAATCCATATACTTCCTATACATTTTCTAAACAGCCATCACGTATCATATCAACAGAACCTCCATAATCTTCTTCTGCAGGTTAAAATAATAATCTCACTGTTTTATTTTTAGGAATAGTATTTTTATAATGTTAAAAGATCTATGCAAAAGCCAAAAGACAAGTTGTATGACCATCATGTCCACACATATGGGCACATCCATTTGTACTTCTATATGGAAGATGTTCATTGGCTTCATTTAATACTAATGCATCAATATCTGCTCTGAATGCAATTAATCTATCATCTCCAGCCTTTTCTGCCTCTCCACTCAAATCAACAATTAATCCTGTTGTTCCACACACTTTAATGACATCCTCTTTAATATTTAAACCAATCAAGAATTCTCTTACATTCTTTTGAGTTTAGAATTCTTTTAATGAAGCTTCTGGATTCTAATGCATTAAATGTCTAAAAGTAATAAGCTTTTGAAGATCCAATATTTATTTCATAATTTTTTTATTTATTTTATAAAATTAACTTAGTATCATTTAGTATTTGAAACATTTTAATAGTGATTTTTTTGATTATATTGTCATGAGATTGATTATTTTTAAGTATTGTTATTAAAATTTTGTTGATTGGAATTTTAGATAGTAATTTGATTATGATAAGTAATATTATTTGAGATTAATTAAGGATTTATATATTTAAAAATGTGCCCTTACTTAATGTGAACATAAGAAAAAAAGTTTAAAAAAATAAAAGAATAAAACAAGTGAAATATTAAATAAGAGATTATTATTAATAAATGATATATGAAATAAGACATGAGAGGAAAAAGAGTGAGAATAGTAATGCAATAAAGTTAAAATAGCGGTAGAGTGAGGAAGTTTAAGTGATTAACTAAATTAATTAATCTGATAGATTGAATTCAATCCATTCTCAATTGAAGCAATCTATAAATATCTCAGACAAGAGTAGTTATCTGGGACTTGAAAATCGATTACTCCCATAAGATAGTATATCTGATCAAGAACACTTATAGAAAAGACACTCTTAAGAAGGATTTCAAAATAAATTTGACAATGAACAACCCATTCCTCTGATTTAATTAATTGAACATGATGCAAGAGATCGTTGCAAAGTGGATATAGTGAAACAAATGAAATGTTAGGGTGATCTGAGTGAATTTTAAAGAAAAGCTGAAGTTGAACCAGATTTTTTGGATGTTGATTAAGACATTATTCATAAGCATGTAAAACATTCTCAAAGAAATTACAGAACTGACCCATATTATGTTAAGTTAGTTGAGCTACACGGATACCAGAGAATCAAACACGAACTGGAAGTAGTCCTCTTTATTTACATATATATAGCATTACCATGATCCTTACCCTTTGCTTCAAGTGAGAAAGATAATAGTGTACATGTCTTTTTTGATTCCGATCTTGGCAAAGACTATAGTAAACTCGATTGGATTTCAAATTTTAATGACTATCCTTATACTCTTTAATATTGTTCTGTACATTATTGTGAAGACTGAACACAGAGAAGACACAGATCAGATAGAATAAATAATTACAATCCTCTTTTTTACAGAAATTGGATTGAGAATCATCTCATAAGGTTTCTTATTATCAAAGAATGCTTATTTCGTCAACTTTTCTAATGTTTTTGATTTTTCGATTGTACTCTTATCAGCACTTAATTTATATCGTCCTGATATAGTGATAATAGATTTATCACCATTGAGAATAATAACTCTGCTTCAGTATCTTGGAGACATATTTGATGGGTTGAGAGTTATGCTTACTGCTTTAAGGTAATCAATCAAATACATTTTGGAGGCCTTGGCCATTGTGGGACTATTCTCCCTATTCTTTGCCTTGGCTGGACTCTATTTATTTTAAGGATTATTCAATTATAGATGCATACCAATAAATCCAGATGAAGATGCAGGAGATGTTTGGATTTAATGTAATGTTGATTAATGTCCTGATGAAATGATTTGCTCATTTGTTGCTAATACTGTGAAGGTTCCAACTTCATTCAATAACATTATTTATTCATATGGATAAATTCTCAGAACCATCACAATGGATGATTGGAGTTGGGTGATGTTTTTTACAATTCGCATATTTAGTCCTTGGGTTTGGATTTACTATTTATTAATTATTTTTGTGGGTGGCTTTTTTGGTTTCAATTTGGTTATTGCTGTACTTAAAACACATTATGCTGAAGCTGCTGAAGAGTTTTTCCATGAATAGGAGTAGTAAGAAATCAATAAACAGTTATTAGAATCACAAAACTGTAATGAAATATAAATCAGAGACACTTCTAATATTTTTGATGTTGCTTTACTTAAAAACATTGGATTTCATAAAACCTTTTAACAATACTATAAACTATTAAACTCTTCTAAAAACATATCTTCATATAAATTGGAGGATTTCTAATCAAAAAACTCTACTTAACCACGTCTATTGTCTGCGAAGCAAAGAAATGTTAATGATAACAATGTAATTTCTTGTTCTTTATTACTTCTAGATGAATTTCATCCAGTCACTTTTGTAGAGATTGAGAGGACTGACATTCAAACATATGCTTCTAACCAAGTTCTCTAAGCTTAGAAAATAATAAGAATTGATTAATCTCAAAAACTACACTGATGATGAAGATTATCTCAAAATCCTGGAAGATTTAATGAAATTTGACTTTGCCTAACTTTCAAAATAATTAAATCCAAATCAACATCAAAAATATACCAGTCTTGAAGATGTTATGCCTTCCTTTTTGTATTATTATTCTTTTATTTAGAAATATATAAAATGTGAAAAAGCACATTGATGATAAAGTTATCGATTTCAGTAAATACACATTCTCATTTTAATATGCAATACCTTAATCGAATTCATTGCATGATTAAATATTTAAATCTAATAATATATCGAACAGTTTCAAATATCCTATTAAAAAGTCATTTCGAGCATAAAGACACATAATAAAAGAAAATTGTTCTTAAGACTCAGTCACAACAAGAAAACCATGTATAAGAACTGAAAAAAAAAATTATAAAGGTTTTACAAAACATATGGTTAAATCTAAACATAATGTTTAATTTGCTATTAAAAAAGGTGATGTTGTAACCTTTTTATTTATATAAGGGTATTATTTAAATTACGAAAAAATTTTATACAAATTAAAATAAAAAATTGAAAAAGAGAAAATTAAATAATAATGTCTAGAATAAGAATATAAAAATATTAGAATTAAAGACATTAAAAATAAAATAATTTCTGATCTAAATTGGTCAGGAAATGATGTTATTGAATCCAATTATTTAAGTATTAATTTTAGAAGTACATTGATTGCTATGAATAAAGTTGATCATGTAATTTGGGTTAGGGGAATAATTGGAAAAATTTTAATTCTTAGGAAGTATTTAAGCAGGATGGTTTCCAGTAAAATAACTGAAATTGCTTTAGATTTATTAATTTTTATCAACTTTACTTTTTTATCACTTTATGGAATAGTTGATGCTTCAATAATTTCCTAAGTTGAAGATATTACTACTATTCTTTTATCAATTGAAACCTTCTTAAGATATTGTAGTTTTTCATTTAAAGAATTATCTAATAGTAATGAGAGTATCATGTAAACTATGATAGTTGTACTGAATTTCATTGAATTTACAATGAGTGATTATATGACTAATCTAACTGAATAAAACTTAAGATTAATAAGGGGAACTAAATGCATTTTATTTTATCGATGTTTAAAATACAATAGCATGGCAGTAACAATAGGTCACATAGCATCTAAAACATTTAAACAATATATTTATTTAACATTTTTAATGTTCATTGTAATATTCTTATACGCCTTGGTTGGTATGGAAGTTTATGCAGGTAGATTTGATTAAAATGATGTCTTAGGATAACTACATTCTTATAATAATGTTTTAAAATCATTTATGACAGTGTTCAATATAATGACAAATGATGATTGGTATGGAGTATTTGTTTTGGGAACAAGTATAAATGAAACTTTTGCAGTAGTTTATTCATATTCTATGGTAATTGTCTTGAATTATTTAACATATGGTTTGGTATTGGCTATTCTTTTGGATGGATTTGGTAAATATTTGGATCGTTAAATCTTTTCTGAAATGGAAGAGAATGAAACTCCAAAATTAATTGTCTAAAATACAGAATAATTAGAAACTTAACATACTCAACAATTTTCAGAAATAAATAATATGAGATCAATATAAAATGTTACATTTCCAAAAACCAATAGTAAATAAAAGATTGCATTAATTTAACATTTAATAAATTCAATTAGATAGATCTATTAAAAAATACAAGATGAGAATCCAGAACTCTACAATGGAGTAAATTGTGAATAATCCTTATTTTGTTTTGATAAAACAAATCCTTTAAGAAAATTATGTATGCTTGTTGCCAGATCTAAATTATATATCTTAATTAATGATTTATCCCTTGTATCTTCAATTGTTATTTTTATCATACAAACTTACAACGATTATGAAGAGGATAAAGAAACCTATCCATAAGTAGCACAATTTTACATCAATCTAATTTTGGCTGTTGATTATGCTATTAATGTTATTGCTAAAGGATTGTTTATAGATAATGGAGCTTATTTTAATTCAATTTGGCAAATTGTTGATGTAATCTATATAATTGCCTTCTTCATATAATATGAAAAGGATGATTATATTAAACCTATATTTTAGATCTTTTTATATGTGGGATATTTTAGACCTTTTAATTTATTAAATAGAATTACTATCTTGAATGTCTTAAGTTCTGCACTTTATAAATCATTAGTTGATATATTGAATGTATTATTAACTCTGTTTTCAGTTTGGATCATCTTTGGAGTTTATGGAATAATATTATATGAGAGACAATTTGGGTTTTGTGAAGACAAAATGCAATTCCGTGTTAGTTATTAAGAATGCATAGAGTAAAATAGAACTTGGGTAAATTTCAAACACAATTTTGATAATATTACTATGGCTATTCCTACATTATTTACAGTTTCAACATTTGATGGATGGGGAGAAATGTTATAGATTGCTGAAAATAGTGATAGCTCTAATGTTGGGCCAGTTCCATTTAATAGTTACATTCATACTTATGTGTTTTTCATTTCATTTTGCTTTGTTGGTTCTATGTTCTTTTTAAGTTTATTTACAGGAGTACTCTTTTCGAATTTAAAACTTAATCAAAGAAAAATTGAAAAAAAGGACTTCAATCAAAATTAAAAAGAATTCATTGAAATATCTGATATAATTACTAAAGATATTCCAGTATTCTCTACACCACCTGATAATGTCATTCGTCGATTTGCTTCTATTATTATGAATGATAATATTATGCAGACAATCTTCTTTATTATTTTACTTCTTGATTTGGTTAATAACATACTATTTCATTCAGATATGAGTACAAAACATTTGATTATAATCAATTACATTCATCATGGTTTTTCTATTGTAATAACCATATGGGGATTAATTCAATATCTGGCTTTAGGATTGTTTAGATTTTTTGATAATTATTGGAGACAATTCCTGTTTATTTTGATTATAATTGCAATAGCAGATCTAGTAGCTGATTTTGAATTTGCATGGGTTGAAATTTACTTCTATTCCAGTCCTTTAACACCATATTATAGACTATATCGAATATGCTTTATGCTCAGAAGTTTTAGATTAATACTCATCTTTTAAGGTTTGATAAATATCTAAAGATTGATGAGAGTAATGGTTTATGCCTTACCATTTTTAGCAAAAATATTTTTTATTTTGATTGACACAATGCTTGTTTTTGCTTTATTTGGATGTCAATTATATGGTTAAATAGATTCAGGATAAGTTATGGATGAATAAATCAATTTTCATAACATTGCATAGGCTATGCTTACTTTATTTAAATGTGCTTCAGGAGATGATTGGAGAACCATTATGACTGATACTATGCATCATAATCCTAATTGTACAAGTGATTCCTTGTATTGTGGATCAACCTATAGTCAAATTTATTTCTTTCTGTTTATGTTACTATCTAATTATGTGTTTCTAAATTTATTTGTACTAGGATTAATAGAATAATTTGAATCCTTTTTTTAAGTATAGAATTCAATTATTTAAACATATGTTGAAAATGAGGATAGGATTAAAACAATTTGGTGTAAGTATTCACCTGAAACACAAGGAAAAGCAATGCACTACAAATTCTTATGTAGATTTCTAATGGATTTAGGTGCACCTTTAGGGAGAGGGAAAGAAGAGAATCTTTGGGATGCTGCAAAATAAGCTTCTGCTTTTAAATTGAAATGGTATTTCTCATCCATATTTTAGTGATCATCGAGGGTACATTTAATATAATTAATTGATTTATGAATTATTTAGAACTTGTTTTCAAGATAATGTTTTTAAGACAGGAAGCAAAAATGGAATCAAATAAATCAAACAATATAACAAAGAAATGCAAATGAAATTGATGAATTATAGAAGAAATCTTTTTATCAAACGAGCTAATATTTGTTTGGTTGATTTGAGAACAAACTTCAATATATTACATGATTATTTAAATGTTCTAATTGCATTCAAGGCTTGGGAGTCTCATTCAAAAAAATTAATTAGAAGAGTGAACTTTAAAAATAGGGAATATACAGAAAATATGGACTCTTCAAAAGATGAATAGAATAATGATGAGTAACCAATTTTTCATCTAAATTAGGTTACAATAGAGTGAGAATTCTATTTTAAATGATATAAACCAGCTTAGAGGGTCTATATAGATTAGCGACACAGATAGATTTTAACCTATGATTACTGATGAAAATTAAACAAAGCATCTTCTTACTAGTTTGAGTTAAGAATCTATGTAGGCTCCTGAATTACCATGTTATAATCACTAATTGCCATAATTTTCAAGGAATCTATTTATATACTAGCCAAAAAGAAGTTGAGAATACTTTTTTGATAAATTTAGTTTTTGTAATTAGCTATTTAAAATCTTTTTTTGATTTAAGTAAATTAGAATAATAAAAATAAATAAATTATGTAGCAAGCACAAAAAAAATCTTGTTGTTAAAAGTTTAAAGAGTTATTTATAAAACCATAAAATCCATAAGGTTAAATAGTAGAAAATAAACCATTTATTTCTGGACCAAAACCTGTAGTATAAACGGAATGGCCAATTATAGAAGAATAATTTATATCAAAAATAGGATCAGAAGAAAGAAAAAAATTGTTTATTGAACTTCTCAAGAAAAATCATATAGTAACTATTGAATAGTTGATGCTCTCTTTTTAAGATTCAAAAGTAAGCTTTATAGGTAGGAGATGTTCACCAGCAGAATTTTTTATTCTTTAATAGATATATTATAATTATAATACTTAATAAAAAAATTTAAAATGGGAATATGAAAGTGCAAAATTACTTTCTAATGAAGACACTCAAATTTTATAATAAAAACCTGAAAAAAAAGTAAAAAATATTCTATTGGTTGGAACAACAGGATAAGGAAAAACTACTTTAATAAATAGTTTTTACAATTATATTTAAAAAACTAAATTGGATGATGGAGTAAGATATTTGGTAATTAATGATGATCGTTTAAATTAAACAGGAAAATCGGTGACAAGAAATGTAGATTAATACAAAATGAAGATAGATGATGATTTAATCTTTAATTTTATAGATACACCAGGATTAGGTGACACAGAAGGTTATTCTAGAGACTAAGCTATAATTGATCAAATCTCTGATTAATTAAAGAAATTGCATGAAAAAAATGAAAGAATTCATCAGGTTATCATCGTTTCTCAATTATCAACAAGCTATATTGTAGACAATAGTCACACACTTTAATAATTGGCTCTACTTAACGTTTTAAAGCTTTTTGGAATAGATATGGCTTACCATTATATTCATGCATTAACTTTTTCAGACTTTACTAGTATTCATAGACATAATTTTGAAAACCAATAATCCATCTTCTATGTTCTCAGTTAGAAGGACTGTTTGATGTAAACACAAAATATCAGCTAAAATAATATAACTTAATCTAGTCCAACTGTCAATGAGAAAAAGTTATTATTAAGTGACAACTAAATGAATGAAATACCTAAAGAATATTGTTAATTTTAAAATTCAGTCTACTTTTCCAAGAAATCTGATATAATTTCAAATATTTAATATAAAAAAAATGAAGAGAATTATAATAAATTTGTAAAAAAAATATCTTCAGATGAAGGATTTACATTAGATACAACAATTCAAGTAATCCATGAAAGAAATAGATTAAAACATTAAATTGAGAATTTGGGTCAAGAACTATAATTAAGAATGAAAATAGACAGAATTGTGCAAAGCAATATAACAAAAATTAATAATTATGATCAAATTGCTCAAGAAAATGAAAAATTTTTCTATTTTGAATTTGAAACTAAAATTGAAAAAATAAATTGTCCAGATCGAATTTTTATGACTAATTGTAATACTTGCTAGAAAACTTGTCATAAGAATTGTTCAGTGTCTAATGAAAATTTAAGAACTTGTAATGTGATGATTCAAGTGGAATCTAATAAATATATTTGTGAATCTTGTTAGCATTCAGTTGAAGAACATAAGTAAAATTATTTATATAATTAGAAATGAAAAATTTTAGTATGTTTATGATGTTATTTAAGTTAGAAAAGAATACGATGAAATGAAAGCTGAACTTGATAGAGCACTATCACAGAAGGAAATTTTAAATTAATTGTTGTAGAAAGAAAAGAAGAAAGAAGAGGAAAATGATATGAAAATTTAAGTCATTTTGGATGATTTAAGAAATTGTTTCAATATTCTATTCTCTTCAGCACTATACAAACTAGATTTAAAAGAAAAATCACTAAAGAACTTTCTTTATAGATATTATAAATGTTTTTCAAATTAATTAGAAAAATATTTTAATTAAAATGTGGATATATTGGCTACTAGAAGATTACTTTAAGATATGCCATTAAATGAATAAACAACTATTTTTAGATTAAGAACAGAGTAATTTTAATAAGTTTAATGACATATAAAATAATTAAAAATAATCAAATAAGTTTTTTATTTACAATTAAATTTTTATTATTTTATATCATTAAGCTATTTAAATATCTTTAAATAAAATGTGTCCTTGTAGAAATATTGATTCTCAATAATATAATACATAAAGGACAATTAAATATATATTTATTTCTGATTGAATAAATTAATAAGCAAAATAAGTTTATTATTGTGGTTTTTAATGTTTCACTTATAAATAAACCTGAAATTTTATGGAACTTAATTGAATTTAGACAAATATAATTAGAATAATACTTAAACTTTTTCTATAATCATTCTTTATTTTTGTCTGAGAATCTAATTATTGTTTATGGGTTTAATGATGATAAAATAAGTTAATATAACTTAAAATAATATTTTAACAGACTATTGATTTGTTTCATATATTATTCTAATTTACTAAAAACCATGCAGCAAAAATCAATCAATTTAGTACATAGAAGGTTTAAATTTCCTGAAATTGAAGGCTCCAATAAATCAAATCGCTCAAAAGGTTCACCAACTTCAAGCAGAAATAATACAAGTTAGGAGAGAGATCTTTCAATAGATGGAGGAAATTCAATTTAAGTGTTTAAAATAAGAAATCTTCAAATTTCTGAAAGGAGTGAAACTCCAAAAGAAGATAAAATATTTAGTATGAGCAAGAGTACACGTTTAAGAAGTAGATAAGAACCAAATGAAGATTATACTGAACATAATTAATAGGAATTGATTTTGCCAAAAATTTATTCACCCATTATAACTCCTCGTAAAAATGTTGTTTGCAAAATGAAAGATTCCATATTTAAACCACTTTTAAGTAGACAAGAAACAATTGATCATCTAATAAATATCAAATTATAAACAAAAATTCATGATTAATTAAAAAAAGGAGTGAATATTAAATGCTTATATTTATCATAACGAACAGATGTATAAATAAACAAAATTATTGTTTTGAATTTTGATAGTAATTTTGATTATTATAAAAGGTTTATTACTTGGAAAAAGAAAATCCTTTTGGGAACAACAAAATGATATAACAATGTGTTCATAAATTATTGGATCAAAAAAATGTGATAATTCTTATTGTGCTTGTGTATTATCAAAAGAATTGAAATCTACATTATTTAAGTAAGTTTAGTTGATTATTTAGTTTATCAAAACAATTTTATATTGTCTTTCTTTTTGAATGTGCAATCAGAGGTTAAGTATGGCAATAATATTTGATTGAAAGTGGATTTTCTATAGATGCTATTTACAGCATATAATAAATAAGATTACTTGGTGGGGGAATTAAAATGAAATAAATAATTTCTAATTTTGGAAGTTCTGATATTAAATAGTTATTATATTTTGGTAATATTGATTGCCAATCCTAATATATGAAAATTCCTAAAGAATAATTTTATTATCAAATTCCTATTGTTTAAGCAAAAATAAGTTTATAAATATACTTGCTATAACTACAAAAATCAAAATCCTTAGATTGTAAATTATTATTTGATATTTGTATGCTTAATTGTAATAAATCTGAAAATTTCAATTATAAAAGACAAATTGATGTTGTAAATTATGACTTAGAACCAATAATAAAATAAATGATTCAAAGTGAGGAAGAAGATTTTATTTAGAATAATATTTTCAAAAGCTTGTATGTATATATAATAAACTTAATAGAAAATAAGATGAAGAATAACAATTATAATAATTAGATGAAGAAGATTAAGAAGAAGAAATTGATTTAAAAAATGCTTTGTTAATTTGGTTATACTAAGCCAAAAAGTTATTATTAGATTATTTTAAAAGTATAAATAATGAAGATTAAACCTAAAATCCTATTAGTATGATAGGTGATGTATTAAGAAGAAATTCATCAATCCAATAAAATTATATTTTTGAAGATTATGAGAAATAGGCTAAAAGATATAAATTGTATAAAGAACTTTAAAATTCAACTACATCATAAACATTTTTTAGAAAATAAATTTAAATTGATTGTTTAATTATTATAGATTGAATTTAGAATACTAATGAATAATATTCTATATTATATTATATAAATTAATTAAAATAGAGTTACACATAAAATTCAAAAAATATTAGAATTAAATAATCAAAACTTTTTTGTTGAACATTTTACTTGTGATCTCAGATCTTATTTTAATTAATTCTACAAATTTTATTTATTAAGTTATTTTAACATTTATTAAATTAAAATACCTTTCATATTATTCGTAAGAGAATCTTATTTTTCACTATGTAATCTTCTAAAATGTTATGTTTATGGAGAACCATGTTTGTTTATTTTACTAAACAATTATTGAGTTTCTTTATCATGTCTATCAGTTAAACATCCTATTTCATGAACTGAAAATTTATTATATAAGGCTCTACAATCAGATTTAATTTTTTTATGTTGTTTCTTTTCAAGTAAATCATTTTATTACTATATAAAACTAGGTTTTTATTTATTATATTAATTAAGAACTTTATCTTAATTTAAATTCTATTTAATATTGTTAGAATTCTTTTAATTTTAAGCATTTAATGCTTTTATAAATAAATTCTTTGCTAATAATCCAATTTTATTGTTATTTTAAGGAGAATTCGTAGTCTTAAGTTTTTATTTTTTCTAATAATCCTCCCTTTATTACTTAGAGAAAGTTAATTTTTTATTATTGATTGAAGGACTATTTCTGGTTGAAGATGATCCAATTAAAGTATTTCTGCTAGATTAAGGTCTGTGTGTTATGGCACCATTTCTTAATTTTTATTATGATTCTACTTCTTCAAGCAAAAGTTTAGTTAATTGATTATTTTAGAATTAAATAATAGGCTATTATGAAGAACCTATTGATATTTTATGTAAAGATGGAGTAGGGGAATTTTAATTGTGTTCACCAATAAATTAATTTATTTTAAATTAATTCTTACTTACTAGTGTCTTAGATTTAACTTTAATTAATTCTGGAGGTTTATTCTCTAGTCTAGTTACACTCTCTATTATATCTGTTGATGCTTATCTATTAGATTTTTTAGAGAGATTATTAAATTGATTCTTTACAAAATTATTTTTCATCTCTATTGAACCAATACTATATTTAGTTTCATTCTTCTTATGCATACTATTTCTTTTATTATCCTTTTATAAAATATTAGCTTTTTAATTCATAATTAATTCCTAAATCAATTATTCTTAAGAATTTCTTGCCGTTTGAGATATTTTCTATTGAATTTTAGCTTTACCTCCAATATACATTAGAAAATTATCTAAAGATACTTTTTCCTATTTTGAATATTTAATTATTGAAAAGGATGATTAATCTTCTCCTGATCCAATTTATTTACATAATTCATTAATTGTTTGAGAGACTTCTTTAGGCAAAGTTTTGTCATGCTAATGTAGTTATATGGTAAAGTCTTACTTTTAACCAACTCAATTCTTTTAATATTTAAATATTTTTGATATTCTAATACTCTTTTTCATCTTTTTCATAAAATGCTGATTCTTAAGAATTTGCAGGAGAAGGTCTCTCACCTACTATTCCCTTTGGTGGTTTATTTGGATTTAATTTATTTTCCTCTTCAATCATTTTAGCAATCCTAAAATAATCATACTTTCTTTTCTTATCATAATATTTGTTTAAGATTGAACATATTGGCTCTTAAAATATTCGTGCAATATCTACATGGAACTATTTCATAATAATTTTATACTTTGTAATATTCTGTGAGTAACTCTATTTTTTATGGAAATTCCTTAATTTAATAAAATCTCTTGAAATATTCTTCCTATTTATATTAATTACTTGAAATACATCTTCATCAATAACCAATTAATCTTTATAATTTATTACTATTTTTGTTTCAACATCACTTAATATCTCATTAATATCTCTTATGTAATAGTAATTTTGTGAGTGTTGGTATTTTTCATACAATCTATAATTCATAACTGCTATTGGTTTTCTAACTATTAATGGTAACGATTGGCTTTTCTCATGGAATTTAAATTTCTAATTCATATTGTTAATTAATTTTAATTATATAAATACAAATTGTGATTTTATTGATTGATGGATTTAGTATTCATTCTTATAGTTAAACCTATTTATATTAATGAACTAAAAGTTAAATATAGCTTCAATAATGAAATGTCATTTTAATTGAATTAAGGATTATACATTAATTGTTATTATTAAACTGTCAATTCATACCTATTAGTTGTATAAAAACAAATTTACTTAATATTAATAAATCCCAATATGTAATTTATTTACTTTATAAACTATATTATATTTATTGAGATTTAAAATAGCTTATAATTTTGAAATCAATTTGAGAAAGTAAAATTAATTAAATAAGTAATTATATCCCAATCTATTAATAATTCTTTCATAGTCTTAATAGAAATGAATTACTAATAGGAGTAACACTTAAATATTAGTAAAAATGGAGTATTGTATAATTAAGTCCTTTAGTGTTATTATTAGTGAGATCATCATAAGTCTAATACAAATCATATGATGTAAGCTTTAAATCTTATAGTAGAGTTAGTTGTAGTAATTAAAAAATCTAAATTTATTAATTATCTTACTAATTAAGATTAAGAGTATAAAAATATTTAAAATTAAGTAATTTAGTAATCATAATTTTCATAATCAATAAGTTTCTTAGAGTATAAAAGATATTTTGATTAGTGTTAAAATAAAGGAATCATTTTTAATAGAAGTCTATTTGCTTCTTTAATTTCTTCTTTTTAATTCAAATTTTGATATAGATTATTTGATGTTTTATATAAAATTGATTCTATAATCTATTAATTTAATGAGTAAATTATTTCTTCATGAAGAAGTCATTATAAATATTGTAAAATTAATAATTATATAAATATAAATAACATGTCATAACATCATTAACATAGTTTACCCTAAATAAGATCATTTATGGTAGAGAGAAATGCTTACTTAATTGATTTAACACAAAGAACCATAATTAAAAAAGGGAATTAATCAGTCAAATTGAAATTACCGAGTTTAAGTCAAAGATAGTCAACTATTACAATTAGGTATCCTCCAAAAATTAAATAAAAGAGGGACTCATTAACAGAAAATATAAGATAAATACTTGTACATCTAAATAAATATATTAGGATTATTAATCTCCTTAATTAACTTTGAAAAGAATGTTAGACAAAAAAGTAAAAACAGTGAAATTTCTTTGATAATAAATTTATATTCTTCAATATAATAGTTTACATATAATAAGTAACACTTACAAATTTTTACATTCAACTTCCTTAATATCGGCTTTTTATTTATAATAATAATAAATCATTAATCAATGTTGAAAATAATAATCCTAAAAGCCTGTATATATGAAAGCAATTAGAAAAATTATATAAAATGGTATTTTATAATTTTTTATCTAATTAATTATTTATAAAATTAAAAATACTATATAATTATCATGCAGATTAATCATTATTGAGATTTTAATTCTGTTTAATTTATTTTTATTAAATTTAATGAAATTTTTACTAATTATCGATAGATTAATTGAATGAAATTAAAAATAAATATTTAATATTATATTTAATAATGTAGTTATCAATTCATATTAATAAGCGTATAATTTTAATTTTCTATTAACTATGTTTATGTTATTTATTTTAAGAATTATGTATAATTCTCAATATTTATTATTGGTTATAATCTAAAATTATTAATAATTTTTTTTGATTAAAAAACATAAATAGTTCTTCAAAACATATATCATATTTGAATTTAAAATTTGAGATAATTCATTTAGAAATTTTTAAGAAACTAAATCTCATATACAAATATCATAAAAAATGTAGGAATATACTATTATTATAAATTCTAAATGTTGTGTATATGTATGTCTTTTAGACATTTACAGACTTCTATGAGTTCTATTTTCTAGAATATAATTTTACTATATAATAGTGTAATTAAGTAATTTATCATAACAGCTACAAAATTAATATAATTATGTTTTCAAATTAGAGTAAAAATACAATTATACATTTGATTAAAGATACTGTTAAAGGAGAAAAAGAGTTGGAAAATTTAAAGTAAAGTCTAATTCTTCAAATAACTGATAGCAATATAAGTTATTAAACTTGCTTTTTACATGTTCATAAAATTTTAATAATATTAGCTTGCTTATGAGAAAGACAGAATAACAAGAAATGATTTAGAAGTATTTCTATAAAATTAGTAAATAAGATTTGATTAAAGAGAAATATCAATACTTAAGTATACTACATATTAGGAGTAAAATAAAATAATAATCCCTTAGCTTTTTAGATTTGATGCTTCCAAATAATCAGATATTTTTGAAGTAATATCAATAAAAACAAATGAATTATAACAATCCTACTTCAGATATACTTAATTTAATTGGAAAAATTATAGGAAAAAATATAGAGATAATTCGAAAAATTTAAGCATATTTAGATGCTTTAATGTTAAGATATGATAAGAATACATTATTAAACTTTTTGTGTCCAAAATCGGATAAAAATATGCCAGTCTTCTTATAATTACTTAAAAATATTGATCTAGATATAAGTTTTGAAGATGTTGTCTGTGCTATGAGGAGATTGGATAAAGATTAAGATTCAGATGTTAATAGATTTGATTGGGAAGAGTTGGTTAAATGTTCAAAACCTCCAAAAAGTAATTAAAGTTCTAGAGGAAATCTATAAAAATATATTAGTAAATAACAAAGCTAATTATCAATTCATAGAAGTGAATCTAGATAAAAGACAGATCAAGAAAATATTAATTCTAATAGAAATTTTCAATTAAAATCATCAACTAAATCTTTATAAAAGCATTCTAGTTTAATGGAAGAATCAATTTTAGAATTTTAATTGCATTTAATAACAATAGGAAAATTGAATGAAGAGTTGGATCAAATAAAATTAGAAGTAAATAAATAAAATATTTTCAGCTATCAAGCCGTGCTGATTATTCTATTTCATAAGCATTTTAATTCTTTGATCTTGATGTAGATGGTTGTATTGGATTATAAGATTTAAAACTTGGGTTTTTGTAATTAGGAATAGATGTTAATGAATTTATAATTAGATAATTACTTCATAATTATTCAACTCATCATTCTTAAACTTAATGGGAGTAAGATATAATATTTATATGTAGTCTAAATGACTTTAAATATTTATTTCCAGATAGTAAATAGTCTTTAAATAGTTTCATAGGAGCATTTACTTATGAAACTAAAAAAATCATAAAAATATTGATATAAAAATATTTAGAATTAATAAGATATAGGAAAGAATCAACTAATTAAATGGGATCAGATATAAAGAATATTGATATAATATTCAATTTCATAGATTTAGATTAAGATGGAATAATTACTTAAGATGACTTTAAAGTTTTAGATGTGAAAAGTAAACATGTTTTACTGTTCTTTTAAACTTTTTAAGATTATCCTTACTAAATAACATATAATTAATTTTAGAAGTATTTTAATTGAAAAATTATTAATCAAAAATTAATCATCATACAAACAAAACTATCATCATTTTTTTTTCTAATTTGGAGTACCTTAATGTGATTTAATTAATTTATTTGGAGTCTTACGATGAACATTTAAACTTCTCATAGAACTCTTTAAATCTTCTAAATTCTTCAAACTTCCTTATATATTTGATCTTCCTTTAACAAAAAAGTTATTGTTTTATTATTAATTAATTTTCTTTTTAGTCATAATATTATTGTTTAATGCTATTTTAGTTGAAAATACTTTCTTAGCCAATTCCATGAGTAATTCATTTTATTATGGATTGTTTCTAGAAGTAGTTTGACATGATTTTGTAATTTCAATATTTCCTAAAGATGCTTATCTTTATTTTAACTAAGGAGGTCTTTTGATTGGTTTTACTTCAACTTTGATTTTGGAATGTGATGAATTTCTAGATAATAAATTAGATTTAGGATGTCTATCAGTTAATGAAGGCTATTTAATATGTTTTATTGTATTTTCATTATTATGAGGTTGTTCTAATTTCTTTAACTATAATTTTTAAGCTTCAATCAAAGGATTGATTTATTTTTATATAAGTTTATTATAATTAAAGATTTAAAAAGGCTTTGTTTTTTCTGTATTATTTCCAATCATTTTAACTAGATCTTTCAATATAGTAGTATTGCTTACTCTAGAGACATCAGTTTGTGTTGATTCAATTTTTAGATCTTTGAGCAGATTCTTCATTTGACTTACAGATTAATCTTCAGAAGTGTCTTTCTTTTTTGGAGATGGTTCATTTGTAATTTCTTAATTTAGACCTAGTTCTTATTTGATCTTTAAATAACGAAGTTCTCTATTCTTTTCCATACGTTTATTAATAATTTTGGAGTAAAAGTTTCGAGGAATATTGATATGGTATTTATAATACTCAAATAAAGATGGCAATCGATCATCACTCTCAAAAAAACGATAAAATCTGTATTGAAATAATTGAGATACCTTCTCATAAATTCAATTTAATCATTGAAATGCAAATGATCTTTATAATGAATAGTACATTTTGTTGTATTATCATCTAAGATATCATTAATGTCTTTTGAGAATATCAGATTCTGAGATTGAGAGTATTTGCAATAGAGAGCTCTTTTTAGAATAAAGTGAAAAGATCCATCTGTTTTTAGTTTCTCACAAAACATACACTTCTATTTATTAACTTACATTTTTATTAATATTTATAAAGATTGATGAAATCAATTGAAATTCTTAATTTCATTATTCATAATATTATTCATAATAAATTTATAAAGATTCATTTAAAAAATCTAATCTTCTATTTTATCTTCATTTTTTATATTTTTTTATCTTTAATCTTAAGAGACTAAGATAATTACTTAAATATTTAATCTAAATTTTGATAAATCAACTACAACTTAATAAAAGTATATAATTAGCTAGATTCTAGAAAGTATGGTTGAAAGAATTTATTGGTTCAAATATAATAAACTTAAGATCAAATTTAATGAATTCTATTTTCATTAAAATAATTATGTTCATATCATAAAATTTGATATTAATATTGCCTTTCAATGTCCACTAATTTATTTAAAATCTAATTTATACTTTGTAATTAATTATCATATTTATTTCTCCAATAATTTTTTCCTAATTTTAGAAATATAGGTTTTTTTACTCTTTCTTAATTTAATCCAATAATTATCAGATTTTTCAATTACATCAATTTATTTTTCTAAACACTTGACTGAAAATTAAATTAATTATAGTAATTACTTGTTTATTTGATAATTATAAAATGGAGTAATTAATTATAATAAATTTATCAATGTTTTGAGTATTCTGATTTATCAATTAAAATATATATATAAGTTTTGATATTGTTTATTTTCTTTAAATTAATAATAACTTACTTAATTATATTTTCCTTCATATCAACCTACTACTATTAAAAAATAAAATAAAAAATTTCTAATGCTTTGAAAGCACTTTTTAATGCTATAAAATAATAAATACAAAATCTTATATATTTAAATTTTCTGTTCATTCATTTACTATATAAAAAGAATAATTATGAACAATTATATTAATTTAATAAAGGATATTTAAATTATTTTATTATTCAATGCAAGGACTTATTGAAATTGAACCTAAATAATTTTTAGAATTTGATGCTGAAGAGAACAAATTAGCACATGCACAATTATCCCTCAAAAATTTGACTTAACAAGATGTTGCATTCAAAGTATCTTTAAATTTGAAATATTATAGATAAAAACTACAACACCTACATTATTTCAAGTAAAACCAAGTGTTGGTATAATTAACTCTAAATAAACATAAGTAATTGAAATTTCTACAAGTTAACCTATAAAGAATGATGCAAAATTTGATCCTAAATTTTAGGTTAATGCTTGCTTTATTGATTTTCAAGATTAAGGTAATTGATTATATAAAAAATCACTTAGATTTGAATCAATTTTGGAAAAACAAAGATCAATCAACTATTTAATCGTAATAAATTAAAAGCAGAATTAAACAAAATATTTAATAAGATGTTTAATCACACTAATAAGCACCTGAGTCTAAGATTATTGAATCAAATTAAAGTATTTCTTAATAATAAGAATCAAAAATGTTCAAGTCTGTTATTGAACCAAAAGCAGAAAATGATGAATAAATTAAATAATATAAAGAATAATTAGAAAAACTAGTAAATATTTATAAAATTTAATTATATAGTAACAAGAATATCAAGATTTTAGAAAAAAAATGGAATATGAAACTCAATAAGCATTATTAAAAAAAGGTATACTTCAAAATATCATTAAATTATAGATAAAAGTAATTTGAGTTTTTCTTAGTTATTGTTAGCTGTCCTAATAGCATTAGTAGCAGGTTATTTTATAGGAAATTGATTTCATTATTTACATTAATCCACTTATCTATATAATTGATTCTTCATTATTAACTAAAATTAAATAAGAAAATGGGAACAGTAGTTATTGGTAGGTGTTAATGTTAATGCTATATAAACTATGTTTCATGTGATTGCACATGCTAAGAAAATGAAATAAGAACAGAAAGGAGAACTAATCGATTTACTGATAATCTTGATAAGAGAAATAAAAAAAAAAAATCGCCTGGTGATTCTACAGAAAGACTTTCAAGATTTTCCTCTACTAGAAAACCATCTAGTAGATCAAGCTCTTTAAGGTCCAAATACTTGCAATCTAATGAATGTAATATTGAAACAGATGAATCCTCTTAAGCAAGAATCAAAAGAAAACTTAAATTTAATCCTTCATTTGTAAAGTCTTCTAAATTATATAACTTTGGTGAATATACTTTGAAAAGTCAATCTGTAGTACATTAGTAATCCATTATTGAACATAAAAAAAAACCTTAAAGTCCAAAAGTTTCTTAAAATGAAAAAAGTAATCAACCATTTAAAACTGATGATAATAATAAGGAAGAGAAATATGAATACAGACCTTTTAAAAAGGCAAATAAGTATTAACAGCTCTTTTTTAAATGAAAGATTATGAAATTATCATAATGTATTAGTAGTTTATAATCATAAAAAAACTTTCATAGGTTAACATTTCTATAAAATTGATTATTCTCTATCAAATCCTTCTATAAAACTGTGTTATTTATGAACTCTATTTTAAATACTTGGTAAATTTTCTCCAATTCTTGGTAATTTCTAAAATTCGTTGAGTTGTTTTAAGTTATTAATTTCATTTTGCCAGTTCTCAATTGGTGGATTTTAAGGAGTTTATTGCATAGAAAACGACTTTGTTCTTGCTGGTTATTTTTCATTTTATAATCTAGAATCCATTATTGGTCTTAAATAGAGCACTTCATTATTTAGAGCTCTTTGAGATTCTCTTTCTAATCTCATTTTTTATGCCTTTTCCATATTCTTAACCACCTTACTTTATAAAGATCCTGGCATTGCTCCATCAATATCATTTGTAGTTAATAATCTGTCACCTTATAAATTTCATCATTTAATATAAAAATACTTAGGTTAATCATAGATGTTTTCAAGGGCTCTCATTTACTTTATTTCTCCTTCCTGTAGATTATAATGTTTTTTTTAGGATCCATCAAAATAGTTTTCACCCTAAGGAACAAAACTATTGCAAAAATGATGAAAATCATGTTGATATCTTCTTCTTCCATACTGTTGATTTTATTGAGCAATATTTAATCTAAAAGATAGTATAATTAATAACAGACTGTTACTATAATTTTAATTGTCTAGTTTATTTGATATCTAAACTCTCAATTTTATTCAATTATATTGATTTCTTTCTAGGTTAAGCCCCTGGGATATCTATTGTCAATAATGATCTGTCAAATTAATAAAGATTATTCATTTAATTTATATATTAAATCATGTATAAAATCTAGTCAGCTATTTCTTCAGTTTAAGAAGACTCCTTCAATAATACTAACTTTAAACATGCCAGTTCTATTGAAATTGGTAATCATAAACCATAAGATCAAAATTTATTAAGAATGAGCTTAATGGCCTCTGTAAATGTAAGGCAAATGCAAATGCAACAAATAAATTAATAGGCTGTTTAAACATAAGAAATAATTGAAGAAGTATAAGTTGATTTTGAAGGAATGCAAAATATTGATTATAGATTAGCTTAATCTGTAATAACTTAAAATGCTGAAAGTGAAACAATTGAAGCTGATATAGCTCAATAATCCAAAATTTTATAATCTGGACTATTATAATGTAAATAACCTGATTCTTATTCTGGTTGGATTTAAAAGAAAAGTAAATCTCTATTTTCATCATATAAAAATAAATTTTGTGTCTTTCATGATGGTATCCTATGCATCTATGAAAATGAAGAAAGAAAAAGAGCAAATGTAGTCTTGAATTTTCATTTGTTCAATTTTAAATACTTTTCCAATAAATAAAACAATATCGTAACAGAGTTTGGTTTAAAATGTGAAGATAATGAGAATGTATTTTAGTTTAAAGGTCAATATGCTAATGATTGGTTCTATGTTATTAAGAATTGTATAGATACTTATCGTTTGTAACCAAAGTTGTAATACTATATACGTCCATTTGAAGACTATTATAAAAAGAGATTAATTCATAATTAACAATTTCTAGAAATGGCTTAAACAGGAGATATATTACTCTTTTAAGGTAAACATATCTCATGTAAAGCTTAAAGAATGGTTACTAGATCATAATATGGTAATTTAATTAGATAATAAATTAGATCATGTTGCCATGATTTTGAAATATACAAATGGATCTATTTATGTTCTAGAGGCAACAGGAACTTTTGGTGTTGGAATTTTTGAATGGAAACATATGATAGGGAAATAATGGTATGAATTATATAATAAGTATAATTTTTATGAATTTAATTTAGAGTTGTATATCGTTAACTTGAAATTTAAAGAACTACAGATTTTTTATTAAAAATTGAATAGTTTACAAAAGATAATCTTGGAAAAGCTTACTCTTTGACAGTTAAAAAATTAATAACAGATAAATCTGTAATGATTGCATCATCTGAGAAAAATACTTATTTTTGTTCTTAATTAATAGCTTAAGCATACAAAAAAACAGGAATTTTATAAACAGAACTATCAGCTACTTAATTTTGGCCAGGATCCTTTTCAAATGAGAAACAAGACTTAATTTTAACTAATGCTAAATTATCTGATGAATATTTAATTGGATTTAATATGTGATTTTCATAAAAATGGATTTACAATTTCACTAGCTTTACTTTTAATGAATCTATCCACATTTTCGACATTAGATTAACTTATTTGTTATTTTCTAATAATTTAATCTAATTGAATTGCCAATTTATCTAAAAATGCTACATTCTAAGATTTTTTATTCTTCTTCTAATTCATTTTCATATTAATCTTCTATTTAATTTCTAGTATTATATTATTTATTAAAACAGCTATTGTATTATGTTATCCTAATTAGTTGTCTAATTTTGCTTAAAGCTCCTGTAATTATTTTATATACAAATCAAGAGCTTTTTTCCCTTAATCAATTTCCTACTATTTCAATATCAATTTATTATTTATTATCCTTAATTATTTTTAAGCTTCATCATCAACTAAATTATATTCACTAACAGATCTACTAGAACTCAATTAAGCAATATCTAATTAACCCTTTGCTAATTTTATTTATTTAGCCATTGATAATATTTCAGCAGATTTTTGATAATATTATAAAGCAGGTGTAATATTTAAAAATATGTTAAATTACATATTTGAATTTATCTAACAATTTAATATCTTTTAAATAATATTTTTGAAATCTCCTTATGGTAAAGAAGGACAAGTGGCAATCATAAAAGTACTTGTTGTCTATAATTAATTATCGATATAAGTCTAATATATAATTGAAAGTTTTCGAATTTTTTCACCTAATGCTTTCTATTTAGTCAATAAATGAACTTTAATTGCTTAAAATGTATACTCTAAATCTTAAATGGAAGATGTTTGGGTATTAAATTATTCTATCTCTATCCATTACTTACCTATTCTTTCTTAATAACAAAATGTTATTTTTTAGTTCAATTATTATTTTTAAATTAAATTGTAAAGTAATTCTATCAACATAATCATTATTAACTTTTTATGAGTTTTAGATTAACCTAAAATAAGATATATTTTTGTTTAATCACTCTATAACTTCAATTTTGATTAATCTAAAAACTAATGAATTTTTTGAGTATCGAAGAATATTTCATCAAATGTATAAGTATCAAACATAGCTTTTTCAATTTTTCCTTTTATTGATTAAAATACTTTTATTTGTTTCCTATTTAATTCAATAAATTAGCATTAATAAGATTTTTATGATTTTATATACAAAAAAGATGAAATTTAATATTTTTCCTATTAAATTAATTAAGAAGACGAAAATTCTCTTTTTGGTTCACTTTATAACATTTATAAGGCTTATGGTCCTAAATTATAAATTGTATCTAATTAGTTCTTAAATTTGATGGTTTACTATTTTTATTTAATTAGTTATTCTTTATATTATTCAATTTCCTATTACAATTATTCTATTTCATTTGATTATTATTCTATTTATTCATTTAATTAATGAACATTAAATGATTGGATTTCTTCTTATAATTCCTTGATTTATTTTTATAATCTCTAAATTAATTCATTATCCTATTATTTCTTTCTTTCTTCTTTAGCATCCGATTGCTTTCTAGGTGTTCCAGGTTTTTAGATATTTTATAGTTTCTCTTCTTATTTCTTATTCTTATCTTTTAGATTTTAAATCTCTTTCTCTAAAGATTTTCTTAAATTATCCATATCTTCTACTTTTTTTCTAAAAAAATGATAATATATATAATTACTTCAACTAATCTGTTTAGTTTAAATCTTATATTTAATTTAATTGTCCTTCTAGATCTTCAGGTGGTTACAATAATTTTGTTATAATACTTTAATCATGATCTTGCTCTCCATTGATTTACTAATTATTTAAATCATTTCCATTTTATTCATGATCAAGATTTTCTTGTTCTTTATTTTAAACTAATTCTTCTGAAACTTCTTCTTTCAACTTATCAGTTTAGCATATTTAATCATTAGTTTATTTAGGTATGGTTTAATCAATAGTAAATAGCAAATCATCAGTTTAAATGAGTTATGATTCAAATACTTTTTATTATTATTATTATTATTATTATTATTATTATTATTATTATTATTCTAATTATTAATTTTATACTTATTATTCATTTTTCTATTCAATAAATTCATCTGTTTATATAGATTTTTCATCGTATTCAGTTTATTATATTTTCTTAACTTAAAAATGAAAATTATTCTAATTTGTTTCATCATTAGTTACTAATTTTTCTAAAGATAAATTTAGATTCTCATTTGTTGCAAGCTCATTTTTCTCATTATTATTAATTTGTAATTCTTAATTCAATTATTAATGATCTGTACTTAAATTTTACAAAGACTGAATTTAACCAATATTTTCATTTAATTCTTAAATTTCTAATTAAAATTTTTCAACCAAATTATTTTATTCATCTTAAATTGATTGAAGTTTATTCCAATAATCAATAATATATTATGTCTTAGATTCAAAAGTTTCTCCATTATTAATATAAGTGTCTAATAATTATTTAATTTCAACAATTTCATTTTATAAATTACTTCTCTCTTATTTTAATAGATGTATCTCTCTTTAAGTATTTTCTTTTAATTTGATATACTCTGCAGTTGTTTCTGAATTTTCTTATTATAATTTTGAAATTTTCTTAGGTGAATCACACTCAATTTATTTAAGTGCATCCATTTAGATTTCATAATTCTTGATTGTTTCAGCATTATCATAATTTTATGTCTTTAGATTTTCATTGTCTTATTTTAATTGATCCAACTTTTATAATAGATCATTAATATCTTAATTTTAATTTTTTAGAGTATTTAATTAATTTTCTAATTATTCAATTTTCTATTAATAAATTTAATTATTTTCTAATTGAGTTTATAATTAATTAGATAAAAGTTTGTTATTTTCTTCTAGCATATGTGCTTATTCTTTAAAAGGTTCTAATTCTTAACAAAATTAAACTGCCTAATATAACTATTAATCTTTATCTTTGATATTGATTTGTAGTTACTCCTTAAATTCTTCATATTCATCTCTCAATTAAAGATAAAGAGTTTGATATTCATTATTACTTTATAGATTATTAATTTATTCTTATGCTTTATTCATCAATTATTTCAATTCATTATTTTCCTCTAAGACTTCATTATGATGTTATAATGTAGATTCTAATTAAGTTATTTGATCCTACAATTATTCTTTAACTGATAAATACTCTTAACATTTATCAGTTAATTATTAACATTCTAATTCTTATTATTATAATTTTTCATTAGTAGATGTATATTCCTCAACTAATTCTTCATATTCTAATTTCAGATCTTCAAGTTATTGTGTAACACTTGCATCTTATTCTTATTATTGCATCTCTTTTATTTATTTTTCTGATGATTCTAATTATTATTTCAGTAATTATTTTTCCTTTTGATTTTCTTCTTCTTTTGCAACAAATTAAGAATTCTCTTCTTAATACTGCAACAAAACCTCTTCTAATTGTGCAATCTTCTCTTCTAAATTCTAATCCTCCTCTTATGATCTCTTACCAACTTCTTCCATACTTCCTTATTTCCCTTAATTTAATTACAACTACTCAATCTATTTATCTTTAATTTCAAGCTGTTTTCCATATTATTCAATTTGATTTGTTAAATTTTCAATTTTCTATAATAATTCCTCTTAATCACTAATTTCATAGAATTACTTACTTTAATTTGGTTGGAGCAATTTCTTGAGATTATTGTGTTTCCCCATTTTTTTGAATCTGTTGTAATTCATTTATAGTCTTTTATAATGCTTCAATTTAAATCTGCTAATCACTCAAAGATTTTTGATGGTCATCTTTTAGGATTTCAATCTCTATTTCATTCTCTTCAATTTTAGCACTAATTTATATTAAAATAAATACTTGAGTTATTGAGTAAGTGCTTTAATTTTTTAAGCAGATTCTTGTAATTATTAGTTTAGATCATGAATCTCCACCTCCAATTAGATTATTTTTGCTCCACTCACATCATCAGAATTATTCTTAAATGATTTTTATATAATACTATGACATCTGCCTTTTTGATTGCATCCTATAATTATTTTTTAAGACTCTTGATCTCAGTCTCCTTAGTATTTAAATCTAACTTTTATTTATCTATTGTTTCTTCATGTTCCTTTATTTAATCTTCAAGCATCTACTCATATTCTTTAAGACTATTAAATAATGTTATGAATAATACTCTGTGATTTCTTGCTAAAGTTTCTAAACTTGTAAATCCATTTATTAAATAAATAATAAAAAAATGAAAAATGATGAATAATTTCTTAGTTTCATGGTTGAGAATGAGGACTCTTAACTTGTAGAATCTAGACTCTTTAAAGACAATGATGAAGACTATTTCAAGTCTCTTAGCAAATAATTTTATGGATCTAAATCTTAGGATGGTATATAATTCAGTTTGTGAACTTTCATAGTTAAGAAGCAATTGAAAATAATTAAATCTGCCGGAGATTTGAAAATGAAACAATCCAATACTGCTAATTTAAGTAATGTCTTACAACCATTCTCTATTAGCTATTAACTGCAGTAGGTACTTCCCAATATTATTATTTGTTTTAGTAAATTCATAAACTCTTAAGTAAACCTAAACCTTAAGGTTAGAGTTTACAAAGTTCATTTAAAACTAATCAAAAAATGAATCAAATTAAGATAACATATTAACAGCTTTAAAATAGAAAATTAGTTATTCCAAAACATGAAGATTCTAACATCTTAACATAAAACTCCTATAGAAGTACGCTTAATACAAGTACAAAAAGCTAGCCAAAAAAAGATAACGTCTTAGATTTGTATTAAATGAAATTAAAAACAGAGAGAAGTGTCGAAAAACCCAAATTAATGAAGGTCCTCAAAAGAAATAAGATGCATTGAAGATTTTATATAATTTTGTTATTTTTTGTTTTTTCAAATATAATATAATGATCAAAATTTGTGGTTATTGTATGTCTAATTTGCAAAAATTGAAAAAGTATGCTCCTCCTAAAAAATTAGATGCAAAAACATTAAGACCTTATCAGCATCCTACTAATCCATTGTCAAAAAAAATTGATATTCTGTCCCCAACAAAACCAGAGCGATTTTTATTTGAAGATTATGAAACACCAGCTACTCTATATACTATCAATGAATAAGCAATTAAAACTACTGAATTGGGAACAAAAGTCTCAAATAAAATATTATTGAAACCATTAGCACAAAAACCATCTGTTGCTATTGAAGAATAAAAATTTTTAGCTGTTTCTATTATTGGACCTCCTAATTCAGGGAAATCAACATTTTTAAATTAGATGATAGGTGAACCAATAAGTGCTGTATCAAACAAAAGTAATACTACAGTATCAGAAATTAGAGGAGTACATACAGATGTCAAAAGTGGTGTTTAAATTGAGTTTGTTGATACTCCAGGAGTAACCAAGCGTTATAAATTTTCAAAGCATTTCGTAACAAAGGCTTGGGATGCTATTGAAGATACTAATATGGTGATCATATTAATTGATGCTATTAAAACATTAGATATTAGTATGAAGAATGTCATGTCAAGATTAAATAAAATTAAAGTAGATTAAGAATAATTAAGAAGTTATTTTAGAAATGAAGATGATTTTAGAGTGTCAGAAGAGAAACCTATTCCAAAAATTCTTGTTTTTAATAAGATGGATTTATGTTTTAATAAGAAAAAATTAAAATGGTTATAAACAGAAATGGAAGATTTAGGAAAATATGATTAGACATTTTATATATCCTCTATAACAGGATATGGAATGGAAGAATTAAAATAATATTTATATTCTCAAAGTTTTTAATGTAGATGGAAATATAATGAAAATTAGAAACATTTATTTACACCAATGGATTAATTAGAATAAATAGTTAGATAAGCTATATTTAAAAGATTTTATAATGAAATTCCATTCATTATTGGTATTTATGTGAAAGAGTTTAGAGTAACAAGTAAAGAATCTGCTAAGATTGAAATTTAAATTAATGTTTAAACATCATCATAAGCAAGGATTGTTATTGGAGAAGAAGGTAGAGCTATAAAGTAAGTGAAAAATGAAATAGAAATAGTAATGGCAGAAATTTATAAGAGATTATTTTAAGTGAAATTATAAGTAACAGTTAAATAGGGTGATAAATAAATAGAATTTGATGCAGAAAAAGAGGATAGAACTGAACATGCTTAATTAGATGAAACTTTATATAGAAAAGAGGAAAGAGAGAGAAAATAACTTTTAAATGTTAAATTTTCAAAATTTTTATAAGATTGAAATTATTGATATATTGTGAATAAAATTCATTATTTAAAATATCTAATAAGAGAACATTAATTAGATTAATTTTTACTTAGTATTTTATTTTCACCAAATAATAATTTTAATTATTTTTATTCATCATTTTCAGTTGATGGTGATTTCAATTAATTAGTTTGATAATTATTAGTAAGTTTTTGTAATTGTTCATTTACTTTTTAGGATGAATATGATCTCAATTCATTTTATTGAACATTCAAAACATTATCAGGCATACTTTAATTATTTTTCTTATGCTTAACACCAACTTTCATAATCATCTAATTATTATTCTTCATTAAATTTTCTTTATTTTCAACATCATTTTATATTGGTTTTTTTTTCTTTAACTAAGATTAACTAGATGATGAATGAGCCTATGAAACATTTTTAGACTTTGTTGTACTTAAAAGAATATTAGTAAATTTTTCATCAACATTTGAGATATTTATTTAAGTAATAGAAGAGGATCTCTAAGGTTATTTAGATTAAAAGGATGAATAATAAAAATTATGAAAGAATGGTGTAAATACATTTTCTGTTTCTGAATTTATTGATTTTTGTAATTCTTTTTAAAATTAATTTTCTCCACTAATTATTTCTTTTTAATCAAAGTTTATTTTGAATAGATCTGGTTTAAATGGGGGATCATAAGATCTATTAATCAATTTATATAAACTAAATTCTTATAACCATGGATGTTTTAATATTTCATAGATACCATAATTTCTTCCTAATCTATTTTAAATATCTTTTTATAACAATTTAAATATTAAATCTTTAGCTTCTGTACTTAAATTCTTATTTGGCAATGGTAATTCATTTTATAGAATGTTTTAATATATTTATTCTGGATTATTTGAATAATAGGGTGGTAATCCTGTCAATAATTCATAAAGAAGTGCTCCTAAACAATAATGATCAATCTAATAATTATGTCCTAATTTTAAAAGCATCTCTGGTGCCATATATTCTGGAGATCCACAAAAAGAATATGCCATTTTATCATCTTCTACATTAGGTTTTGCTAATCCAAAATCAGCCAATTTAATATGACCTTCTTAATCAATTAGAATATTTTCAGGTTTAATATCTCTATAAATAACCTTATTTTCATGTAAATGATGTATTGCCATACAAACTTAACTAAAATAAAATTTTGCTTATTATTCATCCATTTTCTTAACTCTCTTTAATTATTAGAATAATTCACCACCAGCACAATATTCCATTGCAAAACATACCCAATTTTTAGTTTCAAAAACACATAATAATTTACAAAGATTTGGATGTGAATTATTATTATTTGCTAGATGTACCATTATATCTCTTTCATTTTAAACAATCTAAAATTTATCATTTTACTCAATAAATTATTTTGAAATCATCTTCAATGCCATAAATTAGCCGTTAAACTTATATCTTACTAAATAGACTCTACTAAACCCACCTATACCAATACATTATAAAAAATAAAATGAATCCAAGTTGATTGTATTCTAATATATACCATATAATGGTTTTAAAGAGAGAGTTTAATTGCTCAATATTCCTAAGTCTTTATTAGTTGTTAAATAGTAATCTAAATGTATATTACTTTCTAAACTCTGAAATCCAACAATCTAAGTCTGATTTAGTAAGTTCCTTAAGTAATTAACTAATTAGTTGACAGTCTAATTGCAAGTTGGATATTAAATTTATTAGGAAAATTCATTATTCACATACAACTTAACTGTCACTTAACTTTGTTTTGTTGATTCTTTCTTTATAAAATTGTTCATTAGATGTTGCATCTTTTATTTTTGATCCATTTTTTTTTCTGTTAATTTATAAAATTAGCATTAATATAGATAATTTTATCAAGAATCAAGATCCTTTGCATGTAGAAATTCTTTTATAAATTACTTAATTGATCTAATACGTTGTATTACTCTCAAAGGAATCATCATTATCATTGACCTTGTTCTCCAGATATCTCTTGTCATCTTTAATATTAATGGTAACCATAAAATGAAGTAAATTATAAAAAGCAAGACTTCTAAAACAATGAATAATGCCAATCTTTGAGCTTTTGCACTATTAATGTCATTTTCAATGGCTAATTACATTTATTACAATAAATACCTAAATGTACCTAAATTTAGTAAATATATAAAAATACCTCTATTGTAAGTTTCTTAAATAACTCTTGTTTCTAAAGATTAATTGAAGTTATTTAGATTAAGTATGTTATTCCTAACATTATCTGAATCCATAGTAATATTTTTAAATTTTGTGAAACCTCTAGCAATAGCTGTAAAATTGGCTTTTGGATTATCCCAAAATTAATCATAGATTGTCATGATATATCGAATATTCTCGAAATAACGTGCTACTCCAACTGCCATTCCTTAATACATAGCACCATCAGCAAAAGTTTAACATTCAGTCTCTGTCATTTCATTCATTTCTTAAGATAAGATTGTACATGGTTAAAGCATAAACATTTGCTTAAAAGCATCAGAATATATTGAATTAGTTATATCTACATTGAGTGAGTGTTCTTAATGAAGAGAAGAATCTAAGGCATATAATTTATCAATATTTTATTTGACAATTGTGTAGGAATCCTCATTCAAAAGTGTCATATTTCTATTAAGATAAAGTGATCTTTCTGCATTATCAACAAATCTATAGAAACTTTCTGCTCTACAAGTTGCATTTATTTCTGGTACAAGTTAAGCTAAATTACTTAAAAGAATATCTGACATAAAATAGTTAAAAATGAAATAAGCTTGTAAAATTAAAATAATTAAAAAGAATGCAAAAATATAATTGCGTTAATCTTTATTAGTATTTTTAAACTTTTTCTTTTTCCTTTTACTTTTTAATGTTCTATTAAGTTCTTCTTATTCCTCTTTTTCAAGTTCTTCTAATTCTGATAATACTTCATCTTCTTCTCCAATTTATAAATTTGATATAAAATTCTCACTCTTGTTATATAAATACTTAACTGTCTTGTCTGGTATATCTAAGAACATTGATAATATTTCTTCTTATGTTTTATTGACAGATAATGTTATGATTGTCAATAAAATCAAACCCAAACCCAAAGCTCCAGCTGATATACCTAAGATTATTAACAATGTCTCTTTCTTTTCTGTTGTTTTATTGGTTAAACCTATAGCATATAAATCACTTGAATTTCTTAATTAAAATACTAGGTCATTGAGGAGATTAAATATAATAAATTGAACATCATTATCTTCATAAATAATTAGATTTAAATCTTTATCCCTCACATTTAATGCTTTACTTACTATTTATTAAGTAGCTTCCATTATATCATAATTTTAGTATTCATTCCCAAATTTCATTTTTATAACATTTTCACTCTGTAATTCATTTAATTCATTACTTATAAAGATATCAGACAACATTAAATTTTTATTTAATAATGAAACCTACTATATAGATTTATTTAATTTTTATTTTTCTATTTATTCATATTCATTAATATCTGCACTGCTATTTAACTACCAAATATTTAAATTCAACATCTATAAATTTTGAACTGAAGATAATATTGTAAGCAATTCAGCATTTCTTAAATTAGTATCTTCTACTAATAAAATTGTATTAAATATTTCATCATATTATGCTTAACAAACAAAGAAATCTCCAAAACTCAATGCTACTAATAAAAGTATTAAAATATTTGCAGTCCAACTTAATTTTATAACAACAGGAGGTGTAACTTGACTATTTACTACAAGTGATAAATTTTTTCTAGATCTAAAAACATTATTAAAATCTTGCTATTATCCTTCTTAATCATTATCTATATCTTACTATCTTTAAAAGACACTCTTCCCTTATTAATCATCTTCTTCTGATATCATTTCTTCTCTATCATCTATGTCTTGGATTCGATTCTCAAATAATCTTAAAGTCTTGATTCCATCTGCATAATTAATTTTAATTTGCTATAATATATTTTATTCATCTGATTTTTCTGTTTTCACTTGAGATTTAAGAATTTCAACACCCCCTTATACTGAAGAAATCATTGATGATTGATCATTTTAATCCCAAAGAATAGTCTAATCTACCCTTTATGAATTTGTATCAGCAACAAACTCACCTAAATATTGAGCTTTTGAAGGATTATATTTAAATTACATGCTATTACCAAGTACTTTCTATTATAAATTATTGACTTCTAAATTCATACTATTATCTATCCCTTATTACTCTAATTTAACAATATATCCAACAACTTAATCTTAGTTTTCATTCATTATTTCATAAGTAAAACATTAAAACTACATATTATCATCTTTCTTATCTTAATCTTCTAATTCTTAAGAGGCCTATTAACTATAACTTACCCCTGATTAGGTAGCAGGATTAAAAACGATTGGACCTCCAACCTTTGATAAAAATAATTACTTTAATCGCATATAATTTGGTAATATATCTGTGATTGGTGTTTTTTTATGTGAAATCTATTTTGAATCAATGTTCAGTAAAGGAATACAAGAGGATGAAATTGAATCTATGACTTCTTCACTATCTAATATCAGATAGCATGAAGGTTTAAAAGATTTTGGTATTCGAAATTAAGCTGCTAATTGCACATTATCATCTATTGACTAAAGAACTTTCAAGTAAATGTAGCAGGGTAAGATATAATTAGATTTCATCTTTATATATACTAATCTCTCCCTATTAATATTTTTATTATCATTTGATGATAAGAAATTCTCAATATGAGCATCATGAAATTTTGAATACAAGTTTGGCATAAATATATTAATCTTACGATTAATCATCTCTGATTTATTATAACCAAATAAATTGCAGCATGCTAAATTCAAATTTGTAATCTAAGCAAACTTTTCTTAAGCTGTAGATACCATTAGAGTAGGTTATGACTCATATCCAATATCCTCACTGCTAATTAAAGATATTGTTTATTTATTTTTCATTTTGTTATTCTAAGTCTATAAATTTTTAGATTTTTCTAATAATTCTTCTCCATAATCTTTATCTTATAATACTTCTTAAATAAATTTAGCATATAATCTCATAGCTTTAGGTAGATTTTAAGTCATTTTTTACATTTTATTCCATAATTCTTCAACTTAAATAATTGCTAAATTGATTTTTGCACCAATATCATTCATTTTACCTAAATCAGGTGAATCTTCTTATAATTATGACCAAAAATCCATATGCATAAGAGTAGCTCTTTCAATTTTATTTTAAAATGATCTCATATGATTTTAAAATGCTAATTCTGTTGCAACATCTAAATTACCTAAATTTTCATTCTATACTTAATTCATTTCATCTTCAATTAATTTTTTATATCTAAATATTATAAATTCATTATCTAAACTAGGACATAATGTTTCTGATTATATTAATTCATTTAATGCTTATTATCTCTATTTCATGTTATCAAGTAAGAAAAATGAATATCTTATACGGATACAGATTTCATTTGGAAATTTCTTGATTTGATTAAAATAGATCTATCCCAGTACCATTAAAAGGTCAACATCTCTTTCGGTTACAGATCCTTCTTTAAATAGGGGTTTTTGTTATCTCTAATTAATTAATTTCTTTTATTTTAAATAACAATCATCTCTTGTACATGTAGCTTTGTGTATTTCTAAGAATCCATCTAGCAACAAAGAGTAATTTTAATTTTGTTGACTTTTATAAAATAATTTTAATAAATGATTTGTTTAATTAAGTACTTAATCTGGATCTTATACTTTATTAAGATTCAATAATAGTAAATCATAATGCAATTTTTCACTTCTAATGATAGCAATTAGCATTAATGGCAAGCCTGCTAACCAAGCATAAACAGTACCAAAAAATAGGACTCCTTCTAAGAATTTAGCAAAACACAATAAAGTTGCACCCCACATATTCATAGCTACCAACATTGACCAAGCTTTTTAAATATACATATTATTGAAAGGAGCTTCAACATGAATTTTCCAAAAAATTGTGAAACTTCCTACCATCATTATTAATATGATTAAATAATCATAATTCTTACCATTCATAAATGTGTAACAAATAACCATTATCAATTCGTAAGTCAAAAAAATAGCATTTGCTCTTCCTGACAATTTAGATGAAGCATCATGTGGTTAATACCTTGATTCAAAGTATAATAAAGAAAATAATGTGCAGAGTAAAAAAAATAGTATTGTTCCAAAAATTGCTACTATTGCATGTACAATGTGAATATTAGACCAACATTCTATTTCAAAAAGCTAATGTTTGAATACACCATTTTGATTAGTCTAGCATGCTAACATAGATAGAAGCAAATCAATGATAGGCATGTACAAGGCTTGTAGAAATATGTTTATCAAAAACCTTAGAAGCATAATTGGCCAAGTGAATGAACTCTTTGATTTATTGATACTATAGCTTAATAAAAAGATAAGCATCAATGCAAACAAGATCAAACCCAAACATATATACATCATGGCTGCAAATCCAGAAAAACCTACTGTTTCAAAATATGGTGTCAATAGTACATATCTAATTTAAGAAAAGTAATTACCCAAAGATTTTATTTAGCTGTTTAGATAATATCTCATTTTGCCATACTTTCCAAATCTATCTATTAAATATGATATATGTGATCTGCATGTATTACAACAATATCCCAATACAAGTAATAGGAATTGATTATTCTTCATCTTTTAACATTAGCTAGATTACACGGAAGAACACTCCTTTTAGTTCAGTCTACATTTTATCAATAATGGACCTTTCAGAATCTAAAGAACCTTTTGTAGTGCCAAAATTTGATTTAAGTTCCATTGTTAAATTAATAAATAAAATTTTCACTATTCTGAATTTTGCACCAAATTTCCAACTTTTTCTTTTATTGATTTAATCTTTAATATAACATTTAAAGGTATCATCATTATTAATCCTTTTGTTCTCCAAATATCTCTTGTCATTCTAATAGATGCTGGATACCATCCTATGAAATACATTAAAAATATTAACACTTCAAACACAATAAATGTTGCCAATAATTAAGTCTATGTTAAACTTATATCATCCTTCAATGCCTTAATATATTAATCTACTAAATAAATAAATGCTCCTATAAATCATTATTTATTTAAATACCTTTAATAAAAATACTCTATAATTATCTAGCTTCTTATGCCTATTTAAAATTATTCAAATTATAAATGTAATTGGTTACATTATCTGAATTCTAAGTAATATTTCTAAACACTCCCCATCCTCTTGCTGTTTCTGTAAAATTAACTTCTGGATGACCATAAAACACATCATATATTGTCATTATATATCTTACATTTTCAAAAAATCTTGCTATTACTACTGCCATTCCTTATTAAACTGAACCACTTGCATAAGTCTCACAATATTCTAAAGTTGTATATCCTTGAGATATAAAAATGCTACATGGATTCATCATAAACATTTTTTCAAATGTATCATAATAATCTGGATTACATATTTCAGAATTCTAAGCATGTTCTTAATGTAAAGAAGAATCCAAATCATAATTTTATTACAAATTATTGATAACTGTAGTATATGCATCTTACAATAAAATAGGATCTTCTCTGCTTAAAAATAATTGTCTTTCTGCATTATCTACATATCTATAAAATGACCCAGATCTAGCTGTAATGTTTAATTCTGGTATTTGTTGATTTAAATTACTATAAGTAACTTAATTAAGAAAGTAATTTAATAAGAAATATCCTATAAATATAGATACAAGAAAAATTGCTAATAATGATTAGGCACGAAAAAAAGAATTCTTATTTTTTAATAATTTTTTCCTTTTTTTTGATTTTAATGACCTATTTAACTCTTTTGCTTCATCATTTTCTTCATCACTTAGTTCTGATGATATTTCCTCTTCTTCACCAATCTATAAATTAGATATAAAATTTTCACTTTTGTTATACAAATATTTAACAGTTTTTTCAGGTATTTCAATAAATAATTAAAGTATTTATTCTTAAGTTTAATTTATTTACATTAAGAAAAATAAAATGAAAATCAATAATATAAAAAATGAGCAACCAGCTACTATTAATATAATAAAAAATTTAAGAATATTATCTTATGCAACATCTTATAATCCATATGAATATTGACCAGTCTCATTTCTTAATTGAAAGACAATATCATTAAATAGGTTATATAAAATAAATCCTGTATCTTCATCTTCTTTATTAATCTTAGAAAGTTCCTTATCTCTAATTATCAAAGCTTTACTTATAATTTATTATGTTGCTTCAATAAGATCATATTTAGAATAACTATTTTTAGTTATTCTAACATTAACAACACTTTAAGAATGTAATTCTTGAATTTAATCATTGATATAAATATCTGATAACATTAATTATTTATTGGCTTATGTTAATATTAAAATGGATTCATTCAATTCACTTCTTTATTAAATTTCATAGTTTTTAGCTTCAATTTCTGTTAAATTCCAAATACCAAGATTAAGCATTTATAAATTCTAGATATTCATAATAATCTAATTGCATTCTAAATTTCTTGTTGTGGCATAAGCTAATAAATTTAATGAATCTTAAATGTTTTAAAATAAAAACAAACCCAGAAAATATGAAGTAAAAGATAAACATAAAACACTTAAAACTAAAATATTTATCATCCAACTCAAATATACCATAATTTTTGGAACTTATTAATTATTAAGGGCTAAATTTAAGGCTTTTCGATTACGAAAAATATTATTTTATTAACCATAATCTTTTTCATCTTGACCATCTTAATTTCTTTAAAATACACTTGAGTGTTGTTCTTCCTCTTATTCTGAAAAATCTAATTTTATATCTTCCAAATCTTAAATTCTGTTCTCAAACAATTTTAGAGTCCTTATGCCATCTGCATAGTTAGGTCTTGTTATTTTATTTTCTTCAATTACTATTTTTTTTTCTTCTTATGTTTCTTCACTTGTCCTAGATGTATATTCCCATATGACAGTTTAGTCAACTCTAGCAGAATTAATTTCATCCTAATTCTCACCTACATATAAGGCTTTATTTGCAAAATATTTAAATTAAAAACTACTACTACTTTAATTTGGAATTACTAATTATTACAACAATTCTGGAGTAAATTATTAACTTTAAATGTCAACTATTTTTTCTAACTTTATAACATAACCATAGATTTATCCCATTTTTTCATTTTCAATTTCTATAACCTGAATTTAAAACTCTATTTATGTTTAATCATCTAGATCATTAATATAATATTGTAAGTAATTAGAATTTTAAATTAGAGAAGTCTATAAATTTAAAATTATTTTACAACCAGTTTTATTAATATAATCATTCCTATTATAATTAGGGAAGATCTCTTAAATAAATATCTTTTTATGACTAATCATTTTATGATCTATAAAAATATTACAAATACAAGATGAAGATAAGCTTTCAATAGACTCATCAGCATCTAAAATTATATAACAAGCACTTTTAAAATTACGTAAAGTTCTGAATTAAACAACTAATTAACTATTCTCCTCAGCAGATTACAACATTTTTAATTATAAATAACATGGCTGAATATATCCTGATTTTAATTTTAAATAAACAAATTTCTCTTTTTATATTCTAGCAGCATCATTTTTCTCAAAAAAATTATCAATATATTAATCATGAAACTTAGCATAAAGTGTTGGAATAACCATATTAACTCTTCTATTTATTAGTTCAGTTTTATGATACCCTAATAAGTTACATGCACTCAGATTTAAGTTGCTTATCTAAGCAAATTTATCATTTTGTACTGATACAATCAAAGTTGGAAGCGATTCAAAATTGATATCTTCAACATTAAAAATGTAAATTTAAGATTTATTTTTCATTTTACCATTTTAAATTTATAAAAATTTTGCTTTTTCTAATAATTCTTCTCCATAATCTTTATCTTATAATACTTCTTAAATAAATTTAGCATATAATCTCATAGCTTTAGGTAGATTTTAAGTCATTTTTTACATTTTATTCCATAATTCTTCAACTTAAATAATTGCTAAATTAATTTTTGCACCAATATCATTCATTTTACCTAAATCAGGTGAATCTTCTTATAATTATGACCAAAAATCCATATGCATTAGAGTAGCTCTTTCAATTTTATTTTAAAATGATCTCATATGATTTTAAAATGCTAATTCTGTTGCAACATCTAAATTACCTAAATTTTCATTTTATACTTAATTCATTTCATCTTCAATTAATTTTTTATATCTAAATATTATAAATTCATTATCTAAACTAGGACATAATGTTTCTGATTATATTAATTCATTTAATGCTTATTATCTCTATTTTAAGTANATAATATTGTAAGTAATTAGAATTTTAAATTAGAGAAGTCTATAAATTTAAAATTATTTTACAACCAGTTTTATTAATATAATCATTCCTATTATAATTAGGGAAGATCTCTTAAATAAATATCTTTTTATGACTAATCATTTTATGATCTATAAAAATATTACAAATACAAGATGAAGATAAGCTTTCAATAGACTCATCAGCATCTAAAATTATATAACAAGCACTTTTAAAATTACGTAAAGTTCTGAATTAAACAACTAATTAACTATTCTCCTCAGCAGATTACAACATTTTTAATTATAAATAACATGGCTGAATATATCCTGATTTTAATTTTAAATAAACAAATTTCTCTTTTTATATTCTAGCAGCATCATTTTTCTCAAAAAAATTATCAATATATTAATCATGAAACTTAGCATAAAGTGTTGGAATAACCATATTAACTCTTCTATTTATTAGTTCAGTTTTATGATACCCTAATAAGTTACATGCACTCAGATTTAAGTTGCTTATCTAAGCAAATTTATCATTTTGTACTGATACAATCAAAGTTGGAAGCGATTCAAAATTGATATCTTCAACATTAAAAATGTAAATTTAAGATTTATTTTTCATTTTACCATTTTAAATTTATAAAAATTTTGCTTTTTCTAATAATTCTTCTCCATAATCTTTATCTTATAATACTTCTTAAATAAATTTAGCATATAATCTCATAGCTTTAGGTAGATTTTAAGTCATTTTTTACATTTTATTCCATAATTCTTCAACTTAAATAATTGCTAAATTAATTTTTGCACCAATATCATTCATTTTACCTAAATCAGGTGAATCTTCTTATAATTATGACCAAAAATCCATATGCATTAGAGTAGCTCTTTCAATTTTATTTTAAAATGATCTCATATGATTTTAAAATGCTAATTCTGTTGCAACATCTAAATTACCTAAATTTTCATTTTATACTTAATTCATTTCATCTTCAATTAATTTTTTATATCTAAATATTATAAATTCATTATCTAAACTAGGACATAATGTTTCTGATTATATTAATTCATTTAATGCTTATTATCTCTATTTTAAGTAATCTAATAAATAGAATGCATAATTAATTCGTAATCTTACATGCGTCTAATGCTTTCTCAGCATTCTTGTATAAATTTCTCCTAATAAAAGATATATATTATGATCTCTTTAAGATATATTTTCATCTTTTTATAAATTTATTCTTAAATTAATTTATTTTTTATTTTTAAATACACATTCTTCAATTTAACATGTATTTTTATGTACTTCAATAAGTGCGTTGAGCATTATATTAAATTGTTAATTATATTAGTAGCCTGTTAAAAGTGTTTAAATATAATTAATGAGTTTAATAATTTGATTTGGATCTTCAACTTTTTAGATATTCATAAGTAATAAATCATAATGATATTTTTGCTTTTTAAATACTGCAAATGCCATAAGGGGTAAGCCAACTAACCAGGCATAAATAGTACCATGAAATATATTGTCTTCTAAATAGTTTGAGAAACAAAGAAGCAAAGCACTCCAAAAAATTAATGTAGAATATATTGAAACAACTTTCTACATCAAATAATTATTATATGGTTATTCAATATGCAATTTATAGAAAGAAATGAAAGCTCCCACAAGTATGATATAGATTATTATATAAGCTTCATCTTTAGGATCAAAAATAACAATTGACATCTATATGGCTAATAAATAGAAGTACACAAAAGTTTTTGCTCTACCTGATTATTTAGACAATAAGTCCTTTATTTTTGGTCTTGCTTCAAAATATAACAAGTTAAAAAGTGCAGTGAAAATTACGAAAATCAGAATTCCTAAAATTGCAACAATTCCATGTACGATATGTGCTCCCTTCCAACATTCCTAATCAAATACCTAAAGTACAAAAATATTATGATTATTTTCCTTACAATTTACCATTTCGAAAAAGAGATTAAGTGTAGGAAGGTATAATATTGTTGAGAACAGTGTTAATAACTATTTTAATACAAAAACTGGCCATGATACTGCTGTATTTAACTTGGTTGTATTACTATAACCTACTAACAACAATATCATAATAGCAATTAGTATAATTCCAATTAATGCATACATCATTGAAGCAAAACTAGAAAACTCCAACATTTCAAAGTAAGGAGTCAACATAAAGTAACCAAATAGTTTGTATAATTAGTAGGAGACTCTTTCGTTTTTCCAAACTAAATACAATTATCGATGAAATATGAAGGACAAGTACTGTAAGAACATAATAGTTTATAGTAAAGCAGCAACAGTAATGGATTACTCTTCATCTTTAAGCATCAAAAAGAAGACTCGAAATATGATGTTCTTCAGTTCCGTTTGCAAACGTGCTAAAAGGTTTTCATTTTCTAATTGAGGTCTTGTTTGACCATAATTAGACTTTACCTCCATTTTTTTAAATAATATAGATATTAGATATATATAAAATCACACATCTATCTCATTAACCTATATATTATCTTTGATGTAGGCCTTAATAGATCTTATATTTTAGATCACTCTCAAAGGAATCATCATAATCATTGATCTAGTTCTCCAAATATCTTTGGTCATTTTAACAACTAAAGGTAACCACAATATGAAATAAATAACAAACAAAAGAACATCAAATACAATAAAAAATGCAAGAAGCTAAGTTTTACTACTTTCCATATCTTGATATATCCCTTCAATCATTTTTTTAATTAAATAACGAAAAGTTCCTCTGTGATAATTATCTTGCATCTATCTTGCTTCTTTTGTATGATTGAAATTATTAAGATTTAAAACATAATTTGTTGTATTATCTGAATTCTTAGTTATATTTTTGAAAGTAGCAAATCCACGAGTAAGTTGAGTAAAATTAACTTTAGAATTATTCCAAAATTAATCATATATGGTCATGATATATCTTAAATTTTCAAAGTAACGAGCAACCCCAACTGCCATTCCTTAATAGATGGCTCCATCTGCAAAAGTCTGACATTCTTATTCATTAACTTCAAACATTATAGTAGCTAATATTGTACAAGGTTGAGACATAAATATTTCCTTAAAAGCATCAAGGTATATTTGATTTGTAATTTCAACATTTAATGAATGTTCTTGGTGCATAGATGAATCTAAAACATATAGAGCATTAAGATTATTTTTAACCATTGTATAAGCATCTTAATTCATTATTGTTTAATTTCTATCTAAAAATAATGCTCTCTCTCCTATATCTACAAATCTATAAAAACTTTCAGCTCTAGCAGTTGCATTAATTTCTGGTATCATTTAATCAAGATTACTTAGAAATGTATGACTTAAAATATAATTCAATACAAAATATCCTTATGTGATTAACAAAACAAAAAATATACCAAAAATAAAGTTTCTTTAATCTTTATTTGTATTTTTAAACTTTTTCTTTTTTCTCTTGGTCTTCAAAGTCTTATTTAATTCTTCTTATTCTTCCTTTTCTATATCATCTATCTCTGACATCATTTCATCATCTTCACCCATTTACAAATTAGAAATAAAGTTCTCACTTTTATTGTATAAATATTTAACTGTTTTTTCTGGAAGATCTAAAAACATAGCTAATACTTCTTCTTAATTTTTGCTTACAGATATCATTGCTATAATCATAATGATCAATCCTAGTCCTATTGCAGCTGTAGATACCCCTAAAATTATTAAGAAAGTTTATCCATTATTCTATGTTTTGACTCTCAATTCATTAGCATATAATGTTGAGAATAATCTTAATTAATAGATCAAACTATTAAGAGAATTATAAAGCACAAAATTCACATCTATATCTTACATATTAATATTTGTTATGCTTTTATCTCTAATAATCAGAGATTTACTGATTATTTATTATATTGCTTCAGATAAATCATATAATTATTCATTACCATCACTCGATTTCATTATGACAATATCTGTTCTCATCATACTTAATATTGAATCGCTTAATGTAACACTAGAGAGCATTAATTCTTTGTTTAAATTGTCAACATTTGTAATTGAATTATTTAATTTTATTTTTTATGTTGTTTCATATGTTGCCTTATCATTATCTGTTTTTAATTGCCAAACATCTAAATTTAACATTAAGAGATTTTGAACAGTAGTTGTTATTGTTTAGAGTTCAGCATTTCTTTAGTTTTGATTTTTTACTAAAATTATAGTATTATAAATGTCATCATATTATTCATAGATCATAAAGAAATCTACAAAAGAAAGCACAATTAAGATTAATGCAAGAATATTGGCAGTCCAACCTAATTTAGTAATTACTTTTGGTGTTTAATTGCTATTAATAATTTAGAATAAATTCTTTCTTGATCTAAAAATATTATTCTAATCATTTCTTTATTAATCATTATCTATTGCTTGTTCTATATTATTTTAAAATACACTATTTTTTCCTAACTCTTCATCATCTGACATCATATCATCTTTATCATCTATATCTTAAATTCTATTTTCAAACAATCTCAAAATTTTAATTCCTTCTCCATAATTTATTTTACTGTTCAAATTTTACTCTTCTGATTTATCAGTTTTAACTTATGATCTTAAATTTCCTGTGTTTAAAACGTCTATTTAATTAGAAGATATCATAGATGATTAATCATTCTAATCCCATAATATAGTCTAATCCACTCTTTAAGAATTAGTATCTGCTACGAATTCTCCACTATACATAGAACGTTGAGGATAAAATTTGAATTATAAGCTGCTTCCACTTTTTAAAGGATGATTATTTGCAAGTAATTCTTAGTTAATACTTTAATCTTAACCTTGTAATTCTAATCTTATTATATACCCAACTAATTAATCAATTGATTAATTTATTACTTCAGTCATGTAGCACATAAATGTTATTTGTTCATGTTCTTTCTCTTCTGTTATGTTTGAATTACTAAATTAAGTTGAATATGAAGAAAATTAAAGTAATCCTCCACCTTTAGTTAAATATTAAGCTTTATTTTCTTCAAATTTTGGAAAAATGTCTATTAATGACATTTTTTTGTGTGAAATCATCTTTTAATCTATATTCAACATGGAAATGCAAGAGGCTGATATAGAATCAATTGTTTCATCTGAATCTAAGATTATGTAGCAAGTGGGCTTGAAAATTTTAGGTAATCTAAATTGTGCAGCTAATTATAAATTGTCATCTAAAGATTAAATGATTTTCAACATTAAAAAACATGGGGCTATGTAATTTGATTTTAGTTTAATATAAATTAGTCTTTCCTTGTTAATATTTTTATTATCATTTGTTTAAAGAAAGTGTTCAACATATGAATCATGAAATTTCTAATAAAGATTTGGCATGAAAATATTAATTTTTCTATTGATCATTTCAGATTTACTATATCCAAACATATTGCAGCATGATAAATTTAAGTTTATAATCTATGCAAATTTTTCTACAGCTGTTGAGACCAATGTTGTAGCATTAGGCTCTTAACTTAAATCTTCACCGCTTAATATTGAAATCATCTATTTATTTTTGTTTTTACTATTCTACTATTATAGTCGTCTTGCTTTTTCTAATAATTCTTCTCCATAATCTTTATCTTATAATACTTCTTAAATAAATTTAGCATATAATCTCATAGCTTTAGGTAGATTTTATGTCATCATTTACATTTTATTCCATAATTCTTCAACTTAAATAATTGCTAAATTGATCTTGGCACCAATATTATTCATTTTACCTAAATCAGGTGAATCTTCTTATAATTATGACCAAAAATCCATATGCATTAGAGTAGCTCTTTCAATTTTATTTTAAAATGATCTCATATGATTTTAAAATGCTAATTCTGTTGCAACATCTAAATTACCTAAATTTTCATTTTATGCTTAATTCATTTCATCTTCAATTACTTTTTTATATCTAAATATTATAAATTCATTATCTAAACTAGGACATAATGTTTCTGATTATATTAATTCATTTAATGCTTATTATCTCTACTTCATAAGATCTAATAGAAACAATGAATATCGAAGTCTCAATGCAATTTCATTTGGAAATCGTTTGATCTAATTAAAGTATATTTGACCTAAAACCATAAGTAAATCAACATCTCTTTCTTGAAGACTTTAATCTTTAAAGAAAGGTTTAGCCAATCTTTAGTTTGGTAATTTTTTTTATTTTAAATAACAATCTTCCCTTGCACAAGTAGCTCTATGTATTTCTAAGAATCCATCAATCATCAATTAAGAATCTGAATCTTAAATGTAAAAGAGTTTAATTAAATGATTTGTCAAATTAAGTACTTCCTGAGGATCTGTTACTTTATTAAGATTGGTCAAAAGCAAATCATAATTCAATTTTTCTGTTTTTAGAACTGCAACAATCATTAAGGGCAAACCTGATAACCACGCATAAATAGTTCCAAAAAATAATTAACCTTCTAGAAATTTAGCAAAACATAATAGTATAACACTCCACATATTAACCGACACAAGCATAGACCACATTTTAGCTATGTATACATTATTATGTGGATTTTCTATGTGCATTTTCCAAAAAATAGTAAAACTTCCAACCAAAATAATCAAAATGAATAGATAATCATAGTATCTTCCAACCATAAATGTATAGCATATAATCATAACTAATTCGTAAGTTAAGAAAACAGCCAAATTTCTACCAGATTTCTTAGATAATGGCTATTTAGGTAGATACCTTGGCTCATAATATATTAAGGCAAATGTTATACAAAATAGATAGAATATAATAATTGCTAAAATTGAAACAATACCATGCACTATATGAACACCTTGCCAACAAGTAATATCAATAAAAATTTAATTTATTGTGTTTCCATTTTCATCAGTTGTACAAGCAATCAAAGAAAAAAAAAGATCCATGATTGGCATATAAAAAACTGATAAGAACATTTGAACCAAAATTCTTAAAATATATATGGGCCAAGTAAATGCAGATTTCAATCTATAACTTAGAAGGAAGATCAACATAAATGCAAATACTACCAAACCTAAGCATACATACATCATAGCAACAAGGGCTGGAAATGATAACATCTGAAAGTAAGGGACTAGCATCGAATATCTTTTTAGCTTATTTAACATTACCCAAATATCTTATTGAGCCACTCAGTTACTTCAAATGTTTACCAAACTTTCCATGTTTGTCTATTGAAGATAATGTAGGTAGCTTAAAAGAACTGAATTATGATGGCTAGTAAATTCAGAATAATTGATTGCTCTTCTTCTTTCAATAATTGTTGATTGACTTTGAAAAATATCATTTTCAATTCATTTTAAATCTTGTCTATGGCAGATCTATCCTAATCCAAAGATGATTTCCCACCAAAGTTAGATTTTAATTCCATAATATTTTATAATATTTTTTAAATATGTCTAACGAAATTATTTTAGAAACAGTACGTGAATTACTTCCAGATATTGAAAAAGAGATACGAGAACAAGTTAATTAAGAATTACAAATTGAATATTAATATAAATTTCAATAAGAAATAGATTCATTAACCTAATTTAATGAAGAATAATTAAGAGCTGAATTGGAATAACAAATTAGAATAGACTATGAATAATAGAAGGAATAGTTGGCATAAGATGTAATACGTGAATTTGATGATTCACTTCAAAGAGGTTAATTAGAGCAATAATTAAGATTCAAAATATAGGAGGAGCTGGAAGAGTAAATAAATGAAGAAGTTTAAAAAAAATCAAAATAACTTAAATTATAATATAAGAAAAGGCTTGAATAAGAAAAAAATCAGTTGTAAAAGGATTTTGAGTTAGAATGGAAACAAAGAGTTGATGCAGAGAAAAAAAGATTAGAAAGAGAAAAGAGTGAAATTGCAAGATTGAAATCAGTTGAGTATGTTAAACTTAAAAAATTGTAAGATGAATAAAAAAAGCATAGTCAATTATTAAAAGATCAAGAAACAAAATATTAAGATATTATGAAATCACTTCAAAAATAAATCTAAGAACTTACTTAATAATTAGAATTAGCCTTATAAGATTAAATAACTAAAGAGAAATTACAAAATTAGTAAGAAAACTTTGATAGCTTAAACTAAGATAAATATATAAATATACCACTTTCAAAATAAGATCATATTTATGAACAAAAAACAAATCCTATTTATTAACATAAGTAAATCACTGAAGAGGAATCATAAGAATCATAATAAACTTCAATTAATTTTAATAATCATAAGTAACAATAGAATTTAAAAAAAAATTAGTAAGAATAACAAAATTAAAAAAAATTAAAGAATCCAAAAAAGAAATAGCGTACATAATATGAAAATTAATTAGAAAAAGGTATAAAATAATAAAAAGGTAATGTGGAAATATCAAAACCTTAATTTTGGGAATAAGAAAATAATTAAAGACAAATGAATAGAATAGATACAATTATCAAAGAATATGATGAAATTCCAGTTTAAAAAGAACAATTTATGAGCTATAATAGTCTATTTAAAGAAAATGATCTTGATAATACAAAAAATAAATAAATGAAATAACTAAGATAAAAAATTGCAGAAGATCAAGAACAAGATTAAAGACTTCAAACAAAATATTTGGGAATTTAAATTAACATTATGAATGATTTTATTGTTGATTATGTTGGTAAGATATTTAATATTTTTATTAGAATATCCTGAATATCATTAAGTTAAAATGTTACTTTAAGATATCATTTAATTATTTAATTAATGGATGATTAGTTATTAAGAAAGAATTGAATTTTTTAAAAGAATTAAAGAGTTAGCAAATTCAAATTTTAGAGATATTATTCCATTTTTACAAACATAAATTCACAAATTTAAACTTATTTAAAATTATTATTCTGACTTTCAAAAACGATTCAATCTTAAGAATTAGATTATGGCCAATTATAGTTAATTTAATAAATGCAAATAAATATTTGAATAAATTAATTAATTAAATTTAAAATCTATTAATTTATCAGTTTTAGGATGTGACTTTTAAGAATTAATATAACTTGATTTATGGGAAAAAGACTTTTTAGAAAGAGAAGAACTAAAATCTTAAATATTATGTAAAATATAATCGAAATTAATATGATTTTATTTTTGTATCAATTTATTGTTAAAATAAACCCTATAGCTTAATATATTAATGGAATTAATGTTGGATGAGGAGCTTATATTTATAAATTTATGGCATTTGGAATATGAATGACATTGATTAAGATTGCCATGCCATTAATTAATCCAATAGAGTATGATAATAATTCCACTCCTTTTTCATCTTTCCTTATTCCAACTAAATATAAATAATTTCTCTCTAATTTTTCTCTCATCTAATAATAATACTACTTAGTTACTTATTGATAATCTATTTATAATTAAAGAACTTCTGTTTTTCTTGCACAATTTTAAATTGAACTCAATTCAACAAATTTTTGCTAAGTAATTTAACCATTTGTGCTCTATATTACTAGGAATAAAGTACAAATAACACACTGAGTGACATAGGAATAAAAAAATAAAACACATCTAAATTAGTTTTTAGTGCAACCTATATCCTATAAGGCATTTAAGGAGCATCTTAACAAACAGGTCCATTAGTGTTTATAAAGATTTAAGTAATCAAGCTTTATCCTGGTGAGATAGGAGGACTAGAAATATCAATAGAATCAGGTTATAGTTTAAATGGATTATTGTTAAATTTAATTCCGAATTCCTAAATATCTTTTTTTGAATACTTAAAATGATTTATCTTAGGTTTTATTGGAAAATTTTAATTATAGAATAATCTTATCTCCATTTTTTTAGAAAGCGGCTTCAATTTAAAGTCCAACTATTTTACTTTATGCTCCTGGAGTATTGGAATTAAGAACTTCAGAAAATGGTATTTTAATATTTAATTATTATGATTATTATTATTATTATTATTATTATTATTATTATTATTATTATTATTATTATTATTATTATTATTATTATTATTATTATGGTTATGAATCATCTAAGTCCAATAAATCTACTTTTTATTAAACTTATTAAATTTATGATTATGTATTAGTTTATTATGATATTTATGATGAGGTTTCATAATTTCCATCATAGATATTAGATTATGGACCTGCTTATTAATCACTCTAATCTTCTGGTCTTCCATACATTAGTTATTCACCATCATATACTTCTTCTGCTTTGTCTAACATTTTTGAATTTAACACATCTCTTAATTTTTTAACAAAGCTTTCTGGCTTTTTTGTATACACTGAACTAAGATTTCCAATATTTTCAATCAATTTATCTAAGAGTTCATTTTCAAGTGTATAACTAGCATCAGAAATAGTAGGTCTTTCTGAGAATACAATCTTTTTTGCTAATTCTGGATCAGTGGATAGCATTCTCCAATAAATATATGCTCTATCTCTCACATCAGGATTTTCACATTCCATAGTAGCTACCTTTAATAAATTATGAATTATTTCTTTTCCATCTACTGGTCTTTGTAAAAACAATTTCATAACTGCAACCAATATTTAATTTTATACATTAGCTGGTTCATCTTTGAAACTAAATTATTCAATTTAAAATTTACTTCTCAATAAAATTAGACAATAAATCATCAGCATTTTCAATAGTATCTACATATTCACCAATGATCCATATCATAGATGCTTTTGCCTCTGGATCCTCTAAGCTTTTTAGATTATCACATAGATCTTTTAATATCATTTCATATTTGCGTGGATATTTCCTGAATATATCTCTAATAACAATGATACATTCCATCACAACATAATTTACCTTAGTTTTCAAACACTCCCATAAAGCAGTAACACATTTTTCTGCAGCCTTTTCCAATTTAATTGCACATCTACCTATTGTTCTTACTGATTTTCTAACAAATTCTACATCTACTTCTTGTGTATATTCTTTTAGTTCATGTAGAATCTATTGAATATTATCTTAATTAGCTATTTTTGATAAAACTTCAAGTTTCTATAATTTTATATAGATGGGATCATTAAAATTGCAAAAGAATACTTTAATTTCTTTTTCAATAATAATAGGCCTCTTCTAAATGATTAAATTAATATTTTTAAGAGCCACATATTAGATTTCTGGTTCTTTGCCTAAACTAAGTAAAGAAATTAATGGAGCAGTCATTTTAAGAGCATTTTATCTAATGATTTCTGGATTTTAAAGATAATCAAGGAATTTCATCATAATTTTACAAGCTGACAAAACAACTCCTGGATTATTGTGATTCAATCTTGGACTTACTCTTTCCAAGATTCTATTAATATTAGATATTTGTATTACGCTTCTGCTTCTTTTCCATCCTCTGGAATATAGAGTGCTAAAGCATCAAGACAATAAATAACACCCCATTCATTACATTCATTCATAGCTGTCAATATTTTTTAGATTGTCTATGCATTTAATTGGAGCATAGTAGTTCCTTTGGATTCTTAAACGATTAGTAAAGCGCATACAGCATTTGCAACAACCATAGCATTACCATCATTAAGTAAATTTTCTAATAGTTTTAAAAGTCCTTATTCTTCTATTAATTCTGGAGAAACATCAAATAATTTTGAAATGCAAATTGCAGCAGTTTTTCTGACATAGGAATCTTCATCCTATAAAAAAATGTGAAAATCATTTACTTTAATTGATTCTTTTAATGGATCCAATAAATATTCTGTAATTTACTTAACTCTAATACATCCCATAGTTCTAATAGCTAATGCTCTTAAAAATGGATTAGTTTTATCTCTGGCATCTTTTCTAAAACTATTGATAGCCATAATAGCAAGATCAGGCATGATTTTTGCATAATTGATAATATACAAATAGACTAATTTTTTAAGTTCTAAATTTGCAGTTTCCATATTTTTAGCAACATCAGGAAAGAGCATACTAACATCTTTACCTCTAGTCATAGCATCAATAATCTATAAATTTTAAATTAAATTATTCACTTTTCTAATTGCATCTCTCTTTGATTCAATTTTATTTTAATTTAAAGCATCTTACAACTCTTTAACTTCTTTACCATAACGTGATCTAGAGCTTCTAGAATTACTAGAAGCTGATGTTGAGGTTCTACTCATATATATTATTTTAATTTAAATATAATTTAATATTGGTTTCATCTTGTAAAAAAGTTTCCTTTATTATTTCTTGAATATCCTGGATTGGTACTTTTTGAATGATAATCATTAATTATGTATGGTAATTTCCCAACACCTGGAAGATTTGAACTAAATGAGAAATTACAAATTACTGATTAGCTTCATATTTCTTGAGTACTTTTAATCTCTTCAAACTTTGTACTTACTTTATTATTTCAGGTTTCTTTAAAAATATATCACTATCTCTTATTAAATCTTCAATTATATGATTCTAAATGGTTGTTTTAGGTATAGAACTAGTTCTTTCATCAAATAGTAAACTTTCCTTAAATTATTTTGAGCTCATGATTTTCTTCAATTAGGGTTCAGTTTTTTATTTGATTAAAGGCAGAATTTCTTTCTTGACCTCTTAAGGAATAATTTCTTATTGTATTTAAACTTATTTTTCTTCTTCATATATAGGTTGAGGTAATCTTTATGTTTTATGTCCCCAAAATCGATCAATCATAGATTTATGTGGGATTTATTTATCTTTTTCAATCAAATCTATAACTCTAGTAGAATCTTATGTTAAGCGAACAAAATATTTATTATTGATTGGTAAATGATCATCTCTATAACGTGTAGTATTTGGAATTATCTAATGAAACAATTTATAGTTTTTAGATGACATTGTTTATTAATTAAATAAATTTTGATGGATTAAATTTCAGAAAGACGTAGATAGAAAATTGAGTCAAGAATGAGTGATTAAGATTTAAAAGAAGCTCAATAAATGGAATAGACAGAAACTTAAGAAAGTCAATATAAACTAATCTAATAAATCAAAGCTAAATAATCTTAATATAATAAAGGAACTATTTATGTTGCAATATTGGTGTCTGTCATTACAGCATTGTTTTAATTGTTAGGTATAATTATATTATATATATGTAGGTTCAAAACCATAACTAGGATAAATATGGATTACTGCTTAGATGATTTTACTTATCATTCATTACTAATAAACTAAAAAATTAGATAAGAAATGTAATTGTTTTAGATTTATTATTTAGTGAATAATGATGAATTATCATCAACATTAAGATAATTAGTAGGAAGCAATTAATTTATTTTAAGTATTCTTAAATATCTTTAAATGGCTATGACATTTTTTAGCTATTTCAAGAATGTTGTAATTGGATTGGCAATTTCATAAGTTGTGTTTATATTAATTGTTTCGATAATGTGATTATTAAATTCCAAAATCGATTCAAATATTAAACTATATTTACTTTAAATTATTAAGTATTCTAGAAATTATCATAATTTATCTAATTCTTTCTATTCTTATTACTTAAATGGATATATCATATTACTTTAATTTAAAAATATACAATAACCTAAATTCATAATTGAATCCAAAACTTTGGATGTTATGAGATTTTTAATAATGGTTTATGTTTATTATAGATCATATTATTTCAATGGAATATGAAACCGTGTTCATTGCCTTTGAGTGCATGCTATATTTTAGGTTAAACACATGCTTCAACACATGTCACCAAATCTCTATATGGATACATCTATTTAGAGAATATAAGTTTAATGTACACAATTCTTCTCAGGATCAGCATTTTTCAATGATAGGAATGCTTTTACACATCTGTCGTATTTATCATCATACCATTTACATTATGGTCTGCAATATTAAATTAATAAATCTTTTGGATCTTTTCCTTATTCCAACATAGTCTTTATAGCAGATGGGTAATTATCATTAATTTTACCTTCTCCGAAATTCACTTAATTAGACATTTTTTCTAAAAAAATTAATTTAATTAATATCTTTTTTTCTTATTATATATAATTAAAATTTTATCTCAATATACAAACCTAGTTGATATTTCTAAATAATCCATTTGATCTGCTACTTTATAAAGAAAATCTAAATCCTCTTTAAAATCTTTATCTATTTCTTATCTTCTTGCTAAAGCTGAATAAAAGAATGGTAAAGAAAGTCCAATAAAAATGAAGAAAATAGTCTAAAAATAATAATATAAATAATATTACATTAGCAATACGCTTTTACATTTATCTTTTTAATTATCTCATCTCTTCAGTATCATTCTTTTTTTATTCCCATTATTAATTTATACCTTTAATATATTCCTTAACTTATTAGGCATACCCAATCTAATGTGCTTAAAAAAAGAAAATCTTCCATTTATTCTCTTTAGCAATAATGAATTCATCTTAAGCCTTATGTTCTTTTGTCATTTGTCTAGCAACAACATTTTCATAAACTTTGACTTCTTCTGGATTAATTTTTAAAGGTTCCTACATAAATTTCCTAAATTCTTCTTCAACAGTCTTTTCCTCAGTTGCTTCCTTATATTCCTTTTTTGTGAAAGTAAAATTAATTCCATCTTTAGTTTATTTTGCTGTGTATTCATTCTTCTATGTAGTTTCTTCAGATTCACTACTTTCAGATCTTTCTTAATTTGCAAATGCTCTTTCCTTAAAAATTGTTTGATCATATGATTGTCTTTTTTCTGGAGTTTTAAGTGTATTATAAGCTTCCTAAATGAGTTTGAATCTAAAAATGATTATTAAATTTCACCTATTGGTATCATTTCCCTTATAAATATCAGGATGATAGATTTTGGCCAATTTTAGATAGTTTTATTTGATCTGTTTCTAGGTGCATGTTGCATTGAGTTCAAGAATAGTGTAATAGTTTATTTATTATGTACTAAACCTATATATAATTTTTATCATAATTATCTTTAACTTTTCACTATCTGTGTATAAAATCTTATAAAATCTTCCTATGTAATTTCTTATCCATTGGCAGATATTACTTTCATAATTTCATTTAAGTCTTCCTCTTTAAGATGATAGTGATCCAACTCTTAAGCCAGTTTCTTTAAATCTTCTAAAGTGATTGTCCCTTTTGCAGTCAATGTTGTAAATAATTGTTTTAATTATTCCTCTTATTGTGCTTCCCCCTATATAGATTTGCCATTATATATACAATGCTTTATAAATAGAGCTTCAAGAAATTGATAAAATTTAAATCTTCATCAATAAGAATCATTTTTGATAATACATTTTAAAATAGAGTGGACTCTTCATTAACTCTCAAGAGTGTATTTTAAGCTTCAACATCTTTAGTCTTCATATCATATAAAATCATACTCTTATTGTAAATGTACGTTGACTTGCAAATAAAAGAAATAAATCTAACATTTAGTTGACTTAGCTTTCTGATAATCTTTGTAAATCCTTCTCCTTTTTCCAGTTTTTTACTTGATCATCCCTATATTTTTATAGTTCTATTTATAATTCATAATATCATATACCCTAAGGAGTTGCTTTCTTATAAATTAACATTTAATAAAAAAAATATGTAATTTTTGTATTACTCTTAAAATACTTATGATTAAATTTGAAATCTGTCATCAAATCAAATTAACGAATACTTAGAATTCAATAAATAAAGAGAACTTAATTTACTTAATATATTATTATTATTATTTTAATGAATAAATAGGACAAGAGAAAATTGCCTAACCATTTGTAATATGATACTGTTAGTCCTGCAACTAAATTATTAGAAAAAAGAAGGAAAATGTATGAAGTTCATGAGGCTTTCGAAGCATAGAGAGAAGAATTTAAAAAGTGATTATTACAAATAGGATATAGATAAGAAGACAAGTTTAAACAAGAGGAAGAGAAGATTCGTTCAAAAGACATGGAAATACAAGAATCTTTGATCAAGTTTTGCAAGTTTTTATAAGATAATGAGGCAAAAAAAAAAAGAGCAGAAGGCAGACTTGAAGAAGAGAAACGATAAAAATAGTAAAAGGAAAAAGAAATATAAGAATTGAATGGTCTATTATAGGATTTAACAAAGAAATAATAGAGACTTGAAAAGAAGGGTATGTGTACGTTTATATCAAAACAGTTACCTCAATGAAAAAATATGAAGAATATTTAGATAGTGTAGCAAAACAATATCCAGAGTAATATCATGATATGTCATCAATTTTAGAAAGACATAGTACATTATCAAGTTAAAATACAAAATTGGTTGAGGAGCATTCATCTATGGAAAAAGAATATGAAAAATTAAAATATGAATCAACTTAATATGAAAAGGATAAAAATCATGAAATTTTACAATTAAATAATGATATTAAGGAATTGTAAAAGAAATTAGAAGAAAAAATATCAGAAAGAAATTAATTATAATAAATAGTTGAAGCATCAGCAAATGAAGCATCATCAAAAAATTTAAGTTTAGGAAGAATTTTAATGGCCATTGATAATCTATTTAATAGATGTTAGGAAGGAACATAAAAGATTAAACATGAATTGGAAGAAACAAAATAAGAAAATAATAAAAAAGATGAAAAAAAATTAAAAAAGGAAGATAATAAAAAATAATAAAATAAAGATGAAGAGAAAGAAGAAGAAGAAGATAATTATGAAGTAAAGAGTTAATAAGCTATGTAAAAACTAAAAATAATTTCTTTATATTTGAATGATTATAAAAAAATTATTTTTGGATGTAAAGAGGATTATAAAAAAGCATAAAATAAATGAAATTAAATATATATATATATAAATATAACAAATGAATTAATCAATCTAATTTTTTTGATACAGCAGATAAGAAATATTTTTTTTAAGATTATGACATAGGAAATCGTCTTGTAGAACGTGCAGTTTCTACAAGATTTATCATTTTATTAGGAGACATTATTTATTTTTATGGAGTTTCATATTCACTACAATCATCAAATTATACATTTTTAGTTGTCATTAAATCATTAAATTCCTTTAGTAATAATTGCATTATACTTCTCATTTTGTTTAAATATTTTTATTTTTTTTATTTTACTTTTTATTTTTCATCTTATAGAATTTCAGTAGCTTTTGAATAATGTTTGTGAATTTTAGGAGCCTCTTAATAAAATTTAACTAATTAATTTAGTTCATTATGATTCAAAGTAGGCAATTCATTTTGAATAGTGAATTTGAATGGATTTAATTCATTGTTCATATTTTATTGAAATTAAGTACAATTATCTTGTACTTTTAACATATCACTATCAATCTAACACTTTAAATCACCTTTAATAGATAAAAATCTTGATTTTATGCTATCAATGCAATTTTCTAATTCATAATCTATTTGACTATCCAAATCCTTTTAAGGAGAACTATTCACTTTTGTGAATTCAACTTAAGAAATAGATTCAATAGATTAACATATATGCTCCTTAAATTAAGTTGTTGTTTTTCTAATATGTGTTATATGATCATCAAGAAAACAATCAGCACAACCTAAATAAATTTAATAAATACCTATTTTTTTAGGAACACTACAATTGGGATCTACACATATATATTTTAGTCTTTAACTATCGTGATTGGGATTTTAACATAGAGCAATATCCATTAATTTTAATATAATAAACACGCGCCAATATATTCGCGGTTATTATATTCAAATTGAATATATTTTATCCAATCAAATAAAGTCCATTTTCATAGACTTATATTTTTTATCCAATAATGAATGAACTTTCAATATCCATAAATCTATTGATTTAAAAGATGTTCCTTAACTTAATCCTATTTAGAAACTCTTCTATATAAATAGGATTTATTTTAAGAGCCATAATGAAAATTAATTAAAATTATAAGTACTTTTAATCTATAAATTAAAATTACGATTTATCGATCATCATTTATATTTTTATTGAAAAGTACTTTCTCCCCTTAAATGGACTGTTTTATTCTTGATTTTTTAGATTATTTATGGATTTATATCTGCAACATTGTCAGAATCACTACTGTCTGTATCATTTACAAGGAATTGATTACTTTAATGTTGTAAATGTCTGATCTAATTATAAATAAGAATTTTACTTTAGGATTTCTAGTTGGAACACCCATTCCTGGATCACCTTTATTAGGAACTTTAATTTTCTTTTTAAAGTTAGGCAAATTCAATAATTTTAATTTAGAAACAAAACCCAAAAATTCCTATAAATTAACATTATTAAAATGACATTCGCGAGGAGCTGCAGTTGTTGCTGATGTAAATTGATGAAATTTTAAGAGTATTTCATAATGTTTTGTACTTTCTTAATATATTTCATAAAGAGATAAAGTATCACTACTTGGGAGTGTCACATATTAATCAATAATTTTTTCAATTTCAGTGCATATAAATTCTTAAAATTTCCAGACATCTTAATAAAGAGCAGTTTATATTTCTACTAGATCTTAATCATATTACAATAATATTAAGCCTGAATTTATTAAGTTTTAAATTTTATAATGCCATAAAAACATAAGTTTAGGTTCTATTTAGTCTTTATCACTAACATATGGATACATAAATTTTGAAACAGCTCTATATAAATCAATATTGGCTGCCAATCTTTATAAATAAACATAACATAATTGAGCATATATAGCTGCTGGACGAGATGAGTCTTCAAATTCAGTAAGTATGATTTGAGATTGCTATTTCTTTGGTAAATCAGGTTCTGTTTTTGTAGATTGCCATTCATGTTTTTCTAATTGAATCCATGGCATTTTAGTTTCTCTTAATTTTATAGCAACATCTTAAATTAATTCATTGTATTAAAATTGTTAATGGATTACTGATAGTAAATGAACAACTGATAATGAATTGAGATCTTTAGATGTAGTTTGTAAAAAAGAGAACAAATAATCAATATGTTCTAAAATAGTAAAAGTTGCAATTTACCTTCTTTTTCCAATAGAAATTAGGCTAGAAGCTCTGCCTTTTGCTTTAAATCTATTTTAGTATTGGTCTTTAGTATTTATGAAAGCACTTCTTATAGTTATTAATTTAAGGGAGTATCGGAGGTCTATGTATTATAATTAGAACCAAAGATGGATGTAAATTTTGATAATAATGACATTTAATAAAAATAATAAAAATATGAAATGTTATTTTTTTGAAATATAAGTCATTTAGTAGATGTAAGAAAGAATAAGTATTCATAAATTGATAGATCTATATTTATTCAAAAGTCTTTATCCCAATTAGGATCTTTAGCAAGATGCTTATTATATTTGATTTTGTGAGTATCTTATTCATGTTTAATTTCTTGAACAACCAATTTATTCTAATTGAATCTCTTTTAAATATCATGTTCTGATACCATATTTTCTGCCTTAGGCAAATACTAAAAGCATTATTAAACAAAATACTGGAGGCTTTAGTTCTCTACTAAACAATTTATCGAAATCAAAGTCATCAAACCATTAATGAGCTTTCAATGCTGAATAAGATGCTCCTAATCTAGTTTCTGGTTATCTACTCATTAATTACTCCATAAATTTTTTGGCATATCTATCTTTAAGGAATGTTGGATATTTAATCTAAGTATTCATAATCTCTTCATATATTTAATATGGATCATCTAATTCTTCACCAAAAGGCACTCCTCCACACATGAATTCATACATACAAATTCCAATACTCCATAAATCAACATTAAAAGTATAACCTTTTCCTGCAATTATCTCAGGAGCCATATAATGTGGAGTCCCAATAATTGTATATGTTCGGCATGCTTTTATTTTTAAAAGAGGTTTAGCAGTTCCCAAATCAATTAAATACATAAATCCCTGAGCATTTACCATAATATTTTCTGGTTTCAAATCTCTGTATACAATACTCTTAGAATGTAAGTATTCTATACAAAGAATCATTGTACCAATATAAAATTATGTTTCTGGCTTTGACAACAATCCTATATCTCTTATTACATCAAATAATTCCATTCCTCTAATGAAGTCAACCAAAAAATAAATAGACATATCATCTTTGAATGTTCTGACAAAACCCATAATAAATGGAAAATTTATCTATTCTAATACTGTTTTCTCTTGTGTGATATGTTTCTCTAAATTTTATTCAATTATTGATGCTTTACTTACACTTTTTAAAGCAAATACCTTATTTATTTCTTTGTGTTTTACCAAATATACACTTCCAAATTGTCCTTCACCTAATTTCTTTATATAAATTAAATCTTCTACAACAATATATGAAGCATCTTCCCTCTTACCAATCTATTATATTTTCTTTTCATGAGAATTTTCATTTTTTTTCAAAGCAGTTTCTAAGTCTCCTCCAAATATCTTAAATAAAGCTTAATAGGTAATTGTTGCTAATACTCCATCTCCTACCATAGTAAAAGCACATTCAAGAAGGGAACCATAGAGTTCCTTTTATAAAAATTGATCACCAAAACAAGAACCTTTACTAATTGATTCTTATTTGGAATTTATCAATACACCTTCCAAAACGACAACTAATCTATCACAAGGTTTATTAGCTTCAAAGATTACTTAACCTTTTTTAAAATTTTCAATTTTTGCTTTTTAAGATATTTTTTCTAATTAAATTTTTGTTAATTATTTTAGTATCTCACTTTTTTCAAAACTCCATCTCATTATATTATTGAAAATTATCAATTATATTTTATCACCCAATATTTTACTTAAATTCTCTCTACCCAATGCCACACATCTAACTTCTGTTTCTGCCTTAACTGTAGCCCCTCTAACTGATTTCTCATATAGAGCTTATTCACTAAAAATATAGATCATATTATTATTTTTACCCAAAGCTATCTTTTGCACCCATTTTTCTAATTAATTTGTCTCCTTTCAATATTTATACCTATCCAGTTTTTATTACATAAAATGAATCTGCTTAATCTCCTTCATTTACAATATTCTAACCAGGATTGAATTTGGTAGTTATCAAAGCATGTCCTATCATATCTCTTTATTCAGATGTCATAAAAGAAAAGAAATTAACCTAATAAATTGTCAATAAATACTTAATCTATGAACTTTCTGTTTTCATCATATTCTTTTAAAGTAATTTCTTCAATTGTCTTTCTAAAAGTAGCTCTTTCTAAAGACCAAAATCCACAATTTGTAAGTGCTTTTGTTGAGGCAGATCTAGTGGCATTATAAAGTAATGCAATTTCACCAAATTAATCCCCTTATTGAAGTACTCTTATAGGATTCTCATTAATTATAATTTAAACCTATCCTCTTTCAATAACAAAATATGCACTAGCCTATTAAATCAAATTGTTATATTAACCTAATTTCCTTATTCAAAAACATATTCTCCTGCTTTTATTGTACAATAAAACATCTTATCTATTAATTTTTATAATGAATCTTAAGGAAGACTAAAAAATACAAAATGGCTTTTAAAACTTTTTATTATTAAATCCACATCACTTTCTGAAAAATTAAAGTTATAAATTTTTTATACATTGCATTTCTCTTTCAACTCTTTTTACATTTTCAATAATCTAACCTTCTACATCCTCTCCTCCTCTATATTTTTTTTATATCTTTTTTTAAGCTCTTGCAACAACATTCTCATTTTCCTATGGAGATTGCATTTAAATTAAGTCACTAATGTTTTTATTTAATATGGTTACTTTTTTATTGCATCTTCATCAGCTGTAAATCGATGTTTCATTTCTGATTATATTAGTAACTTATCTATTTTATCTACAATATACTTTGGGTATTTTTTTGCCAATCAAGTCTTCTATTTCTGATGTACTGGCACTTTTCAAAGATTTGGATATTTTATCAGGTTCAGCTGCTGGTTACGATGATCCACAACCCATATTAAAATAAAAATTATATTTTTATATGTGTATTTAATGTAATATTGTATTGTATCAATAGACGTTTCCTTCAAAGGTTTATTTGAACCATTCTACAGCCTCTTTTTTAGTCACTCTTTATTGTGTACCCAATCTTGAATTTCTTGATTTTCTTTAAGCAACTCTCAATCCTGGTCTTGACAACACAACATAGAAGTCCATACCGAAAATACCTTTTATTATAAGATGAATTTGTTACCTGTGTATGGATCATATTTTAATCCCAAATCAATATGTTCTTGAATACCAAAACCAAAGTTTCCTGAATCAGAAAAGTTTCTCTTCTTCAATTCCATTTCTTTTACTCTTAAACCTCTAACAAGAATGTCTCTAGCTTAATCTCCTCTAATGGTGCAAAAGACAGAAATTTTTTCGTTTCTTCTAATACCGAATGATCTCACTGTATATCTTGCTTTGCCAAAAACAGGTTTTTATCCTGTAAGATCTTCCAAGACTTTAGCTGCTTTAGTCAATTTGTCGCCTGATTCACCAGCACAAATATGAACCATCAATTTTTCAATTCTTATTTTTCTCATAACATTCTCCTTTGTCTCCTATGGTTTAGCAACTTTTGCTTAAGTAGCTGTTTATGGCTTTGCATCAGTTTTTGTCTATGCTCCCTTTCCTCCCTTTTAAGCCTATTAAGACATCTTATTTCCTCAAATTAAATTAAAAAAAAATCTTTATATTTGAAATACACTATCGATGAAGATATTAAATGCAATATATATATATATTGTGTTTTAATCTTTCCAATATTAATATATGTACTATTTTGTTTATACTGTAATAAATTCATCATTCTTATTTTTGGGTTTCTTCCTTTTCGATTTATCCTTATTTGATAAGATTTAAAGCACTTTAGTCTTCAGCTTAACCGTGTCTTCTGATTGTACCCTTGGATCTTTGGGAATCATCATAGAATTCTCTCAATTTTTGAGCTAGCAATTTAAATCTACATAATTACCATCAACTTTGGGTCTTTTAACCAACTTCACTTTTCTTAAGGTAATGTTTTAGAGTGGGAAGATGGATCTTGTTGCCTTTCCAATTTCTTTTGAAAGAGTTTCTTGATTGAAGAAATTAAGTAATTAAGTGATGCTTTTCTTGGAGACTTCTTTGAGAACTATCTCAACAATCTTCTTTCTGATATCTTTGATTTGACTTCTTTAAGCATAAGTTGTTTTTCTTTATTGATTTTTAATGCTCTTGGTAAATGCAATGACAAAGATTCTCAAAATATATCCATCTGATGATCTGGCTTCAACTTAAGTCTAATTAAAAATTATGAATTTAAATTACCTCAATCAAAGTTTATCGCTTTTTAATCATTCCAAAGATCTTATCCTTTGTTGAATCAAGTCCATAGAAAGAAGTTCTGCATCTTGTGCCCTCAACATCATCAATAACTAATTTGACTTTTCTCCATGCCATTTGATCTGATTATCCTTGAAGATCAGCCAAGGATGCCTCTACTACACGTCCTTTAATGGCCTCTGTGGCAACGACTAAAAGCTTTATTATCATTAACTACCTGTTCCTGCAGATTTATTGATACAAGTATAGCCAAATCCACCAGCACTGAAGGGAACAGGTGCTGTTAATTCAAACCATTCCTTTCTGGCTAATGGGTCGATTGTTTTCTTTTATCCCTTCTTCTTTCCTAATTTCTTATTCTTTCCTTGAGTCATGCAAAAAGATTTTGATTTTTTTTAATTTTTTCAAAAATTTATAATAGGTGCATAGAAGCATACCTTCTATATATAATTAAATTTAATTAAATGAATTCCTCAATCAAAACTGAAATAGGTAGGTACACAGACATAAATCATATTTTTGAGACTGTTCAGAAGAGAGGATACCTAACTCAATTGACTACATTTTTAGAAGAAGTATTTACAAATGAAATCAATTTTGCATCTTAAAGTAATATAATGTTTCCATGATTCTAAAAGGACTTAAAGAAGTGATCAGTGCCATGTAAAAATAAGGATAGAAAGTCGAATACTCTATATAATTAAATAGGAACATCCAAATTTTTAAGAGTAATTTTGATTTAATTTTAACTGCTACATCAAATAATGTTTGGAATCAAATAGTTAATTCAATGAATTTGATTTCAGATGAAACATTTTAACTCAATAATAATAAATCTGAAATCATATCCCCAATTTCAAGAAAAATAGAAAGACAATCAGAACCTGATCTTAAAAAAATGGCAATGAGTCAATCTTATGTCAGTAGATCACCTAGCAAAATTTCAACTATCAAACAACAATAAACAATTCCTTTGAGTGAGATGTCCATTTAAATGAGAGGATCACCAACAACATTCAATAAAGCTAAAAGATAATTAGACAATAGTTTAACAACAAGTTCTCCTGGAGTAGGAAGATATCGAACAGAAGTAGCTGAAAAACGTATATTTCAATCTTAAACATATAGATGTCAGGGAAACTTCTCCCAATGCTACAATTGGTAAATCTGCTAAAATTAGTTGGATTGATGAAAAACTTTAAAAAGAAGATGCTCACTCTCCAGGACCTATATATAATCCAGTAAAAACATTTTGTTCTAAACGTGTTAAATGATTAATCCATAATCATGTTATCAATCAACTTATTTAATCAATTCTTACATAAATATCTTTTGTACTTCTAATTCATTAGCTATCTTATATTCCTAGTACAGCATAAATTTCTAAACAGTTTTAAACATTTTCTCAATATAATCAAAGCATTTCAACCCATCTAATTAGATCTTTATACATTAATAAGTCCATCATATTGGAAAAAGTAATTTATAAACTCACACCTAAACCAAAATGATCCTTATTAATTATAATATCAACTGTTTTCCCTTTCTAGAAAAAACAAATTCAATTTAATGTACCATTTTTTCGTATTCTTTACATTCCACCTTAATTAGATAATCATTTTAAGTTCTACAACTAAAAAATAGAGTTACAAAACCCTTTAAATGGGTTCTAATCTAATTTTTTAAAGTCTAAATATTCGTTTTTTAATTTAATAATAGTCCTAAAGGTTGTATACTATAAATAACATTTAATTCTCTATTCACCCTTATCATATTATAATGAATATGAAAAAAATCCAATATAAAATCTACTCTATATTTATTAATAGTTTATTTGAAATAATTTGTATTTTTTAGAATTTCGATGATTTCTGAAAGAGTAAAATTTCTAGATGAAATTATTGGACAAATTCTATAAATTGCTATAAATGTATTTTGTTATATTGGATCTTTTTAACCAAGTTGAAGTAAAACTTTCTAGTTTAAATAATTATTTAAATTAATAATGATATATAAATATGAAAATATAATTCTCTTCTTTTTTTTATGAGATGAAACAAATATCAGCTTATCTGTGATTTTAGGTCGTAAACTTATTATATTTATGGGTTAAAATTATATTTTAGTTAATTGGCCCTAAAAATTATAATTATTTTTCAAATGATTTTTTTCATTCAAATTAAAGAAGTATATTTCAGAGTATAACATTAATAGTATTCTTAATGCTGATTGTTTCTAAAACTCAATCAAATAGATCTCAAATTTCTGTAACCCAAACTTTTTCTAATTCCTTTTATATTTATGCTAAGTATCTTACAAATTATTAAATTTTGTATCAACACTAATTGGACTCATCCAAAATATGTAATATTATTAAAATTTATATGCTCAAATATTTTGATTTCATTAAATTTAAACATATATAAAATTATCACAAATAATTACCAAAACATATTCACTTTTTTTATTTCTTTATCTAAAACAATTTTTAGTTTGAAACATCAATTATATCTACATTAGTGCTAATTAAATATGACTAAAGCAGACTATTTGGACAAGATTGATGTTTGGATTTTAAAGATCTCTGAGCATCAATTGAATCAGTATATAATTAGTTTAGCTTAAATTCAGTATATGAGGCGAATGAATCTTGATCTTAAATTTGTTGTCTTTCTGTTTTACAATGATCTTTAGCTATTTTCAAAGGTTATGTTTTTTATGTTTTTATTATTTTAATTGAAGCTCCTTTGAAATAGTTTTTATGGAATAAATTTTAAACTCTATAATATTACTACTATAAATTAATGAATTACTTTTACTGCTGTTTACTGTTATTGATATTCTTATTATTTTAATTGTTTTTTAATTTAATTTTCTAAATATTGAAATTTTTTATTATCATCTGTGAGTCGTAAAAACCTTTCCTTTTATAAATAATTAAGTTCTTTATTTTTCTCTAAAAATACACACACTTCCCTCTCTATTTAAGCTTCAATCTATAAAGGATCCCTTTCAGTAAAAAATCTGGATATTTTTCTTGATTTAACTTAAGTATTCTCTTAAATTTTTGTATCATCAGCCTTTGTTGATGGTGTAACAACCCTCTTATTTATTATTGGATGAAGCTTGTTATTTCCAATCTAACAATACCTAAGAATAACTCTAGACTCCTTCTTAATTTCTTACTTTTTATTCTTTTCCCCACTTAATAATTGCATAACTAATTCCAATTTTTATTATTTTTTCTATTACTCTTAATCACTTTTCTTTTTCTTATATTTGTTTAGCATTTTTTTAAAGATGTGTGCATATTATTATAATTTAGCAATATCTTCAGATTTCGCAATTTATTCTCTTCTATCTATTATATGATCAATTAATTTAATTCTTTGTCTACAAGTGTCCAAACCTTCAACTGCTTGCTTAATTTGAGTTCGAGAGAAAACATCAGAAATTTTATTATAAGTTTTCGAGATTTAAGAATTCATACTGAGTCTGTTATTATATTTTAATATAATTTTGACATAATGATTTAAGAGTTAATAAGGAATAAATAAATATCATCTATTAGTAAAATCAAACTTAGAGTTATTATAAATCATCTATTTCTCTGCTATTTGCAGTATTTAAAGGATGAACTTTTGTGCTTACTGTGCCAATATGGTTAATTTTGTGATATTGTTTTGTTTAATTGCTAAGATCTAAATTATTTTATTTACTTTGTTTTTTGCTATGAATTAGGTTAGACGGTTTCCTATTGAATTTTTATCCACTTCTCTTTGGCTGCATCTAGAGTCACAGGATTACGTCGATCATAGTCATCATAGAAAGTTAAGAATTTTTCATCATAAGATTCGACAGTGGCATTGTCAATCCCTAAATCCACAATGCATCCACAAATTTTCTTAATTGGGATCAAATAGTATAAGGTTGAAAAACCCAATTATAACCATGTTAGAACATGAACTTTGTCGTAGTTCACCCATTCCCAAAAAGTACATCCTAACTAAAATAATTAAGTTTAACTCATTTACAGAAAATAACAAAAGTATTAATTCGATATAAAAAGCAACCATTGCTTCAGCCATGGCACTTCCTGTTGGAGCAGGTTTAGAATCTCTTCTTACTAATAAATATTTTTCTGCCCAATATAAACAAATAATTGATATAAAAGTGAAACAAACTCCTATTGGTAATAATGCAGAATATAAGAAAGTAAACATTAATGTTTTACATAAATTAGCATATTTTTATGACAAATCAATTGATGGTCCTTCAAATGCTCTAAAAATAAAGTTTAATATACTTATTAGCTTCATTTTAAGTGTATTTACAATTTTCTCCTTATTTAATAATTTTTTATCTAACATATAACTTATAAAAATAATTGATATCTATTAATTAAGTTAACCATGGCATAATTGAATTAGTTATGAAAATCAACATAACATCTGAATTGAGTCCACCAGTCTACCAAATAGCTTAATCTAAACTGGATATATTTTCTTATATAAAAAGATTAATAATTAAAGTTAAAATAGCAGTATTAAGAAATTAAGCTACTCCCATTTTATAAGCCACACTTATATTATAATCTGTTCTAGTAGCCTATTATTCTAATTCAGCAAATCTTATGATCATTTTAGCTAATATTTTATTTATAATCAAAATAAGAATTGATGAAGCAAATCCTATAAAAGTAACAATAGTTGCTTCTGCAGCTGACCCTTTTGAAATATTTTTATTTATGACATTCTATAAATATGACAATGCAAGTAATAATCCAAATCCAATTGCTAATAAAAATAAAGTCATAGCATTAGTTATTAATGTTCTTTTAAATTATTCTTTTATTGTAATCCCAAGATTACCCCAAATGATATCACCTGGTTCTGGTGCTTTTCTTACAAAAAGATTATTATTTCTAAATTATTAGAATTGATTTTGTTCGAATCCTAATTAATCTAATAATACTTAAAATCTTGTAGCTTTGAATGTTTTACAAACATTATCGGCTTATTTTTCATAATTATAACTGATTATACAAATTCCACTGAAACCAAAAATAGTTGCCCTATGATCTTCCATATAATCTAATTCCTTTGAGATTTCATCTATCTCTTATTTTAATTAAACTCTAGATGGAATTGATTTAGGTATTTATTTTCCTTCTGCTTCTAATTCAAGTACTTTTGTAAGCACAGATTCTTTCAATTATTTTTAAGTATTTAGTTTTAAATAAGGTTAAATTTCATAGGCTATACAAAGTTTTCTAAGTTCCACTGTTTCATTTTGAAATGATTAAGAAAAATACTCCTAAATTTCTGGCTCTTTGGCATCTCTTGGAATATTCTCAACTAAGATAGAAAAATCAGAAGCTAAGATAGCAGCATCATCTAATTCCATAGCAATTTTGTTTATATGTCTTCTGTAAAATAAGGTCATAAACAATATTACTACTAAGGATATAAAATTTAGTATACTACGAGTTTCATCTAATTGTCTAGCATATATATTATAGATAAATACTCATGATCATTTGTCAATGAAAATTAGTTAAAAAAGTCTGTTTTACATTAATCAGCAAAACTACTATTTATATGACTGCATCGCTTTCCATGAGAATTTACATATATATTGTATCCACAACTGATAGCTCTATAAATTTCCATAAATTAAGATACATGTAAGTAAAGACAATAATACCAGAAAACACTAAGAAATCAAAATACAAAGCTATTCCTGAACCATTGAAACTGAATTCATTCCTTTACGAACATAAAGGGATTTCTTCAATTACAGCTGGTAGTCCACAACAGGGACAAACATTTGTTTTATCGAGATCGATATTTGAGTCAGTCTTAGCAAATTTGGTTGCAGCAGCATGCATCATTGCAATCTAAATCTTTGGAGGTCTTTAAAAATCATCATAAATAGCTTCCATTTGCTATTCCTCAGTTTGTTGAGCTCCAATAACTTGAAGAACTTAACTCAACATGTCAAAAATAAATTAGTTATTAAAAATGATAAATAATTGGAATTATTAATCATATAGTTTTTCTTTACTTGTTTTATATATTTATAATATCGTTAAAGAAAAATTTTATTTTTATAAATGTCTTTTGGATAATGTAGAAAAGGTAGCAAGAAATTTAATTAAAGAACTATGATGGCAAATCATTTGTAATTATTAGCAAAAACATCTAAGATATAGATTTTGTAATAAAAAAGTGCCCATGTACATTAAAAAAAAATATCCATAAACCAACCTTTTAAATTTTTAAAACTATCTGCTTCAATCAAAAAATGAACTATTTTGCCTTAAAAGATTAGATTCCGTTAATTTTAATTTCTGACTTTTTGCCCTCTTATTTTTAAAAGCAATTAATTTTGTATAACTTCTGATACATTTTACTCTATTAATTTTTTCTAAACATCTATAAAAGTCAAAAGATCTGACAATTAATTTTTTGAAAGATTTGATAATATCTTCAGTGCATTGCAAGAATTGAAAAGTCTAGTTTTGCTTTAGTAATATTTATTAGATGAGTTATAATAGCTTTCTTCAGTTGATACTTTGGTATTAATGTTATTTTTTCTCATATTCTCCTAATTGATATCCTAGAATCTTCATATGTAAATTAAATCAAGAAAATGCAAAAGGTGTTTGTTTTGATTTCTAACTTATTTTCTAAATGATATAAAAATGATTTTTTACAAGATTTATTTTTTCACTATGCAAAAAATAAGAAATTGGGCAAGTTATAAATTTAAAATCTGGAAAAATCAGCAAAAAAACTTTTCCAAATGCAATAAATTTGAAAAAAAAGCCTATATTCCATAAATGTTGAAATTTTTAATTATTGTTTAAGTTTCTAAAATTAATTTTTTGCATTTGATTGTTATTGGATTTGGGATTACGGTTAGAGTAATCTCTAGATAAAAGAAGCATAACTATTTTCTCAAAAATCGTCCTCAATATTTTTAAAGAAACAATGAGGAATTTGCCTTTTTCTAAATCTCAAAATTTTCCCTCTAATTCTAACTCTCAAAAAAAAGACTATAATGTTAGTGAAAATAAAAAATTATTGTTTTAATGTTAAAATTTTGTTAGATTTAATTAAGTAACATAGAAAATAATTAAAAACTTCATAATAAGAATAATTAAAAGATGCATTAATACAACGAACTTAATAAAACATAATAGGGAATTAGAATTCTTGATTTATTGTTTAAAAAGATATTAAACTTATTTAAAAAATCAAAATGTCATTAAGGTTAATTACTGAGTTATGATAAATTTCCATACAATTCTTTAATTAAATTATATTGAAAATTAAATATCTGAAATATGGTCAATTAAGTAATTTTAATTTAATAATTATATTCTAAAAAATTATAATAATGAAATTGAGAATTCAGAAATACTCCTCTTATATATTAGTTTTCATCCAAGAACATAAGAAATTTCGAAAAATTTAATCTTATATTAATTTAAGTAAATATGCAAAATGTAAACTTATTTATAAATACATTAATATCAATGTTTTAAATCAAAATTATAGTTCTTAAATTTAATCAGTATCTTTGATGTTTTTACTATCTAATGGGTAAATCTTTTAGACATTTTAGGATATGTAATTAACTATTTTTTATTTTTTGAATAAATTTTTATGATTAATAGATCTATTTTATTTAGTTTCTTTTTAAGTTTTTGGTAAAACAGTTTATTAATGAAGTTGAATCCACTTTTCTTTGGCTGCATCTAAAGTAACAGGATTACGTCTATCATAATCATCATAGAAAGTCAAGAATTTTTCATCATAAGATGAAGTAGTGGCGTTGTCAATTCCTAAATCCACTATGCATCCACAAACTTTCTGAATTGGGATCATGTAGTATAAGGTCGAAAATACCAATTATAACCATGTGAGAACATGAACTTTGTCGTAGTTAACCCATTCCCAAAAAGTACATCCTAACTAAAATAATTAAGTTTAACTCATTTACAGAAAATAACAAAAGTATTAATTCGATATAAAAATCAACCATTGCTTCAGCCATAGCACTTCCTGTTGGAGCAGGNAATCTCTAGATAAAAGAAGCATAACTATTTTCTCAAAAATCGTCCTCAATATTTTTAAAGAAACAATGAGGAATTTGCCTTTTTCTAAATCTCAAAATTTTCCCTCTAATTCTAACTCTCAAAAAAAAGACTATAATGTTAGTGAAAATAAAAAATTATTGTTTTAATGTTAAAATTTTGTTAGATTTAATTAAGTAACATAGAAAATAATTAAAAACTTCATAATAAGAATAATTAAAAGATGCATTAATACAACGAACTTAATAAAACATAATAGGGAATTAGAATTCTTGATTTATTGTTTAAAAAGATATTAAACTTATTTAAAAAATCAAAATGTCATTAAGGTTAATTACTGAGTTATGATAAATTTCCATACAATTCTTTAATTAAATTATATTGAAAATTAAATATCTGAAATATGGTCAATTAAGTAATTTTAATTTAATAATTATATTCTAAAAAATTATAATAATGAAATTGAGAATTCAGAAATACTCCTCTTATATATTAGTTTTCATCCAAGAACATAAGAAATTTCGAAAAATTTAATCTTATATTAATTTAAGTAAATATGCAAAATGTAAACTTATTTATAAATACATTAATATCAATGTTTTAAATCAAAATTATAGTTCTTAAATTTAATCAGTATCTTTGATGTTTTTACTATCTAATGGGTAAATCTTTTAGACATTTTAGGATATGTAATTAACTATTTTTTATTTTTTGAATAAATTTTTATGATTAATAGATCTATTTTATTTAGTTTCTTTTTAAGTTTTTGGTAAAACAGTTTATTAATGAAGTTGAATCCACTTTTCTTTGGCTGCATCTAAAGTAACAGGATTACGTCTATCATAATCATCATAGAAAGTCAAGAATTTTTCATCATAAGATGAAGTAGTGGCGTTGTCAATTCCTAAATCCACTATGCATCCACAAACTTTCTGAATTGGGATCATGTAGTATAAGGTCGAAAATACCAATTATAACCATGTGAGAACATGAACTTTGTCGTAGTTAACCCATTCCCAAAAAGTACATCCTAACTAAAATAATTAAGTTTAACTCATTTACAGAAAATAACAAAAGTATTAATTCGATATAAAAATCAACCATTGCTTCAGCCATAGCACTTCCTGTTGGAGCAGGTTTAGAATCTCTTCTTACTAATAAATATTTTTCTGCCCAATATAAACAAATAATTGAAATAAAAGTGAAACAAACTCCTATTGGTAATAATGCAGAATATAAGAATGTAAACATTAATGTTTTACATAAATTAGCATATTTTTATGACAAATCAATTGATGGTCCTTCAAATGCTCTAAAAATAAAGTTTAATATACTTATTAGCTTCATTTTAAGTGTATTTACAATTTTCTCCTTATTTAATAATTTTTTATCTAACATATAACTTATAAAAATAATTGATATCTATTAATTAAGTTAACCATGGCATAATTGAATTAGTTATGAAAATCAACATAACATCTGAATTGAGTCCACCAGTCTACCAAATAGCTTAATCTAAACTGGATATATTTTCTTATATAAAAAGATTAATAATTAAAGTTAAAATAGCAGTATTAAGAAATTAAGCTACTCCCATTTTATAAGCTACACTTATATTATAATCTGTTCTAGTAGCCTATTATTCTAATTCAGCAAATCTTATGATCATTTTAGCTAATATTGTATTTATAATCAAAATAAGAATTGATGAAGCAAATCCTATAAAAGAAACAATGAATGTTTCTGCAGCTGACCCTTTTGAAATATTTTTATTTATGACATTCTATAAATATGACAATGCAAGTAATAATCCAAATCCAATTGCTAATAAAAAAAGAGTCATAGCATTAGTTATTAATGTTCTTTTAAATTATTCTTTGATTGTTATCCCAAGATTACCCCAAATTATATCCCCTGGTTCTGGTGCTTTTCTTACAAAAAGATTATTATTTCTAAATTATTAGAATTGATTTTGTTCGAATCCTAATTAATCTAATAATATTTAAAATCTTGTAGCTTTGAATGTTTTACAAACATTATCAGCTTATTTTTCATAATTATAACTGATTATACAAATTCCACTAAAATCAAATCTAGTGGCCCTATTTTCTTCCATGTTATCTAATTCCTTTGAGATTTCATCTATCTCTTATTTTAATTAAACTCTAGATGGAATTGATTTAGGTATTTATTTTCCTTCTGCTTCTAATTCAAGTACTTTTGTAAGCACAGATTCTTTCAATTATTTTTAAGTATTTAGTTTTAAATAAGGTTAAATTTCATAGGCTATACAAAGTTTTCTAAGTTCCACTGTTTCATTTTGAAATGATTAAGAAAAATACTCCTAAATTTCTGGCTCTTTGGCATCTTTTGGAATATTTTCAACTAAGATTGAAAAATCAGAAGCTAAGATAGCAGCATCATCTAATTCCATAGCAATTTTGTTTATGTGTCTTCTGTAAAATAAGGTCATAAACAATATTACTACTAAGGATATAAAATTTAGTATACTACGAGTTTCATCTAATTGTCTAGCATATATATTATAGATAAATACTCATGATCATTTGTCAATGAAAATTAGTTAAAAAAGTCTGTTTTACATTAATCAGCAAAACTACTATTTATATGACTGCATCGCTTTCCATGAGAATTTACATATATATTGTATCCACAACTGATAGCTCTATAAATTTCCATAAATTAAGATACATGTAAGTAAAGACAATAATACCAGAAAACACTAAGAAATCAAAATACAAAGCTATTCCTGAACCATTGAAACTGAATTCATGCCTTGATGAACATAAAGGGATTTCTTCAATTACAGCTGGTAGTCCACAACAGGGACAAACATTTGTTTTATCGAGATCGATATTTGAGTCAGTCTTAGCAAATTTGGTTGCAGCAGCATGCATCATTGCAATCTAAATCTTTGGAGGTCTTTAAAAATCATCATAAATAGCTTCCATTTGCTATTCCTCAGTTTGTT